GTGCGCGCGGCCGCGGGCGAGGCCCTCGTGCCGATGCTGGCCGCTGGCGGCGACCTGGAGGCGCTCGGGGGCAGCGCCGGGAGAGAGAGCGGTCCCAGACGTGCTGTGGGTCGTGGCGGGCCTCAGGGCGGGAGGTTTTGGCCGTTTTGGGCCTCCATAGGGGGCACTTCCCGGCCCCCGGTCGGAGGGCACCAACTATACACCAACACCGATCCTGGCCCAGGATCACCCTGGGCCCAGGATCGGTGCATATGCCTTCTTGCGCAAGGCAGGAGGGCGTATACACCGATCCTGGGCCTAGGGTGATCCTGGCCAGGATCGGTGCTGGTGTATAGTTGGTGCCTTCCTACCCGGGACCGTCAAAACATAGTTCAGGAGGAACGAGCCCTGTTCCAGTGAACGGGTCGGGGCGTCCGGGGGGCCCAGCAGGGAACAGCTCCGGACATCACATGTGTCTGGGGTCGGGAGCTCCGGCTCGGCGTGCCGCTCCGCTGGTTCTGGCCAGCCACGCGTCGTCGCGACGCGAGGTCCACGACCCCACCCCCGAGCGCCAGCCTCCCGAGCCTCTCCGAGCCTCCCGCCCCGCGGAGCGGGGCGACGCGCTACCGTCCGCTTCTGCAGGGCACAGCGCGTCGCCATGGGCCGCCGCCGCGACGCGCTGAGCAAGATGTCCCGGCCGTAGGCTCAGGGGGGGCGACTTTCTCGGAGGGGGGGGGGCTTTCCCTGAATGGGCTCAGGGGTGGACGACTTTCTCGGAGGGGGGGCGGGCTTTCGCTGCATAGGCTCAGGGGCAACCACCCCTCTTGAGAGATCGTCGATGTGATGTGTTCCTTGGCTTCGGGTGCTCCGTACCTTGGCTGATTTTCCGATATCGAAAGTTACCTGAATGCACCCCCGACGATGCGAAAAAGCTCGGCGGAACGTCCCGCCTCAGAAACGGAGGGCGGGCATTTCCGCGAAAGTATTGCGGAACCAGCGGCGGCACAGTGGGGCGGACGGAAATCGACGTCAAGAGAGCCTGACGAGGAGGGCGGTCATTTTCGCCCTGCTTGCGAACTCGCCCTAAGCACGGCGGATCCCTTCTCGAGAGATTGTCGACGTGGTGGGTTCCCCCAGCAGGGAGTAAGGAGCACAGCTCCCTCAGCTGTGGCGGGTCGGCCGACGGCGACCAGAGGGGGGGACGACCGTTCTCGGGAGAGGCCACGCGGGGATGGGCTCCATGGGAGGGAGTGGCTGCTAGGGCCGGGGGAGCGTAAGACCCGGGTCTGCCAGGACTCGGGTTCGCCATCGTTTTTTGACGACCGCGCCTCGGATTTTGACGAGGAGGAGTTTCGTGGGATGTCTGCAGCGGGAGGCCTCGTCAAAATGCAGGCTCGGCCTCGTCATTTTTTTGACGACCTCGTCGGGGATTTCCGAGTCCCCTGTACCCGGGTCTTACGTCTCCCTGACAGGGGCAGCGTTGGGAGAAGGGGCGACTTTCTCGGAATCGAGGTCGGGGATTCTCTGGCGCTCTCGTCGGCTTCCTGCGGCGTTCCAGCCTCGGGGGGCGTTCCCGCGCTTGTGCCTCGCCGATCGCGTATACCGGGGGTGCCCGGATCCTCCCGAGCGGCCTCGGGAGCCCCGAGCTATGACCCAATGAGCCAGACGGCGAGGATCACCGGGGGGAGAGGCTCGCCCACGGATCGCCCTCAACAGGGGCCCGATGGCCCGCCCGGCCCAGGCACGCTGCCAACCTCTCGGGGACGCATCGCTGATTCCAGCTTCCCCCCTGAGCCAGTCCCCCCATTCAGTCGGCGTCACTCCAACATACTTATACTATATGTGCGTCGCCCCCCCAGGGGTGACGCGCGCACCGAGCAATTTTATAGTATATGCGTCGTGGCGGGCGCTTTCTGCCCACACCGCTTGGGAAACGATGTGCTACAAGATGGGTATACTATATGTTCGGGTCGGACGCGCGCCTCCAAGGAGGACATCTAGTATTAGTATGTCTCTGTGCGTCCCATTCAGGCGACCGCGAACATGGATTCAGGGGGCGCGGATTCGCGACGGGTCCCGTTTCTGTGGGAAATCGCGGATTTCCGCCGCCGAACGCAGCGGCTCTGGCTGCATCGTGGGGAGGGCGCCTCCCCCGATCCATAGATTTGGCGACCGCGCGCCAAATCCATGGATCGCTAATCCATGTTTGCGCGCCCCCGACCCATACCGTTCTATCAAACCCGCTCAGGTCGTCGTCCGTCGTCGTCGTCGGTTACCATCGTCGTGGTCGTCGGTCTTCACTATCGTCGTCGGTCTTCGTTATCGTCGTCGGTCTTCGTTATCGTCGTCGGTCTTCGTTATCGTCGTCGTCGTCGTCGTCGTCGGTCCTCGTCGTCGATCGTTGTCGATCGTCCTCTGTCGATGCCCCCAGAGGAGCGGCTGTGGGCCCTGCTGCCGTCCAAGAGGCGCAGGGCCGCGAAGGAGCTGCTGGCCTCGCAGGAGGTCCGAGGGTCCACAAGAAGCTTGACGGTCAGACGTCGGAGAAGTCAAGTAGTGGCGAAACGTCCAGCCTTGCCTATAGGCCCACCACCAGAAGTACTAAGAACATCTTGTGGTTTACACGTACTGTTCTCAGAACGTCTCTGACCGAGCGGTCTTGCCCTCATCAACAGATTTGTTTCCAAGACTAGCGTTTCGTTGTAAGAACCTTCTGTTGCTCTACGAACTTGCCGTGGTAGGCCTACAGGAATGCCAGGACGGTCGGTCCCTGCTCAGGGGCCTGTCGACAACACCAGCGGCCCTCCCCTGTCAGACCTCGGGCGATGCAGCGAAGCGTCGTGACGGCAGATCTGTGTTCTGTCGCTCGCGGCCTTCAGCAGCGCCGCCGGCGCTGCGGTTTCCCAGGGCTCCTGGTCTTCCTTCCAAGGGCGATCTATCGGCGATGCATCGCCGATTCCAGCTCGATGTTCCCCCCCAGAGGCTGGCCCCCCCCCCCTGACCCCTGACGCTGTGTCCTTCGGCGTGGGGGAGGGGGGCCTCCACGCGCTGGCCCCAGGCAGAATTCGGCGCGGGCTTCCGACTGCTGTTTTTTTTAGTTGCCTCGATACGCCCGTTCTGAAACGCAACACTTCCCGTGTTCCAGACGTCCGTGTCAATACGTTGCGTGTTGGCTCCACGTATTGGACCACGTTTTGGCGAATGTGTCGCGTCGGACCTACGTTTTCAGCCTACGTGTTGAGCTCCGTACCATTACGCTACGTGTTGCTCTCCTGCAGATGCCGCCGGGGCCCTGCCACGACGACCTCGTGCCGAAGACGGTGGTCGTCTCGACCGACGCGCGCGCCGCGGGCTTCACCTGCGCCTCCGAGCTCACGGCGGAGGTCTGGGCAGGCCTCCTGGCCGGCCAGGCCTCCTGGGGCGGAGGGCCGCGTGCCCAGCCTTCCGTCGGGTATGTCCCTCTACAGTTGTGGAGGACGATCAAGGGAGAGGAAGCATGCTGCCAACTGATTTACAGATGCCTAAAAATGTTTCAACCATGCTTTCAACACGTTAAAAACATGTTTGAAACATTATAAGATCATGTTTTTACACATTTAAAACACATTCTTAATTCAATGATAGGATTGTTAGGGTGTCCATTGTCGTGGCATCCACAATTCTACAGGAGGAATATTCACAAATAGTAGAACACTAGTGTGGAGTCGATTTGTTGGAACTATTTTCGGTCATTTTGGAATACGTTTGGACTATTTTTTCGTTTTTCGTCCAAAGTCCGCCTGTGGGGGGACACGCTCGACATAAGCCCAGCCACGGCTCCTCGCGGGCGGGGCCTCCAGGCCGCGGCACGGTGGGCACCGGGGCCGCTTTTCGCGGATGACCCGCGCAGAACGTACCCCAGATGCTTGTTTGGGGGAGCTCCCTGGGGCCCACCACATGGGTCAGTTCGGCTCTAGTTCGACTCTATAGCTTGGCGCCAGGTCGACTCAAATTCGACTCAGGTTCGACTAGTGTTCGACTCAAGTTCCACGCAAGTCGACGGACGTTCGACGCAGCTTCGACGCACTAGTTGAGCCAGTAGCTACAGGAAGGTCCCCAGAACGAACATCGAAGTACCCATGCGGCTGCGTATCCACAGCGGCGTTCCCCGGAATCCAGGCCGCGAGGGCGTGGCTCCCAGACCTCCTCGCGTCGGGGAAAAATGGCGACGGGAGGTTCTTCGCTATCTTCGGCCTCCGGGGGCCTCTCCGGGGCCTCGGGACCGTCAGAAAACGACTCAGGATGAGAAACCGGTCCCCGGGAAAGGGTCCAGACCTCTGGGGGTCGACGTTGTGAAAAAATCTCGACGTCGGGGGTCTAGGATGGCATGCTCGCCGCTCGTGAAGGCCGCCGCCGCCGCGACGGCGGGCTGCGGCGGCGCCGGCGCCGAAGGCGCCACGGCGGCGCGCAGCGCCGGCGCCGATGCCGACGAGGGCCGCTCCGAGGCCCTGCGCTGCGCGGTCGCCAGCAAGTCCTGGAAAGACCGCTGCGACGCCATCGCGCGTGTCTCCGAGGATGAGCTGCGCGCAGGGAGGGACCCTTCGGCCGGAGGGACCTCTGGCGCGTGCTCGCGGGGCCCCCATTCGCAGCTCGGGCCTGCGCGCGGGGGGCCCCCCCGAGCCCGTTCCTCCGACGCCGCGCCTGCCTTTCTCGTGGACCGTCGGTATCCTCTGGGCTCTCGAGCCTCTGCCTGGGGCCAGCTGTTCCTCCTCGAGTCGTTTCTTGTGTGTGGGTTTGCAGGGCCGGGCCGGGAGACGGCCCCCCGGAGGCCGAGGACGACCGGGAGACCTGGCCGTCACGATGTTCCGGGCGTCGCCCAGAGCTGATGAAAGCCGCGCACCGGAGGTCACTCTTGCCCATGGCCGCTCCTCCTCCTCCTCCTTCTCCTCCTCCATCTCCTCCGCCTCCTCCTCCTCCTCCTCCGCCTCCTCCTCCTCCTCCTCCTCCTCCTCCACCTCCTCCCCCTCCAGAAGCCTCCCTTTATCCTCCTCCTCCTCCTTCCTCCTCCTCCCTCCTCCTCCCTCCTCCTCCTCCGCATGTGGTGCTTGCGGGGTCCGCGCTGATTTCTCGGGTCGGCGCCGCGAGGAGCTGGCGGCTTCGACGGCCCCCGCCGAGCTCGTCAAGGGCGCCAAGGCGCTGCTGAAGTCGCCGCGGCGCCAGGCGCGCCACGCTGCGCAGAGCGGCTGGGGCACAGACTGGCGGAAGAGCACGGACTCGGAGGAAAATGTACCGACCCAGATCTGTAGGTAGCAAATCATGGGGGCCTCGCGTACCCTCGTAACTCCGTCTTGAGAGCGCATTTGAGTCGATGAGCATCTGGAAATCGATGAGGTAGCGCCGATTTAGCGCCGATTCGGATCGATTGGCGTCGAAGGTACGGTAGGTTCGCGCCGTGTCGACCTGCGGCGACCCCGCCGCTGGCGTTCAACGTTGGACGCCGCTGGCGGCCAAGAATCGGTCGAGATTGAACGAGCTGACGTTTCGGACACGGCCGATCGTTCAAGGATGAACGATCCCCGCGGCGTCAGGATCCAGCGGCGGGGTCGACACGACACGAACCTGCCGCGCCGACCCATATCTCCGACGATGTGATGTGCTCCGTCACGACGCTTTGCTTAGATGTCGGCCTCGGGCCCCAGGACCATCAGAGCTGGGCCCGGGGCGACAGCTGAGCCCCGGGGCAAGGGGTCGGGTCCGCTGGGGCCGCGGCCTGAAGCACTCAGATCGGCGCATCTCTGGTCGTCGTTGTCTGATTCACTGTTTTGCCGATCGGCGTGGGCCCTCGCCCCCCCCCCCCCCACCCACCTGGAGTAGATCTTGGCTGCTTTTGGCGCCTGTTTCGAGCAGGTGGAGCCTCCCCCTCATAGCACCCACTGCTGCGAACAGTCGCACTCAGCAGAGGTCTGGATCCAGACCCCCCCCCTCCCGTAGTGCTCGTAGCTTCCGCATCTTTGCTATCATGGGAAGCTCTACGAGTCACTTACCACAGATGCGAAAAGCTGTGATTCCTAAAACGAGCTCTCAAATCCCTCGTAATGTTTACAAACCGACCACAGGTCACCCCATTGTCTGTTCCGGCCGGGTCGGTCAACTAGCCCCCCCCCTTCCGCCCAATGTCGAAACGCCAAATGTGAAAACGCTCACCTGGGGATGTTGCCTCTGCCACGTCCTCGCCTCTTTGGACATCGGCCTCGGGCCCCCGGGACCATCAGAAATGGACCCGTGACGAGAGCTGAGCCACGGGGGAAGGGGTCAAGGAGGAGGAGGAGGAGGAGGAGGAGGAGGAGGAGGAGGAGGAGGAGGAGGAGGAGGAGAGGAGGAGGGAGGGAGGGAGGGAGGGAGGGAGGGAGGGAGGGAGGGAGGGAGGCCGCGGCCTGAAACAATCAGATCGGCGAATCTCCGGGGAGGCTGCCTCTGCCCCGTCCTCGCCTCCCTTGGGCCCCCCCCCCTACCTGGGAGGCGCTCCGTCGCCACGGCGGGCCTCGCCCCTCAGAAGCCTGGCCAGAGGGCGCCCCCGGGAGAGCTCCGGGGAGCAGCGGCATGGGTGCCTCCGAGTCGGGCGTGTCCTGCTCTCTACAGGAGGAGTATACAAAAATCGTCCAACTAAAGCCTGGGGGCGATCGTTCGATTATTCCCAACCCTCCTGCGTTGGGTACTCGTTTTGAATAGAGCACTGCGGTCTCCGTTCTCCTCCTCCCGCCCCCCCCCTCTCTTCCTCCTCCTCTCCTCTCTTGCTTGCCTTCTCCTCCTCTCTTCGCTCCTCCTCTTCTCTTCTCTTCTCTTGCCTTTTACGTCATCTCTGGGGGGCTGCGATCTGCGGAACTGTCACCACTTTCGAGGGCTGCTGGTGGGTCCAGCGGAGTGAGGCACCACGGGGACTCAGACTAGACCTCGCCATCCCTGGGGGGGGGCTGCGATCTGTGAAACTGTCGCCACTTTCGAGGGCTGCTGGTGGGTCCAGCGGAGTGAGGCACCACGGGGACTCAGATTAGACCTCGCCATCCGTGGGGGGGCTGCGATCTGTGAAACTGTCGCCACTTTCGAGGGCTGCTGGGGTGGCCAGCGGAGTGAGGCACCACGGGGACTCAGATTAGACCTCGCCATCCCTGGGGGGCTGCGATCTGTGAAACTGTCGCCACTTTCGAGGGCTGCTGGGGTGGCCAGCGGAGTGAGGCACCACGGGGACTCAGATTAGACCTCGCCATCTCTGGGGGGCTGCGATCTGCGAACCTGTCGCCACTTTCGAGGGCTGCTGGGGTGGCCAGCGGAGTGACGTCATACGGGGATTCAGATTAGACTTCGCCATCCCTGGAGGGCTGCGATCTGTGAAAATGTGTCATTTCCCGCGGGCCGCCCGCAGACCTGGCGGCGCGCCTGCGAACGTTCAGCTCCCGCACTAAATGTGCAGGGATGAGGCGGAGAAGCTAGCGGGCGAGCTAAGTCTCGTTCGCTTCTTGCACTTACTATAAGCAGGTTTGAGCCTGTGGAACGCTGCGACGACATGGCGCAGGCAGCGCTCAGTGTTTAGCGTGTACCTGAAAACGCGGCGCTTTTCTGTCTCCTCCCGCCACCTTCATTGTCGTCCTATTCCCCGCTTCACCTGCTCCATGCATGCTGCTGCTGCCGCGATGGCCTTTCGCCCCCCCATTCCATCCTCCTCCTGCCCCTCGTTCCCGTCCCCGTTCTTCTTCGAGCCTGGGGCCTCGATCCTCGTTCTTTCGATCGTCGTCGTATGAGTCGTGCAACGCATGCGCGTCCCATGTAGATTGCGCAACAAATCACCGTGTCTACATTGTCGTTGCTCCTGCTAATGTTGGCCTACTCCTCTTGCCACTTGATGCACATGGGTTGGGTACGTCGCAGGGTATTTTTCTTTGTTTGTTTGTATGTTTGAGGTTTCGTCCAAGATCCGCCTGCAGGGGGGCCTGCCCGAGCTAATGGCATTTGTTTGGTCTCCCCAAAGGATGCGGTCAACTCCGCCGGCTCCCCAGCGCGGGGCCCGGAGGAACCTGGCGCCGCGCCGCCGCAGCCGCAGCTGTCGCAGTACGTCCTGTGCGGCTACCAGGCAGGGCCGCCTACGATGCGTTTCGACGCGTTTCGATGCGCCGGAGGCCGCGGTTCCAATTGGATTCGCTATTCGTCGACTAGACGTAAGAGTGACCTTTCGCCAGAGTGACCTTTGGTGCGGGCCCAACTGGGTCCCCCGATCGCCGAACGCGATGCGGTAGTAGTAGCGTCTTGCGCGCTTGTGTTGGGCCCCCCCGCGGCCCCCCACAAACTGCGCACCAAAGGTCGCTCTTACCCAGGGTCACTCTTGCGTGCAGCCGAATTCGGCGCTCGATTCGCCGGCATCGGCCAGAGCCGGCCGCAGCCTGGGCGCGGCGGTCCGCTCTCGATTCGGTCTGGGCGCCTGTTCGCTGTGGCGCTGCGGTGCGTGCCCCGAGCCGATCCGGTTTCGCGATCCGATTCTGCTGGGCCTGCCCAGGTCAGCCACGCGCAGACGGGGGGGAGGGGCAGGGGGGGAAGGCTTCTCGGAAGCACCCCTGCTTCGTAAAAGGGGCGCGGGCCTTCTCTAGAGCTGCACAGGGCCCGTGCCTGCTGAGAAGCAGCCTCCTTCCAGGAAGCCTTCCTCCCCCCCCCCCCCTACCCTACCCCCCCTGCGCGCGCCGCCGAGCAGGTCTCCCTGCTCCAGTCCTCCCTGGTCAGCTTCCTGGGGGACTCGGTGACGGCCGTCTTCATCGCGGCCGCGGACCTCCTGCAGAAGGCCCCATATGGTGGTGCTGCCAGCAGCGCCCCCCTCCGGCCCGCGCATTGCTTCCGCAGCTTTTTTGCCCAGGAGGGAGGCGCAGGTGGGCCTCCGGGGGCACGTCCCCTCTCGAGGCCCAGAGGGCCCCAGAGGCCCGAACATGGGCGAAGCGCGGGGGCTACAGGGGAGGCCCATGCCCAGAAGGACCCTGCTTGCCTCCAGGGTGCCCTGGGTTTCTTGGCTGTCGATGGTTTTGCGATGGACAGCGTGACCTTCCCACACCAAAGATCAATGGACGTCCTGGGGTCTCAGGACTGTTGGGTTGCTTGTCGAAGTTTTCTCGTGGACTGGCCTCCACCACTGTGTGTCCCCTCTCGAGGGCCAGAGGGCCCCAGAGGCCCGAAAATGGGCGAAGCGCGCCGCTTCTGGCCCCCCCCCCCGCCCGCCCCCCCACAAGGTGTGCGAGCGCGTGCCGGCCGACGCCGCCGCGGCCGTGTGGGAGCCGTCGATGGGGCCGCTGATCGCCCGCCTGCCCGACACCAGCGCGAAGGTCCGAAGAGCAGCAACAAACACACAGACTTCTTGGATCTGCGCTGGACCCCACCCTGGCCGCCGCGCCTGCGGCGCCGCCCCGGGCGCGCTCCGCGCGCCAGGGCCAATCCAAGGAATCTGCACGGACCCTCGCAGGTGGCTTCTCGCCCACAGCTTCCAATCCCTTCCACGAAGACTCGAGCGCTCAGAACAGGAGGGAAACTCGGGGGATACTCTCCCAGGGGCTATTCGGACGCAGACCTATCAAGGATGGACATCCCCTTCTCGTATACCCCCGAGTTGGGCCCAGATTTGCTGGCCCATACGAAAAGCCCACGAAGTCGGGGATTGGCGTCGACCAGTCTCCTGCTAGACCCCCGAGAGTTTATGCTCATGCGACGCCTGCTTCTCTTGCAAGGTGCGCGCCAAGGCCTCCGAGGCCATCCTGGCGCTGGCCGGCCTGCACGCCGGCGCGGTCGGCGAGGCTCGGGCGGAGCCGTAGAACCAGGATGAACCGCTCCAGAGCGGTCCGGAACGCTCTCGGCGAGAGTCGGAGCGCCATGGAACGGCCGCGGCACCCGATAACCCTGAAAGGTCTTTAGGACCCCCGCCCAATAGGGGGTAACTACTTCTTTTTTTACGCGGCACCCGCCGCGCAAGAAGGAGGAGGAGACGGGGGAGGAGGGGAGGAGGAGGAGGCGGAGGAGGCGGAGGAGGAGGAGGAGGAGGAGGAGGAGGAGGAGGAGGAGGAGGAGGAGGAGGAGGAGGAGGGAGAGGGAGGGGGAGGAGGAGGAGGAGGAGGAGGAGGAGGAGGAGGAGGAGGAGGAGGAGGAGGAGGAGGAGGAGGAGGAGGAGGAGGGGGAGGGGGAGGAGGAGGAGGAGGAGGAGGAGGAGGAGGAGGAGGAGGAGGAGGAGGAGGAGGAGGAGGAGGACGAGGACGAGGACGAGGACGAGGAGGAGGACGAGGAGGAGGAGGAGGAGGAGGAGGAGCCCAAACAAGAAGGAACGTCAACGGTACGGCGACGGGCAGCCTGCACGGCACGGAGGAGCGGATCCGACACGCCAAAGGCGGCAAAACTCGAATCCGAACCGAGCCGAGCAGGACTTACGAGCCCGTCGACGACTGCCAAAACTTGGCCTGCAATCGGGCCACAAGCGCATCCATTCGAGGATTCCGAATGAGTGCGGTGGTGACGGAGGAGGAGGAGGAGACGTCAGCCCACCCAGCCGTCCCACCCACCACCCGCCGAATGAGGTCGGATTCGAGAGGGGTCGGCGCCTGGAGGGTCTCCTCGCGTCGACGCGAGTGCGGGTGAAGCCCTGCCTCCAGGCGCCGTCGGTCATACGCCCGCTGGGGCGTCGAGGCGGGGCGACAAGGCTTAAAGAGGGCCCCACTAGACCTCTCCTCCGCATAGGCCCCACATTTACAACAATACACTAGGACCTGATCACGTGCCGTCCAGCACGCTCTCAGGACGTGGCCGCCCACCCCTTCGCACTCACGCAGCTTTACAAGGAGCGGAGGGGGGCCTGGGCACTGATTGAGGGGGCGCTCGTCATGCTCAGGGCACGCCCCAAGGCACCGAGCACAACGCAACTTCCAACTACCCACCCGACACCACTCGTGCCACGACACAACCCGCGTTATGCTCGGCACCTTGATCTTCTTAAAGGATGGGAGAGGAAAAGCAGGCAGGACCGCCGCCGCCACACGGATGGCGGCGCGGAGGCGTTTGACCATAAGCCCATGCAACTCGGAGGAGGCGGGAGGGGCACGGGGGTGGAGGGAGAGGGCATCCTTGGCCAACAGATCGGCCAGCTGGTTGCCACGCGCGATCCTTTCCTCAGCAGGTGGGAGCGCAGAGATGACTTCTTCGGAGCGATGGGCACGGGTATGACTAACGTGCCCAATATGTGTGTGTCCTGGATGCTGGAGCGCGCCACGGCGCAGGCCAGCAAAAACTTGGGAGCCGTTCAGCTGGGCGGGGACAGGCTTTTGAGTCAAACGCACAGCACCCAAACAATCGGAAAACGGCCTGGTGGTCCCTGGGCCCCGCTGAAAGATGGAAAGCATGGCAAGGGCAAGGTGTTCGGCCGACGGAGCCGTCTTATTCACCGCCGAGAGAAAGGGGGGGCCCAAACTAAAGACCTTTAGCGGTTACATCCTCCCGTATCCACATCCGCGCCCTCGCGGTCTGGACTCTGGGGCGCCATCCCACTGGTGCGCGTCGCACGGGCACGTTCCGGGCGGACATCCGCGCCGAAACGCCCCCTTCTCCGCGGGGTCGCTTCCCGGGGGCTGGGCCTGCGAGGCCGTGGGTACAGATGTATTTTTTTCCGCACGCGAGGGGCGGCCGCGGCGCCCGTACATAGTCTTGCAGAAGCGCAGCATCTCAGAGATGTCCGATTTACAGTGAAGGCCCATGCCAAGAAGCACCCTGCGTGCCTCCAGGGTGCTTTCGGCTGCTAGGGTTTCGATGGGTTTTGCGATGGACAGCATGACGTTTACACACCCAAGATCAATGGACGTCCTGGGGTCTCAGGGTTGTTGGGTTTCTTGTCGAAGGTTTCTTGTGGACAGGCCTCCACTGTATCTGGGTCCGATGTTGTCCCGGTCCTAGCCTCATCCTGCGCCCAGGGGCGCTCGTGGAGGACTGTGCCCAGGAGGCTTCCGTTCTCGGAGGACTCCTCATCTGATGAGGTCAGCGGTGACATCCATGGCCAAGCCTCCGTTGGCGTTCCACCAGCTTCCAGACCCCAGAATCCTTAGTCAAGGGCTCCTTGACGTCCTCACCGTGCTTCAGAGATCCCCGCTTTACCGCGGTCCGATATCCAGCTGCCTGCGGCAAACCCCGCCACCGTGCTCGTGGAACAGCGCAGCAGGAAGTAGTAGTCTGCATTGGAACAGGTCGTGACCCCAACCTAGTCGTCGTCCGCGCGGTAGGGAGGGGGAGGAGGAGGAGGAGGAGGAGGAGGAGGAGGAGGAGGAGGAGGAGGAGGAGGAGGAGCAGAAGCAGGAGCAGGAGCAGGAGCAGGAGCAGGAGGGGGAGGGGGCGGAGGAGGAGGAGGAGGAGGAGGAGGAGAAGGAGAAGGAGAAAGAGGAGGGGGGCGAGGAGGAGGAGGAGGCGAAGCAGGAGGAGGGGGATGATGATGATGATGATGATGATGATGATGATGATGATGATGATGATGATGATGCTGATGATGATGATGATGATGATGATGATGATGATGATGATGCTGATGCTGATGATGATAAGGATGAGGATGATACTGATGATGATCATGATGATGATGGTGATGATGATGATGATGATGCTGATGCTGATGATGCTGATGATGCGGATGATGCTGCTGCTGATGATGATGATGCTGATGGTGGTGATGATGATGCTGATGTTGATGATGATGATGATGCTGATGATGATGATGATGATGATGATGATGATGATGATGCTGATGATGATGATGATGATGATGATGATGATGATGATGCTGATGATGATGATGATGATGGATGATGATGATGATGATGATGAGATGATGATGATGGATGATGATGATGATGATGATGATGAGGAGGAGGAGGATGAGGAGGAGGAGGAGGAGGAGGAGGAGAGGGGGAGGAGGACGAGGAGGAGGAGGAGGGGAGGAGGAGGAGAAGGAGGAGGAGGAGAAGGAGGAGGATGAGGAGGAGGAGGAGGAGGAGGAGGAGGAGGAGGAGGGAGGAGGAAGAGGTGGAGGTGGAGGAGGGGGAAGAGGAGGAGGAGGAGGAGGAGGAGAATCAGGACGATGATGATTTATAAATGTACACATGTATATATATAGAGAGAGAGAGAGAGAGAGAGAGAGAGAGAGAAGAGAGAGAGAGAGAGAGAGAGAGAGACAAACAAGAGAGAACAACAAACAGGCCTCTTGGAGCCTCTTGGGCCGTCTCAGAGGATCCCTAGGCCGTGTTGGTGCCCTCTTGGAGCGGCTCACATTCGTCTTGGGGCCCTTTCGGGAGCCGCTTCGGCGATCTTTGGGCCCCTTTGGCCCGACTTGAGGCCCTGTTGGGGGTCTCTGGGGTTGTCTGGGAGCTATCTTGTAGGCCTCTTGGAGGCTTCTTGGGCCGCCCAAGAAACCCGACCAGGCGAGAACCTCAACTTCTTTCAAACACCTAAGCCGCATCAATGGTTTTGGCTTCCTTGCGCTCTCCAGGAGGGCCTCTTGGAGCTGTTTTGGGCCCTTCTGGGGACTTCTTGATCTGTCTTGAGGCGCCCTGGAAGCCACTTGGGCCGTCTTGGACCATCTTGGCCCATCTTGGTGTCATCTTGGCTGCCTTGATCGCCGCCCTGGAAGGCATGTAGCTCTCAAGAAAAGGCCTCATGACAGATCAAGAGGCCCTCAGGACGGCCCAAGAGGTCTCCAAGCGGCTTTCCAGGAGAGCCTGAGGAGGCCACAACCATTGATTGCCTCCTAGGTTATTGAAGGATTTGGAGGTTCTGACAAGTTTGGGTTTCGGACCGCCCAATGCAGCCCAAGAGGCCTCTTGGGAGCCCGTCTTGGGGCCCTTTTGTGGAAGCCCCTTGAGCGCTCTTTGGGTCCTCTTGGGCCGACTTGGGGCCCACTTGGGGGCCCTCTTCGGCTGCCCGGGAGCTGCCTTGGAGCTATCTTGGAGGCCTTTTGGAGGCCTCTTGGGTCGCCTTGGGCGGTCGGAAACCCGAACAGACGAGAACCCCCAAATCCTCCAAGCACCTGGGAAATCAATGGTTTTGGCTTGTTTGGCTCTACAAGAAAGCCTCTTGGAATTTCTTGGGCCGTCTTGGGGGCCTCTTGGGTCGTCTTGAGGCCCTCTTGGGAGCCTCTTGGGTCGTCTTGAGGCTGTCTTGAAAGGCTCTTGAGCTGTCTTGGGCCATCGTGGGCCGTTTGTTGTCGTCTTCGCTGTCTTGGAAACCGTCTTGGAGGCCATTTTGGCAGTCTGGAGACCGAAAAGACAGCCAGAACGTATTTTCAGAGGGGGCGTTTTTGAGGGGTGTGTGTGCGTCGAGAGGAGGGGGGGGTATCGGCCTTATAAAGTGTTGAAAGACCTCCCAGACAACAGACGAGCATTCTAGCACGCCCACTCCGTGTAGGCACGGAGGCGGATTGGTCAGATCCTGACCTCATCCTACGCTGGGAGCGTTCGTTAAGGAATGTGCCCAGGAGGCTTCCATTCCTGGAGGACTCCTTGCCTGATGAGGGCAGCAGCGGCAACATCCATGGCCAAGCCTCAATTTGCGTTTCACCAGCTTCCAAGCCCGAGAATATTTGTCCAAGGGCGCTTTATCCAATGCTCTCACCGTGCATCCTCCATAACCGCCACATCTCAGCGATCCCCGATCCCGGTCCGATTTTATCCCAGTCCGACTTTATCCCAGTCCTGGCCTCATCCCACGATGGGGGCGTTCGTTAAGGATTCTGCCCATGAGGCTTCCGTTCGTGGAGGACTCCTTCTGATGAGGGCGGTGGTGATATCCATGGCCAAGCCTCAGCTGGCGTTCCACGAGCTTTCAGACCCCAGAGTTCCTTATTCAAGGGTTCCTCTGCCAATGCCCGCACCGTCCATCATCATAACCGCCACATCTCAGAGATCCCCGATTTGTCCTGGTCCGATCTTGTCCTGGTCATGGCTGGTAAAGCTTCGGGTGGCGCGCAGACAGACCCCCCAGGTAGCCCCAGGCTGGCCTCGAGGGGCCCCCCGAGTGGTCCCAGCTGGCCTCGACAGGCTCCCCGAGTAGTCTGGGGCGGTCTCGATGCCCCAACCCTGGGGCGCGGAGCACCCCCCAGTGGCGCGGCGGGGTGTTGAGACAGCCCCGGACTACTCGGGGGGCCTGTGGGGGGGGGCCTGTTGAGGCCAGCCGGGGGCCAGCCGGGACTACCTGGGGGGGAGGGGCTGTCCGTGCGGAACCCGAAGCCTTTTCACCTCCCGAACTGCCAGATCTCAGAGATCTTTCGATCTATCCTGATCCGATGTTGTCCCGTCCCCGGCCTCTTCTTAGATCAGTGTGGTGACCACACCGCGTGTTGAGTCAGTGGGAATGCGGGGTCACCGCACGGTTTTGGGACTCGGGTTGTCCCCGACGTCGCGATTTGTTCGCAACGTCGACCCCCAGAAGTCTGGACCCCTGCCCGGGGACCGGTTTTTCCTCCCGAGTCGTTTTTTCACGGCCCCGCGAGGCTGGCGAAGGGCCCCCGGAGGCAGAGAATGGCGAAAAACCTCCCGTCATCGCGTTTTTTCCCAACGCGAGGAGGTCTTGAGCTGCCTGCGGCAAACCCTGCCACCGTGCCTGTTGAACAGCGCGGTAGGAGGGAGGAGGAGGAGGAGGAGGAGGAGGAGGAGGAGGAGGAGGAGGAGGAGCACCAGTGTAATCCCAAGAGGCATCAACGATGTTGGAATGTACCCTCCCTCCAAGCTCCAACATCATAGGCCGCTACAACGGTTCACTTCCATTGAGGGAGCCGCCTCGCTGAAAGACAACCGTTTGAAGATCTTGAAGCATGCCAAAACATTGTTCTCGGGATTTCCACACCGCGAATCAATGTGACTGCTGCGTCCTGACGATCTGGAATCGTGCCAGAACACCATTTTGGGGACTTCAACACCGCGAATCAAGATAACAGTTGCGCCCGCATAATCCTAAATCCTTCCAAAACACCTTTTCTGGTACGTTGATCATGGGAATCCGCGAAAATCTTGCACATCTTAACAGCGGATGTGCGCGGCTCTGAGGCGAGAGCCACAGTTTGAAAAGGAACCACCCTTATTCCGTGAAGCTCATGCAATTTGTTCGAACGAATGTGCGTGGCGCTAAGGCGACAGCCACATCTTGAAGACGACCGCCCCCAATCCGTGAAGCTCTTGTAAACTTTTGAAACGAATGTGCTTGGCGTTAAAGCGAGAACCACATTTTGAAAGTGACCTGCCCTCAATCCGTGAATCTCTTGCACATTGTTCAACAAATGTGCGCGCTACGGCGAGAGCCACGAAAACGGCCCTCCCTGAATCCGTGGAACTCTTGCAATTGTTTCAAACGAATGTGCGCGGCACCAAAGCAAGAGCCACATTTTCAAAACCAGCCGCTCTCATTCCGCGAAGTTCTTGCAAATATTTAAATCGAATGTGCGCCGCGCTAAGACGAGATCCACATTTTGAAAAAGGACGCCCAGCCCGCGCTTAAAACTAACCTCGGGGTGCGACAGAGAGAAGCAATTTATAAGGAAACGGAATGGAGGAGGAGGTGGAGGAGGAGGAGGAAAAGGACAGGGAGGAGGAGGAGAAGGAGGAGGAGGGGGAGGACCAATTTAAACCCAAGAGTCACCAACGATGTTGGAATAAACCCTCCCTCCAAACTTTCTTCTCATAGGTCCCTACAGCGGTCATTTCCATTGATGGAACTGCCTCGTTGGAAGACACCCGTTGAAGACCCTGAAGCATGCCAAAACATTGTTCTCGGGATTCAGGGCCATGGATCAACTTGATTGTTGCGTCGTGACGATCCAGAATCATGCCAGAACGCCATTCTTAGGACTTCAACACAGGGAATTAATGTAACTGTTGCGCCCGCATAGTCCTGAATCTTTCAAAAACACCATCTCTGGTACGTTGATGATGGAACTCCGTGAAGCCTGTGAAACTGTTGTGAACAAATGTGCGCGGCGCTAAGGCGAGAGTCATATGTTGAAAACGATCCGCCCTGAATCCGTGAAGCTCTTGCATTTGTTTGAAACGAATGTGCGTGGCGCTAATGCGCTAACCACATTTTGAAGACCAGCCGCTTTCAATCTGCGAAACTCTTGCAAATGCTAAAAACGAATGTGCGTTGCGCTAAGGCGGGAACCACATTTTGAAATCCAGCCGCTCTCAATCAGTGGAACTCTTGCGAATGTTTGAAACAAAATTTGCGCGGCGCTAGGCCGAGAGCCACATTTTGAAAACCACCCGTCCTCAATATGTGAAGCTGTTGCCATTTTTCCGTATCAGAGTCACAAGTGATGACGAAGGCTCAGGCGAATCGCCCGGCCCACTCTTAAAACTGGCCTCGGCGTGCGACAAGGATAAATTACGTATAAGGAAAAGGAATGGAGGAGGAGGAGGAGGAGGAGGAGGAGGAGGAGGAGGAGGAGGAGGAGAGGAAGCGGAGGAGGAGGAGGAGGAGGAGGAGGAGGAGGAGGAGGAAGAGGAGGAGGACGACGCACCCCGGTCCGACTTTTTGTCCCCCGTCGTGGCCCCGCCTCCGAGGCCGTGGCGGCCGCCGTGGCGGGCCCGGGCCCGGCGGGCGAGGCGGCCGACGCGGGCCGCTGCGCCGGGCCTCGCCTGCAGCTGCTGGCGCGGCTCGTGGAGCAGGCGCGGGCGCAGGCGCCGCGCGCCTCGCCGCGTCGTCGGCGGCGTGGTGGCGGCCGCCGCCGCCGCCGCCGCCGCCGCCGCCGCCGCCGTCGTCGTCGTCGTCGTCGTCGTCGTCGTCGTCGTCGTCGTCGTCGTCGTCGTCGTCGTCGTCGTCGTCGTCGTCGTCGTCGCCGCGAGGGAGGAAGTTGAACGCCAGAAGCATACACTTTTCTGGCGGTCCGCGCGGAATTCTTGGATCGGCGCCTGGCCTCCCCCCCCCCCCCGGCGGCGCCTCCGGCGCCGCCCTTGGCGCGCGGAGCGCCAAAAGTTTATGTGCATGGCGTTTTCTCTTCGTCAATTGGTGGCGGCCGTCGTCGTGGCCGCTGTCGTCGCCGTTGACGTGGTGGTCGTCGCCGTGCCTGTTTCACGAGCGGCAGGCATCTCCATATGATCCACACCCTCGCTGTCTGAATTCTGGAAGTGTGTTCGCATGGGTACGTTCCGCGCGGGGCATCAGCGAACAACTGCCCCGCATCCACGTGGTCGCGGCCCAGGGGCGTGTCCCGCGAGGTCGTGGATATGGATATTTCTCCCGCGCACGACTGTTGTCGTCGTGGTGGTCGTCTTCTTGGCCGCCGTCGCCCGCCTGTCGCCGTTCTTTTGTCGTCGCCGTGATGGTCGTCGTCGTCGTCGCCATCGCCGTTGTCGTCGTCGTGGTGGTCGTTGCTGGAGTGGTCGTGACCGTGGTGGTGGTCGTCGTCGCCGCAGTCGTTGTCATCGTCGCCGTCGCCGTCGCCGTCGCCGTCGCCGTCGCTGCCGCCGCCGCCGCCGTCGTCGTTGTCGTCGTCGTCGTCGTCGTCGTCGTCGCCTTGGTCGTCGTCCTCGCCAGGCAGGAGCGGATGGCTGGGCGTGGGCGCCGCTGGGGGTGGGTGGGTTTGGAGGTACGGCGTGGTGGGAAGCTCATGCAAATTACGGCGTCAGTGGAAGTATTGCGTGGGGTTTGGGGGTCAGGAGTCGGAGGATAAGAAGGAGGGCGAGGAGGAGGAGGAGGAGGAAGAGTAGGAGGAGGAAGAGGAGGATGGGGGGAAGAGGAACAAGATAATTAGGGGTGGAGGAATGAGGAAGAATATGATTACTCAGTTGCGCTGCCATGCGATTCTGCCACCGCGCTCTGGCAGGCGCCAGGGGGTGGAGGGGCGCTCGGGGGGTGGCGGGAAGCGGGGGCGGCGAGGGGAGGGGAGATTTTCCACTGGACGTGGGTGCCCCCCTGATGGATTTTCCAGCCATCCTGCGGTGTTGGGCCTTCGTTTTGAATATATAGACAGCGCCCCGCGTCTCCTTTCCTTCTCGCCCTCCTCCCTCCACCGTCCACATGCGTCCCACACCCGTTTCGTGGCCCCATGGGGAGCTCCACCGAAGGCCCCAGTGCCACCGTCCACATGCATCCCCCACACCCATGTCGGCAATCCCCTCAGCCGTGTCCTGGCCCCATGGGGAGCTCCACCGAAGGCCCAAGTGCCACCGTCCACATGCATCATGCATCCCCCGCACCCATGTTGGCACACCCCTCACACGTTTCGTGGCCCCATAGGGAGCTCCACCGAAGGCCCAAGTGCCACCGTCCACGTGCGTCCCCCACACCCATTTTGGCACACCCCTCGCACGTCTCGTGGCCCCATAGGGAGCTCCACCGAAGGCCCCAGTACCACCGTCCACATGCGCTTCCCGCACCCATTTCGGCACCCCTCTCACACGTTTCGTGGCCCCATCGGGAGCTCCACCGACGGCCCAAGTGCCACCGTCCACATGCGTCCCCCACCCATTTCGGCACACCACCCACACGTCTCGTGGCCCCATAGGGAGCTTCACCGAAGGCCCCAGAGCCACCGTTCACATGCGTCCCCCGCATGCGGCACACCCCTCACAGTGTTCGTGGCCCCATAGGGAGCTCCACCGAAGGCCCAAGAGCCACCGTTCACATGCGTCACACCACCCATTTTGGCACACCCCTCACACGTTTCGTGGCCCCATAGGGAGCTCCACCGAAGGCCCCAGTGCCACCGTTCACATACATTCCCCACACCCATTTCGGCACCCCTCTCACACGTTTCGTTGCCCCATAGGGAGCTCCACCGAAGGCTCCAGTGCCACCGTCCACATGCATCCCCACACCCATTTCGGCGCACCCCTCACACGTTTCGTGACCCCATAGTGAGATCCACCGAAGGCTCCCGTGCCACCACCCGCATGCGTCCCCCACGCCCATGGCGGCACACCCCTCACACGTCTCGTGGCCCAATAGGGAGCTTCACCGAAGGCCCCAGCGCCACCATCCGTATGCGTCCGCCGCACCCATTTCGGCACACCCCTCACAGTGTTCGTGGCCCCATAGGGAGCGCCACCGAAGAAGATGTTCACAATTGCGGTGCTCACAACTGCATCTGGTTGGGTCATCCGCCAGGCTATTTGTTTGTTTTTGGGTGTAGTTTTTGGTTCAAGAGATGACGAAGGATCAAGACGACTGGGATGAGGAGTGTGACTGCGAGTGGGAGGAGGCGGAGAAGGAGGTGCAATATGAGGAGGAACTGCAGGAGGATGACAACATGTATGACGGTAAGGAAGGTTGACAGTGAGCCAGAGTTGGACGTGAAGAGGCATAACAATCGAAACAGCTTGCCGTAGCAAGCCCAACCAGCCAGCCCAGCCAACCAGACCAACCCAACCAGCCACCGTGCCAACCAGCCCACCACCGCCAACCAGGCCTACGGGCCCACCCCGTCACCGCCAGAGGGGGTGGGGTGGAAGTGCCACCCACGGACGAGATGCGAGAAACGTTTACCTCCCTGGGCCTGGCGGGACAGCGGGGGGAAGATGGCTCGCACAGACAGCCACGCAGGGGACCGGGCTTCGCGTCGCGGGACGGCACACACGGTGGGGGCCTTCAACTGCGATGACCCGTCGACGCTTTTTGTTCATTCCCTCGGCCTGTTCTCTTACCTGGAGTGCCCCCATCCTCGAGTTCCAGGGCTGGACCTAAACGGTGTTTTGGCGATTCCGTGGGCCGTTTTCGGTTCGATTTCGTTTTGTGGTGAAGGCGGATTGAAGACAAAACGATGGAAAACGAGAACAACACGAAAAAGAAAAGCACCGTTTAGGTTCATCCCTGTCGAGACCGTCGTCTCTTTGGTTGGGCCCCGCGAGGGCTTCTCGGAGGGCCCGGCGGGACGGCCTTTGCGGGCCGAGTCGCACAGCCACACGTGGCCGGCTTCGATCCGCTTGGGCCTCAAAGTTCGCAGGGCCCGATCCGATCCGGTCTCGATTCGCGCCGGCGATCCGCTGTGGCCCGATGCATGCGAGGCGCAGTTCTCCATCGTGGCGCAGTCGATTTGATTCGGTTTCAACTCCGTGCTGGTGCAGCCCGGTCCGGCGCACCTTCCGATCCGATTCGATTCCCGATTCGATGCCGACTGGTCCTGGCAGCATGGGGGGCCGCCCTCCTGGGCGGACGTCCCCTCCTCCTCCTCCTCCTCCTCCTCCTCCTCCTCCTCCTCCTCCTCCTCCTCCTCCTCCTCCTCCTCCTCCTCCTCCCCCCGCTCCCGGAGGCTCCCGGAGGTCTCCCGGAGGTCTCTCCCGCAGCCTCCAGAGGTCCGCGGAGGCCTCCAGGCTTCCCCACCATGGGGCAGAGAAAACGCAGACCACCATTCGCCTGGCGAAGGGCCCAGCCCTGTGCTTAAGTCGGCCTCTCCCGCTACAGGAGGAATAGTCAAAAATAGTACAGAAGTAGTCTGGGGACGACGTTCGAGTATTTGTTTGGCTTTTTTATTTTATTTTATTTTTTGACCATTTTTAATTTTTCGTCGAGGATCCGCCTGTAGGGGGACACGCCCGACCTAACCCTTTGCAGCTGCGTGCAGCCTAGGGAGTGTCCTCTGTTCTTTGTCTGCGCGCCGCAGGATGTGAGCATTCTATGGGGGCACGAAGCGTGTGAATCGCCGCTGCGGAGGCCGGAGGTGGAGCTCCCTGTGAGGGAGCGAAGCGTGTAAGGGGGTGCCGACATCGGCGCGGTGCGGCATGCGAACATGCTCACAGAAGCCCTAGCGGGGCACGAACGCTGATATGGGCCCGCGCGTGGTCTTGCCCGCGGGTTTCTGTGGGACGCATTCCATGTGAGAGGTCCGCCCACACGGACAGCGGAGAGCAGAGGCAAAACGAGTCGAGGAACAGAGGATGAGGAGGAGGAGGAGGAGGATGAGGAGGAGGAGGATGGTAGGGGGGGGGAGGAGGGGGAGGACAGGGAGGAGGGGGAGGGGCGGGGGAAGAGGGGGATGAGTTGAGGAGTACAGAGACGGCGGATCTACGGATTCAAAACGATGATGGTTTGAAACGAAAGAAAACCTCGGCTCTCTTCCTCGGCTTTCTCCTCCCTCTCGGCCTCCTCCTCTTCCCCCAGAACGTGGCCGACGCGTGGACGGACGGCGCGTGGACCGCGCTGACCCGCTTCGCAGCAGCGGCCGCCGAGCACCGCAGCGCCGAGGTCCGCAAGGAACTGCCCCCCCGGATGGGCTGGGCAGAGCCAGATCCGGGTGGGATCTGGCTGTGCGGTGTTCTGCCCACAGAGGGGAAAGGAGCATGATGAGGCGGACGAGGAGGAAGAGGAGGAGGAGGAGGAGGAGGAGGAGGATGAGGAGGAGGAGGAAGAGGACGAGGAGGAGAAGGAGGAAGAGGAGGAAGATGAGGAGGAAGAGGAGGAGGCGGACGATGAGGAGGAGGAGGAGGACGATGATGATGATTATGATGATGATGATGATGATGATGATGATGATGATGATGATGATGATGCTGATGCTGATGCTGATGCTGATGATGATGATGATGATGATGAGGAGGAGGAGGAGGAGGAGGAGGAGGAGGAGGACCAGAGTAAACCAAGGATGCATCAGCGATGCTGCAATACACTCTGCCGTACCAAGTTCCCCCCTGAACGCATTTTCCAACAATACGTCTCTTCGAGTCTTTCTGCTTCACTGCCAGAAAAACCAGCACAGTGGAGCCTGTCATTTTGGCGAGGGCCCTCCTCTGACAAGGAATAATGGTCTTGCATCTTTCTGGCGCGCAGGCAGGAACGCGAACCACAAACAATGATCACGCACACTCCAGCGAGGTGCCGAGCGATGGACCCCTTTCGAAGATGGACCGTTTCCCATTCGTGTAACTGCTGCACGAGTTTACTCATGTGGTCATGGACTTCGTTCGAGGAAGTCTCAAGTGACAGTTCCAGTTTCAACAGGAGCCGCCATGCGTCTCCCCACGGAGCCACGGAGCGTGTGAGAGGTGTGCCGAAATTTGTGCGGCGGTGCCATGTGGGCGCTGCCAGTGGGGTTTGAGGTGGAGCTCCCCTTGGGGCCACGAAGCGCGTGATGGGTGTGCCGAAACTTGTTCGGCGCTGCCATGCGGGCGCTGCCATGGAAGTTTTCGGTGGAGCTCCCTATGGGGTCACGAAGCGGGTGAGGGCTGTGCCGAAACCTGTGCGGCGGTGCCAGGCCAGCGCTGCTACTGGGGCCTTCGGTTGAGCTCCCCATGGTGCCACGAAGCGTGTGAGGGGTGTGCCGAAACTTGTGCGGCGGTGCCATGCGGGCGCTGCCACTGGGGCCTTCGGTGGAGCTCCCTACGGGGCGACGAAGCGTGTGACGGGTGTGCCGAAACGGGTGCGTCGGTGCCATGTGGGCGCTGCCATTGGGGCCTCCGGTGGAGCTCCCCATGGGGCTACGAAGCGCGTGATGGGTGTACCGAAACTTGTGCGGCGGTTTCATGCGGGCGCTGCCACTGGCGCCTTCCGTGGGGCTCCTTGTGAGGCCACGAAGCATGTGAGGGGTGCTCCGAAACTGGTTCGGCGGTGTCATGCGGGTGTAACCATTGAGGCCTTAGGTGGAGCTCCCCATCGGGCCACGAACCGTGTGAGCGGCGTGCCGAAATGGGTGTGGCGGTGCCATGCGGGCGCTGCCTCTGGGGCCTCAGATGGAGCTCCCCATCGTGCCACGAAGCGTGTGAGGGGTGCGCCGAAACTGACGCGGCGGTGCCATGCGGGCGCTGCCACTGGCGCCTTCTGTGGAGCTCCTTACAGTGCCACGAAGCGTGTGAGGGCTGTGCCGAAACCTGTGCGGCGGTGCCATGCCAGCGCTGCAACTGGGGCCTTAGGTGGAGCTCCCCATGGAGCCACGAAGCGTGTGAGGTGTGTGCCAAAACTTGTGCGGCGGTGTCATGCGGGCGCTGCCGCTAGGGCCTCCGTTGGAGCTCCATATGTGGCCAAGAAGCGTGGGGTGAGCCGAAATTTGTGCGGCGGTGCCATGTGGGCGCTGCCACTGGGGTATTAGGTTGAGCTCCCCTTGAGGCCACGAAGCGTGTGCGGGGTGCTCCGAAAATGGCGCGGCGGTGCCATGCGGGCGCTGCCACTGGGGCCTCCGGTGGAGCTCCCTACGGGGCGACGAAGCGTGTGAAGGGTGTGCCGAAACGGGTGCGTCGGTGCCATGCGGGCGCTGCTATTGGGGCCTCCGGTGGAGCTCCCTACGGGGCCACGAAGCGTGTGAGGGGTGAGCCGAAATTTGTGCGGCGGTGCCGTGTGGGCGCTGCTACTGGGGCCTTCGGCTGAGCTCCCCATGGTGCCTTGAAGCGTGTGAGGGGTGCTCCGGAACTGGTGCGGCCTTCGGTGTAGCTTCCTACGGGGCCACAAGGCGTGTGAAGGTTGTGCCGAAACTGGCGCGGCGGTGCCATGTGGGCGCTGCCTATGGGGCCTTAGGTGGAGCTCCCCATGCGGCCACGAAGCGCGTGATGAGTGTGCCGAAACTGGCGCGGCGGTGCCATGCCAGCGCTGCCGCTGGGGCCTTAGGTGGGGCTCCCTATGAGGCCACGAAGCGTGTGAGGGGTGTGCCGAAACGGGTGCGGCGGTGCCATGCGGGCGCTGCTATTGGGGCCTCCGGTGGAGCTCCCTACGGGGCCACGAAACGTATGAGGGGTGTACCGAAACTGACGCGGCGGTGCCATGTGGGCGCTGCCATTGGGGCCTCCGGTGGAGCTCCCCATGGGGCCACGAAGCGCGTGATGGGTGTACCGAAGCGGGTGCGGCGGTGCCATGCCAGCGCTGCCACTGGGGCCTTAGATGGAGCTCCCTACGCGGCGACGAAGCGTGTGACGGGTGTGCCAACACGGGTGCGTCGGTGCCATGCGGGCGCTGCCACTGGGGCCTCCGGTGGAGCTCCATATGTGGCCACGAAGCGTGTGAGGGGTGAGCCGCAATTTGTGCGGCGGTGCCATGTGGGCGCTGCTACTGGGGGCATGTCGGCCTTCGGAGGAGCTCTCTCTATGGGGGCTACGAGTTTTGAGGGGTGTGCTGGAATGTTTTACATGCGGAGGCAGAGGCAGGGATGGGAGGATGGGGGAGGAGGAGGAGGAGGAAGGAGTAGGAGGAGGAGGACGCGGGGCGCAGCTGATTCAGAACGAGGACTCAACTCAACACAGGATGGTTGGGAAAGGCAATGCGCGCGGCGCAAAGGCGAGAGCTTCATTTTGAAAAGGAACCGCCTTGCATTCATGAAGCCACTGTGAACTTTGAAAAAGATTGCGTGCAGCTTGCAAGCGAGAGCACCATTATAAAAAGGACCCCGGTCCCATCCACGATAATACTGCAGCCATGTCAGGCGGTAGCTACAGTTTGGCAAGGAGCAGCCATCCATCCGTGAAGCCGGTGCGCACTTTGAGGTGACGACGGCTGACTGTCTGCGATGCATCGGCGGGAGCTGCAGTTTGAAAGCGACCTCGCCCTTCCACCCGTGCAGCTGGTGTCCCTTTCGGGACGAGTGTGCGCGGCGCTGAGACGAGGGCCTCATTATGAGAGATGGCCGCTCACTGTCCGTGAAACTGCTGCACACTTTGAAGACGACTGTGCACAGCGTCACGTCGAGAGCGGCATTGTGCAAAGGATCGGTGCCCCCATCCGCGAAACTGGTACAGGCTTGTTAGACGACTGCTGGCAGCGCTAAAGTGAGAGCCACATCGTGAACAGGATCAGTACCTCATCCGTGGAAGTGCTGCACGTTTTTCAGACGAATTTCGAATGTGCGCGGTGTTGGTGTAAGAGCCACATGTTGAAAACGATTACCAGTCTGCCAACACGTTGTTAGTTCAAGCTTGAGGAGCTGAACCGAGGAGAAGGATGGAGGGAGGAGGAGGACGGAGGATGGAGGAAGAGGAGGAGGAGGAGGAGGAGGAGGAAGAGGAGGAGGAGGAGGAGGAGGAGGAGGAGGAGCAGGAGCAGGAAAAGGAGGACGGAGGCGGATAACAGAGGAGAACGGAAGAACTTACCAGAGTAAGCACATGATGCATCAAAGATGTTGTAATGCACTCTCCCGTCCCCGTCCTCCAGATTCGGCACAGACATTTCTTCGTGACGCCCCTTTGAGAGAGACGAGTGCCCCATGGGCATACCGTTCCTGCAGGAGCCCCGCTCGGAGACACAGTTGTCCTGCATCCCCGTTGGTAGAGCGAACGGCGAGATGTGGGGCCAGCAAGTCCAAGACAGTGACCAACGGGAGCACCGTTGTGAAAATGAATCGCCTTCCATCCGTGTAGCTGTTGTAGAATCCTAAACCTGGAGGCTTCATCTTAGGAGGTATCACGGGAGAGTGCAGTTTTGAACATGATCCGCCCCACTACGCGTGCACCTGTTCCACAATCTTCACTCCTGGCCACATGTTTGAAAACGTTTCATGCGAGAGCACCGTTTTGAAACTTGACCGCCCTCCGTCCGTGAAGCTGTTGCAAACGACTTACACAACACACATGGCAGCAAATGGTGCAGAAGTATAGATCGATGCCTCCATTCTGAAGCAGCACCTTCTTCTGTCCGTGTAGCTGCTGCTAGCTTTCAGCACGAGCGTGCCACAGCGCCAGAAACTATCAGCGCATGCTCACAGTTCTGAGTCGAGGTTGGAAACGGTTCGTTCTCCTTCCTCGTGGCGGATTCCTTTCTCTTAATGAGAATGTGCGCGGCGCTCAGGCGAGAGCCTCATCTTGAAAACGGTTGGCCCTGCATCCATGTAACCGGTTGAAGCTTTGAAGATCAATGTCCGCGGATGTACAGCGAGAACCACACTTTGAACGTTGCCTGCGCTGAATCCGTTCAGCTGTTGAGCATCTAGAGAAGCAGGATCACGAGCGGTGGGGACATCTCAAGCGACATGCTGGCCCTTCCTACCCACAAGTCTGGTGGTGCGACGATGACGGATTATTCCAAAGGGCGGGGAATGGAGGAGGGTGATGATGCTGATGGTGGTGGTGATGCTGATGCTGATGATGCTGCTGATGATGCCGATGGCGACGATGACGATGATGATGCTGATGGTGATGACGATGATGGTGATGACGATGATGATGAGGATGAGGATGCTAATGCGGATGATGACAATGGTGGTGATGACGATGATGATGATGGTGATGACAATGATGATGATGATGATGATGATGATGATGATGATGATGATGATGATGATGATGATGATGATGATGCTGATGGTGATGATGATGATGATGATGATGCTGATGTTGATGCTGATGATGATGATGATGATCATCATGATGATCATGATGATCATGATCATGATGAGGATGATGATGATGATGATGAGGAGGAGGAGGAGGAGGAGGTGCAGGAGGAGGAGTAGAAGGAGGAGGTGCAGGAGGATGACCGATGACGAGGCGCGACCCGCGGCGGCGATCGCCCGCGCTGGCCGAGAGCTCCAGGGGTCCCCCGGACTCGGGATCGCCCGGGGCCGCGGATGATGATGATGATGACGATGATGATGATGATGATGATGCTGATGATGATGATGATTATGATGATGATGCTGATGATGATGATGATGACGATGATGATGATGATGACGATGATGATGATGATGATGATGCTGATGATGATGACGATGCTGATTATGATGATGATGCTGCTGCTGATGGTGATGATGACGATGAGGAGGAGGAGGAGGAGGAGGAGGAGGAGGGGGAGGAGGAGGAGGAGGAGTAGAAGGAGGAGGTGCAGGAGGAGGACGGGGAGCATAACGAGGAGGAGGAGAAGGACCCTGCTCTCCAGGCGCCGCGAAGACAACCACGACTGGCGTTTAACCATGGCTTCGGCGTCCCAGGGGCCTTTGTCAAGCCCGAGGCTCCAGGACCATCAAGGCATTGCCCGCGGCAGGAAGGTGGTCAAGGGGGGGATAGGTCGAGAGCTCGGGCCCAACGGACTGGATCAATCACGATGTCGGAGGTCTGCGGTGGAAAATTGGACTCAGTCCGTCGAAGAAGAAGTGCCTCAAGCGCGAGACAACACAACCCAGGAAGCGCAACCATGCGAAAGCAAGGTGGCGCAGGAATTTGGAGCGCGACTGGAATGAAGGAGGGAAGGAAGGATGGACGGACGAGGGGAGGACATGCGAAGGGATGCGAAACATAGTTCCTGGTTCTCTGTGGATGAGCAGGGAGGGCGGACGTTTGGGGCGAGGAGTTCGACGCTCCTGGTCTCTTTCCAGGCATCCCTGAGGGCCCTTCGTTGCCGCGCGCCGCGGCTGGCTGTTTTGATTCGTGAGTCCTGCTCAGAGCGCGCTCCGAGAGAAGTCTCGTGGGTCCACGTCGAGGGGCGCGGCTTTGTCTGAGGTCTTCGGAGGCCCTCGGAGGGTCCTTCGGGCCCTTGGCGCTTCTGCGGGGCACCAGGGCGTTCGCGGACATCTCTGGATGAGGGGTCGCGACTGTGGCCCCGGGCGGCTCGCGCGTGGGACCAGGCTGCGAAGTGCGGGTGGGTCGCGGAGCTGGTAGCAGGTGGGTCGCAAGGCGGCCTGCGTGGTTGACTGCGGGCGGGTCGCCGCTGGGTCGCGCGGGGCCACTGTGAATCAGGAGGTTTCCGAACCTCTTCTTCTTCTTCTTCTGCTTTGCTCTGTTGTTTGGTGGTGTGTTGCGTGGCGCTTTAGTTGTGAAAGCTTTTATTGAATCGCTTCGCTCATTCCGCCGGCCCATAGTGTAGCGTCGCTGGCACTTGCTTGCGTGCTCGGGGGGGCATTTGGGTGGCCTCCTGGGGCCGCTTGGGGGCCTCTTGGGGGCCTCCTGAGGGCCTGTTGGGGGCCTCTTGGGGCCTCTTAGGGGCCTCTTGGGGCCTCCTGGGGACTTCTGAGGGCCGAGGGCTCGAAATATTGTTTCGTGTTCCCCCCCTGGGGTCCCTCTTGGGGCGTTCTTGGGGCCCTCTTGGGCCGTCTTGGAGGCCTCTTGGGCCGTCTTGGAGCCCTCTTGGGCCGTCTTGGGGCCCTCTTGGGGGCCTCTTGGGCCCTCTTGGGGCGGTCTTGGGGGCCTCTTGGGCCGTCTTGGGGTGTCGTGAAGCCGAAAAGGTGGAAACGCCAAAATCTCTCCAAAACCTAAGGAAAAGCAGTGAATTTTGCCTCTTGGGGCCCTCTCGGGAGTGCTCTTGGAGGCCTCTTGGGGCGTCTGGGGGCCATCGTGGGCGTCTTGGAGCGATCTTGTGGCATCTCGGACCCCTCATGTAGCATCTTGGGGGCCTCTTGGAAGCCTCTTGGCCCTTCTTGGGGCTCTCGGGGACGTCTCGGAGCCGCGTTGGTGCGCTGCTGGAGCGCCCTGGTGACTCCTCCCGGGACTCTCTCTGGACCTTGCCGGGGTACTTTCCGCCCGGGGGCCCCCGGGGGCCGCCCCGCGCGCGCGAAGTAGAAAGATTGTAAAGCAGTCACCGGAGATCTTAGCACGCCTCTGGCCCGTTGGGCCGGCGAATTTGAGTATCAGCTGCAGGAGTGACATGTCGCTGTCATTCGCAACTTGAAAGCATGGTGTACGTCCTTCACGGAGAGAATCCGACTGTAAAGCCGCACGGGGAGATGTGATGTGCAACCCGAACATGAGAAATCAACGTGTGATTCCCCCCCACAAAAAGGACTCCTACTGCAAAGCCGCACTTGAGGATTCTGGGTGAAGTCCACACACACACACTAGGAAACAATGTGCAAATCCTAGGCACAGGAAGTGTGTTGCAACACAGCACAGAGGGATTCTCTTCGCAATCCGCACAACAGGAATCATGTTGCACACCCCCACAAAGAATCTTACTGGTAAAACGCCACAGGGTTTTAGCTGTCTTTCACCGCGCTCGACGGCGGCGGCGGCGGGAAGTACCAGCCGTCGGACCATGGGCGCCCTAAGGCTACTGGGCCCCCGGTGCTCCTCTCTCTCTCACGGCCTGGTGCGCCTGCTCCTCTCCACCGAGGGGCGCCGCCCCACGCGCGGGCGCGGTGGTGATACCGCAGTGGTCGGACCGTCCACGGTGCCTCCCTCCTCTCCCTTCCTTCGAGGGAGTAAAAATCACCCAGCCCTGCCCTGTTCGATTCCTTCCTTGGGTGCGTTTGCTAAACGGCTTCGCTTGTCGGGGTGATTCTTGCTATGGGGATGGATTTTCTGCCCCCCACTCCTGCCCCCCTCCTGCGGCTCCGAAGTAGTGCAGCGCCGCCGCCCTCAGCCCCCGCTGGTTCATGTCGTGTCCAGCTCCCCAGGGAGAGGGCCTCCTCGCCGAGGCATCGACACGGGAGCGACCCTTCACCAACCGTCGGCGGAAGGTCGCGGAAGGCTCGCAGAAGTTGGCGGAAGTGAAACGAGAGATGTTTGTAGAGTGAAGTGTGAAGTCGGGCCTGCCCCTCTACAGGAGGAATATTGGAACACAGTCAAACAATTGTCCGGGGACGATTTTTTGTTTATTCTTCGACCAGTTTGAATATGTTTTGGCTTTTTTTACTCTCCGCCCAAAATCCGCCTGTAGAAGGACATGCCAGACCTAATCGTAAAGGCTTCACGCTTCGCGCCAGATCCACTGATCCGTGATCCATGTTAGCGCGTGTACGAACGAAATGCAGGAAGAGCGGCAGGATCGAAATGCAGGAAGAGCGGGGACGAAGAAGACCGACAGCGCTCTTGCCCATATTGCACAGGACTCCCGTGGGCGATGTCCATTCGAAACAAGAGTTCGCCTGCCCACCAGCGACCGCTGCTGGTTGGACGATATTTGCTGTTGGGCATCGGCCTCATTCTTTGTCCATGCCCACGTCGGGCGAGCCCAAAGGGTTGTCTTCCCCGAAAAAGCTTGACCTCAGTGAGCCAAGGTTTGCTTGAGCTTGTCGCGCACAGGGCATTGGGATTGTCCGAGATGGTTTCTGGATTCATATCTTGAGGGAGGAGACGGCGTCAGGTTTGGATGGAGACCAGCCGTTGCCCAACAGCGCCGGCCCTAACATACACACAACTGTCACAGTCACCGTCGCCATCACTGTCGCAACCGCTCCCGCCAACATTACTGGTGTTTTTGGCTGAGGGCTTGTGGGTCAGCACTGTCGTCGCGCCCTCGCGGTCGCCACCGGCCTCCATGACTTACCGTGTCTTCGGATCGGCAGGGTCGCCTTACAGCGTGAAGGTCCGCTCCTACTTCCGCTACAAGGACATCGACCACGTGTGGGTCGTCCGCAATTCGCCCGAGGCGGTGGCAGAGCACTCGGGGAGGGAGGCAAGGAGGGAAGGAGGTCGGCGAGCCCCGTGGGTGGCGAGTGCTGGCGCTGGAGGGTCCCGCCGCGGGTAGACCAGGGTGCAGGTTCCCACCGTCGTGGGTCGCAGACCGGCGCTCCGGGGTAAGGAGGAAGGAGGAGGAGGAGGAGGAGGAGGCAAAGGAGGAGGAGGAGGAGGAGGAGGCGAAGGAGGAGGAGGAGGCGAAGGAGGAGGAGAGGACTTGGAGGACCATTGCGGCAAGACAGGTTGGCGTGGGCTCGGCAGAGCCGAGTCAGACCGTGAACAGCAGCAGCTGCGGTTATATATTTTTCCAGTGCTGCGCCCGGCGCGAGCTCTCGCGGCCAGGCGCCCATGGGGCTCGCACCTGGACAGAGGCCACGGGCACCCCCAGCCGAAGGCACGATCCCAGCAAAGCACGCCACGGTCGACCCGCATACGTAGTAAGGATGGGCAACCGTCCCAAGGGTAGCCCTTGCATCCTGGTCTCCTCGGTCCATCCTTGGCCACTCCCGTTGGCCGCGTCCCGCTCGAAAAGCTCCGAGATGGGCGTCCAAGGCCCTGCATCCTTATCGCGCATCCTTCTGATACGGGCCGGCTGTAGTAGCAGCAAAGGTGAAGAGCCGGGTTGAGGAATAGGAGGTCGGCCAGTGAAGACGTTCATTCCTGGGTATTCCCAGGGATTCCCACAACCTTCGACAACGCATTCTTATAGGTACTCCCTCCTAGGGATTCCTAGGTGTCCCTAGGATTCCTAAGTATTCCCAGGGGTTACACTCAAAGGCGCCTTGAGCCCCCCTTCAATGTCGGCCCCTCCAATGTCGAAGGAAGCCGACGAATGCTTTAGGGGGTGCGACTCGGGATTTCCATGCTGGTCGATATTGGAAAGGGGGCGCCAACAAATACTTCGCACTCATTGACGTCCAACCCCAGGCAATCACATGCGCAAATACCGTACGTTCTTTGTCTGACGACTTACGCGCTGGCTTCTGGCACCGCGTGGATCCTTCAATTTTGGACGGTAACAGCGTTTCGAGAATCCAGATCGCGCATGTCGTCCGGCTCCAGACCACTGGCGTCGTCCAGCCTCGAACGCCCGCGCTGGGGTCGCTGCCGCGTCGACGCGACGCGAACCTACCGCAAGAGACGTGACGCATTTTTGGGCTTAAGTTTGCCGAGGGTTGTAGTCGGAAGCTGGAGCACATACAGGTGCGAAACTCAGTGTGAGGCCAGACAAAGGCGTCAGTGTACAGAGTTCGGCTCCTTATGCAGAAACGCTGACGGGCAGGACAGGGCCGAGAGCACGGCCATGTGCACCGTATAGCTTTTATCTGCCCCGGGCATCGCGGCCGTCTGGCCCACAGGTGCAGCGGGCGTTGCCCCGAGAGTACGGCTCTCGAGCAACTCGCGGGGCAAGTCTCCAGCGAAACGGCTTCCGGACCCGGCGTCCTTTTCCTTCTGTTGAAGCCCTCCTTTTCGCGGAATGCTGTCGTGGGAGCGCGCGGGCCACCGAGGCGCCCACGGGCGGAGGCGGTCCCTGCCGCCCTCCGAAAGAGGACAGGGGCGCTCCGTCAGACGGGGCCCTGAGACCCAGGCGCCGCCATTTTTTTTTCACGCTGGGCGTGTTCGCCAGGGTTCGGGCCCCGGGCTCACCACGTGTCGATCCGGCGCGGAGCATGCAGAAGTAGGGGGTCTCTAGGGCCCAGGGCTTTGTCGCGATGTGGCATTCTGGTTCTCAACGTCGGACCTCAGGGCGGGTTGAAACGATTCAACCCCTCGCGGCGGAGGATCTACGCTTCGTGCCGCAGAAAGCCACCGGCAGACCGTGGTGCCCCCCGAACAGTTGGTGAACCGAGCAAGGCGGAACCATGGGGCCCGAGCCATGGGGAGAACCTGGCAATGGGGGGGCATCCTGGATCTCGCCCCACTGGGCACACCACCCAGCCCAGCGAAGGGCACACCAGCACGCTCCAAGTCCCACCAAAGGGGGGCCCGCCTCTGGCAGTGCTACGGCGGGTCGCAAGCTCCACTTGTAGCCAGCCGATGCCCGCGGCACCGCCCACCCTGAGCGAGGGGCATTCCAGCTGCCCCTGAGTGCTACCAGGGCCCCGCTGTCCAAGCAGCGGGGACTGGAGGAGAAGGGAGGGAGGAGGGGGAGGAGGGGGGAGGAGGGGGAGGAGGAGGAGGAGGAGGAGGAGGAGGAGGGGAGGAGGAGGAGGAGAGGAGGAGGAGGAGGAGGAGGAGGAGGAGGACGAGGAGGACGAGGAGGACGAGGAGGAGGAGGAGGAGGACGAGGAGGAGGCCGAGGAGGAGGAGGAGGAGGAGAAGGAGGAGGAGGAGGAGGAACCTCCCTCCCTCCCTGAAAGGCCATGTCTGAGCACGCCAAGTATTCGAAGCTCCCCCTGGTCCCCACGGTTGTCTCCCCCGACGGGAAGGCGATGCAGGCCAGGCAGCGCCAGGGGGTGCAATCATTCAGGGGTTCGCCACCTCCTCCCAAGGATCGAGGACCAAGGAGGCCAGGGGCAGCGTCAGGGGGGATTTGCTCAGGGGGGAAACATCGACCCCCAATCGCCCATTAATCGCCGATAGGGGCTCGATGGCCCACCCCGCCCAAGAACGTGCGGTTTCGTTATCGGGGGTCCACCGCCGATCCATCGGCGATACGTCGCCGATTCACGCCCGATGCTCCCCCATTCTGAACGAGTCCCCCTTGTCGTTGAGGATCGAATAGTTTTTTAGGCTGACGCCGCACCGCTGACCCCTTCGGGGACTCGCGGTTGTTGTGTTTTGCTCTTGCGGGCCTCGTGGGCGGCTTTTGTGGGCTTCTTGGGGCTCTTCGCGGCTTTATAGGAGCCTCTTGACTCTTGTGGGCCTCTTGGGGTGACATTCTGAGTGTTCGTCGTGCACGCATGGTGAAACGGGCGAGAACCCATGTATACAGACGGCGGGCATTTGGCAAAACACCAGAAGAGTGATTATCGAATGGCTTTCGGCACATCCCGCCACCATGCTTGGGTTGCGGGTCTGAGGCCACTCGGATGGCTAATGGGGTCTCGTGGGGGGCGTTTCGGGGGCGTCTTGGAGGCAGTTTTTGAATCTCTTGGGGGCCTTCTAGGGGCCTCTTGGGGGCTTTTTGCGGCCCTCTTGGGGCTCTTCTTGGGGCAACCCGGAGGCGTCTTGGGGTCGAAGGCTCGAAATGTCAATTCGGGTTCCCCTTTTGGGCCCCCGCTTGGGGCTGTCCTGGGGCCCTCCTGGGCCGTCTTAGGGGCTTCTTGGGCCGTCTTGGGGCCCTCTTGGTTCCTCTGAGAAACCTCTTGGTGGCCTCTTGGCCCGTCTTGAGGCGATCTTGAAGGCCTCTTGGGCCGTCTTGGGGCGTCTTGGGGGCCTCTTGGGCCGTCTGGAGGCCAGCGTGGGCGTTTTGGATCGATCTTTCAGCGATTCGTGGCCCTCTTGGACCGTCAGGGGTGTCTCTTGGGGCCCTCTTGGCCCGTTTTGGAGCCCTCTGTCCCAACCCCAAGGGGTCGGGCGGGTTTTGATAAGTGTTCGGGCGCGCTGGGCCTCCCTAAGATGAGGTGGCGGCCCTCCTGGCGGTGACCCCCTCTGGCAATGCCTTGCTCAGGACTCCACTCCGATCATCGAGGCCATGGAGGCCCTTTTCCCGGAGCCCGCCGTGCACCCGGCGGACGGCGCGCTGCGCTTCGTGTCCGAGCTGCTCGAGGAGTTTGGGGACGAGTGGGGCAACAAGTGGATGATGCACCTGCGGTGGTACCCGGAGGAGGCAAGTTGCCGATGCCGCTACCCTTCCCTCGTCGCCACGGCCGGAATTGTCCTCGAAATCCTAGTCAGCACGCGCCCCATGAGAGGTCCGGCGGCATGGATATATATATATATATATATATATATATATAGATATGTGTATATATATATATATATCTTTGTTCCCCCCAGGCCCCCGAGGTCATGTTTTTTCATTTCGTCGACCCCCTGAGGTCTCGACCCATTGCCTGGGAGCGATTTTTCGTCCTGAGCCGCTACTTGACGGTCCCGAGGCCCAGTAAGGGCCGCCAGATGCCGAAAATGGCGAACAAAAATCCCGTCGTGCTTTTTTCACTGCTTGAAGGGGTCGGGACCCCCAGGTACTCCGCGTCCAGCGGCCCCACCACGGACGCCTACGCGCGCAGGATCGCCGCGGAGCTCCGGAGCGGCGCGCCGCCGGACACCCCAGGCCTCGCCGACGAGGTGGCCGCCTTGGCGGCCTCCTTCAAGGACCGCATGCTGGGCCGCGGCTTCACCGTGGGCTCGAGCGAGCACACGGCCCCCATCTCGAAGGAGACGAGACGGGGTAAGCACAGACATTCGGCCATCGGCGCGAACTTCTCGGACCGGCGCTGGGCCCCCCGTGTCGGCGCCTGCGGCGCCGCCCCTGGCGCGCTCCGCGGGCCGCGCGCCAGGGAGGGGGGGCCCAGCGCAGGTCCAAGGAGTCCGCGCGAGCGTCCGAAAGTGCATGCTTGTGCCGCTCCTGCTCCTTCCGCCATCATCGAGCGGTCCTACCTCGACGCGATCGTCCTCCTGGAGGCGCACTTCGCGACCGGGCGGCCCTACATCCTGGGGCGCAGCCCCTCCATGGCGGACTTCGGGCTGGCGGGGCAGCTCTACCAGTGCTTTCAGGACCTGCTACCAGGCAAGGTTTCTCGCTGCTGTTTTCCCTCTAGTAGCAATATCACTAAGGATTCGAACAGTGGTCAAGAAGGACCACACAGAAGTCCCAAAGAGGAGACCGGGAGACGTAGGAGACCGGACTCCCGGAACTTCGTTTCGCTTGAGATTACCTCGCACTTTGGGGCCACAGAAGAGATCCACATGTTTTTTACCTAACAGCGTTTGCTGATAGGTTTCTAGTATGGTCAAAAGAGAGCATCATGATTCCTCAGGGGGGTCTGGGCGGGTGCCGGGGAGGAGAACCGGGAATCGTTTTTCGCCAACAGTCACACACTTCGTGCTCTTCGACCTCCCAGAACTCCATTCCCGGGACACATTCTGGAGAACCGGGAACAGAGCCGGGTTCGCTTTTCGCCAACAGTCACACACTTCGTGCTCTTTGACTTCCCAGAACTCCATTCCCGGGCCACTTTCTGAAGAACCGGGAACAGAGCCGGGCTCGTTTTTCGTCAACAGTCACACACTTCGTGCTCTTCGACTTCCCAGAACTCCATTCCCGGGCTACATTTTGAGTGCCCGGAGCCAACTGTAGGCCACTTCGTGCTCTTCGAGTTCCCAGAACTCCATTCCCAGGCCACATTTTGGATGCCCGGAGCCAACTGTAGGCCACTTCGATCGAACTCCATTCCCAGAACTGGGTCCCGGGCCACATTTGAATGAGGCAGGCTGATGCTGAGGCCGAGGCAGGCTGAGGCTGAGGCAGGCTGAGGCTGAGGCCGAGGCTGAGGCAGACTGAGGCTGAGGCTGAAGCAGACTGAGGCTGAGGCTGAGGCAGGCTGAGGCTGAGGCTGAGGCTGAGGCAGGCTGAGGCTGAGGCTGAGGCTGATGCAGGCTGAGGCTGAGGCAGGCTGAGGCTGAGGCCGAGGCTGAAGGCAGACTGAGGCTGAGGCTGAAGCAGGCTGAGGCTGAGGCTGAGGCAGGAGGCAGGCTGAGGCTGAGGCTGAGGCAGGCTGAGGCTGAGGCTGTGACTGCGACTGCCGTTGCCGCTGCGACTGTCATCGCGAATGCGACTACGACTGCGAGAACAGCAGAATTCTACAACTGGATTTTCATCTGAATCTTAAGGGGAATGCTTTCAGATATGCTTCTACATATCGCTGTTAGGTTGCTTTGCCGGGATCTTTTTTTTTTTTGTTTGTGTGTGTGTGTGTGTGTGTGTGTTTGTGTGTGTGTGTGTGTGTAAGCAGGTGTGTGTATATGTATGTATATATATATATATATATATATATATGAGTCGGCCGGGGGGGGGAGGGGGAAAATCGGTGCCGTCGTCCCCCATGGGGCCCCCCCGAACCTTAAGGTCACAGACCCCCTGGGACTGCCCCGGGCCGCTTCCAAATTGCCCACGACAGGCCACGCGGGCCGTGCAGATGGTCACGAAAGCCTGAAGAGGCCCCGAAGACGCCAAAGAGCGCCCCAAGAGGGCCTGTGAGGGCCCCAAGAGGGCCTTCAAGAGGCAAACATCGGCCCAGTTCCCTTGTAAAACGTGCATTTTCGGCATACTCGCTGGCTTCGTCTTCACAGTGCCCCAGGCCCCCGCGGAGCCCCAACACAGCCCAAGATAGACCCAAGAGGGGCCCAGACGGCCCAAAAGGGTCGGCCTGCGGGGCTCACGGACCCCCCCAAGACGGCCCAAGAGGCCCCGAAGCCGGCCCAGGAGGCCCCCAAGACGGCCTCAGGGAGGCCCAAGAGGGCCCCGTTCGAAATCATGTTCCCGGAAGCCTCTCTGGGAACATGATTTCCGGGTAGGGCCCCTTAGAGGGCCCCAGGACAACCTCAGCGAGGCCCCAGAGGGCCCGAGATGGCTTGAATATGGCCGAAGAGAGCCCCGAGAGGGCCTTCAAGAGGCAAACATCTGACTACTTTCTCGTAAAGCGTGCGTTTTCGGCATACTCGCTGGCTTCGTCTTCGCAGTCCCCCAGACGCCCCCGAGGAGCCCCAAGCCAGCCCAAGAGAGACCTAAGAGGGGACCAGACGGCCCAAAAGGGTTGGCCTGTGGGGCTCACGGAACCCCCCAAGACGGCCCAAGAGGCCCCGAAGCCGGCCCAGGAGGCCCCCAAGACGGCCTCAGGGAGCCTAGGCCCAAGAGGGCCCCGTTCGAAATCATGTTCCCGGAAGCCTCTCCGGGAACATGATTTCCGGGTTCCCAGGGCCCCGTTAGAGGTCCCCAGGACAGCCTCAGCGAGGCCCAAGAGCGCCCGAGATGGCTTCAAGATGGCCGAAGAGGGCCCCAAGAGGGCCTTCAAGAGGCAAAAATCAGCCCGTCCCCGTAGTAAACCGTACATATTCAGCATGCTCCCTTGCTTCGTCTTCTCAGTGCCCAAGACGCCCCCGAGGAGCCCCAAGACAGCCCAAGAGAGACCCAAGAGGGCCCAAGACGGCCCAAAAGGGTCGACCTGTGGGGCTGACGGAACCCCCCAAGATGGCCCAAGAGGCCCCAAAGCCAGCCCAGGCCCCAAGATGGCCTCAGGGAGGCCCAAGAGGGTCTCGTTCGAAATTATGTTTCCGGAAGCCTCTCCGGGAACATGATTTTCAGGTTCCCAGGACGCCTAAAGACAGCCCCCAGAGGCCCCAGACATGCCGAAGATGACCTCAGGACGGCCGACGACGCCGCCAAAACGCCCCAAGAGCGCCTGCAGAGGCCCCTCCAAAGGGCCCCAGAAGCAGACAATTATAATTTGTTCATTGGTTTTTGAAGCATTCTTGCGCTCTCCCATGTTCGGCCTCCGCACGGTCCCGGACCGCGTCAGAGGCCCTTCAGATCGCTCCAAGACGGCCGAAGAGGCTCCCAAGAAAGCCCAGAGACGGCCCAGGAGGTTCCCCAGATAAGTCAAGAGGGCCTCGAGAGCGCCCCAAGAGAGCCCCAAGAGCGACCCAAAGGGCCCGAAGAGCGCGACATTCCGGCCTGAGAGGCTCCTAGGACAGGCCATCAAAAGGTTCCCAAGAAGCCCCGTGAGGCTCCCAAGAGGCCCCCCGGAAGCCCTAATAGGCCCCCAGGGGGCCCGCCCCCAGGGAAGCCCCCTGTGGGCCCCCAAGACACTTCGGTAAATCGTATTTCCCAGATAGCTTTCCGGGAACATGATTCCTTGGGCTTCCGCCCACCGCCCCAACCATATTTCCAATAGGCTTGCCGACAAGGCCAAAAGGCGCCCCTCGGTAAGCCCCCAGAGGCCCCCCTCTTAGAGAGCTGAACGAATCATGCTCCCGGAAAGCTTCCCGGGAACATAATTCTCTATCTCGGAGTAGGCCCGGGGGGGGGGGGGCGGGCCGCTGCCTGTTCCCCCCATCGGTGCCCACCAGGGGGTGCGGGGGAGGTCCAGAGCTCCCGAGGCGGCCCGAGCCCGCCCCGAAGCAGGCCACGACAGGCTAATGGGGTCCCGAGAGGGCCCAAGACGGTCCCACGAGGGCCCGGAGACGCCCAAGATGCCTTCAAGACAGCCGACGAGGAGTCCAACACGCTCCAGGACGGATTCAAGAGGCTGCCCAAGAGGGCCCTGGAAGACAAGATTCACTCGTTTTCCGAGTGTTTTGGATTTTGGCGTTCTCGCTTTTCCCGCTTTCCAGCGCTCCCTTCACGGCCTCGGAGACCCTTCAGATCGCTCCAAGAAGGCCCACGCGGCCCCGACGAGGGCCCCAAGACGGCCCAGGATGCTCCCCAGACAACCCAAGTGTGCCCCAAGAGCGCGCCAAGAGAAGGCCCAGAGGGGTCCCGAGGCGGCGCGGGCCCGCCCCGAAGCAGGCCACGACAGGCTAATGGAGGTCCCGAGAGGGCCCAAGACGGTCCCAAGAGGCTCCGAAGACGCCCAGGCTGCCCTCAAGATGGCCGACGAGGACTCCAACATGCTCCAGGACGGACTCAAGAGGCTCTCCAAGAGGGCCCTGGGAGGCAAGATTCGCTAATGTTCCGATGGTTTTTGAAGGATTTAGGCGTTCTCGCTTTCCCCGCTTCCCAGCGCTCCCTCACGGCCTCGCTCGGAGGCCCTTCAGATCGCTCCAAGACGGGCCACGAGGCCCCGAAGAGGGCCCCAAGACGGCCCAGGAGGCTTCCCAGACAACCCAACTGTGCCCCAAGAGCTCCTCAAGAGAGGGCCCAGAGGGGGACCGCCAACCGATATTTCGAGGTCTCTGGACCTAGAGGCCGCCTGTAGGCCCCGGAGGCCACCACGAGCCTCCCACGAAGCCCCGTGAGGCGCCCAAGAGGCGCCCAGGAAGCCCCAAGAGACCCGCAAGGGGCTCCCAGGGAACGCCCAAGAGGCCCCCCAACACACCCCAAGAAATCATGTCTTCAGAAAACCTTCCGGGGACATGGTTCATCATGGGCCCGAGAGTTCGCGGAGACCCCCAAGGGGCCCCCAGGGAACGCTCAAGACACCCCCCAACACACCCCAACAAACCATGTCCCCAGAAAGCCTTCTGGGGACATGGTTCATCATGGGCCCGCGAGTCTCCGGAGGCTTCGAAGTACCATCATGCTACAGGAGAGCTGTCTGGGAAGTTGATTTGGAACATGACTGATCGCCTTCTCGCGGCCCTCCGCAGATCATTTCGCACAAAGTTGCCCCAAGTGCCCTCTTGAACCGACGACGACGAATACGAAACGACGAAGACGACGACGACCACGACCACGACCACGACCACGACCACGACGACGGCGGCGCGCCCCAATCGGCGACGACGACATTACGACGACGACGACGACGACGACGACGACGACGACGACGACGACGACGACGACGACGACGACGACGACGGCACGCCCCAACAGGCTCCCCAAGACGCCCCAAAACCCATGCTCCCAGAAGGCCTTCTGGGAACCCGATTCATACGGCCTCCGCCCCCCTACACAACCATTTTCCTCGAAGGCCTTTCGGAATGCAGATTGGCATGCCTGTACTGTGGTCCATTACTTCAAAGGAGCAGTGATTTCGTCAAGGCCTGGGGCCTGCTAGAACCTGAGCGCGCGCGAAGCGCGCGCGATGGTTCTAGTATATGTGTATATACATATATAGATATAAATCGGAGGTTGGGGGGTGAGATCGCAGTGAAACGGAGACCCCCCACCAGGAAATCGGTTTCGGTTTCGTGTTCGTCTCGTGCGTGCGGGCGAGGCGAAGCTGCGCCTGATCCTCCTGTAGCTAGGCCGAAGTAGGAGCGAAAGTCCGTTCCCGTCCACCGGTGGCTGGGAGGTGTCCCAGTTGGGCCGGGCGGTGTCCCGGGTGTCCCGGGTGTCAGCAGGAGCGAAAGTCCGTTTCCCGTCCGCCGGTGGCCGGGAGGTGTCCCATGGGCCGAGCGGTGTCCCGCCGGGTGTCCCGTGGTGTCCCGTGGTGTCCCCTGGTGTCCCGTTGAGTGAGATCGATCGTGAGATCGATAGTGAGATCGACAGGTGTCCCGTGGTGTCCCGTGTCCCGTTGAGTGAGATCGATAGTGAGATCGATACTGAGATCGATGTGGTGCCCCGAGGTGTCCCGTGGTGTCCCGTTGAGTGAGATCGATAGTGAGATCGATAGTGAGATCGATGTGGTGTCCCGAGGTGTCCCGTGGTGTCCTAAGGTGTCCCGCTGAGTGAGATCGATAGTGAGACCGATAGTGAGATCGAGAGGTGTCCCGCGGTGTCCCGTGGTGTCCCGTGGTGTCCCGTGGCGTCCCGCTGAGTGAGATCGATAGAGAGATCGATAGTGAGATCGACAAGTGTCCCGTGGCGTCCCGTGGTGTCCCGTTGAGTGAGATCGATAGTGAGATCGATTGAGTCAGATGTTGGTTCCCCCCCTTCTCCCCCCCCCACAACCTCCTTATCACCCGAAGGGTGGTCGTATAGGTATATATCGGAGGTTGGGGGGTGAGATCGCAGTGAAACGGAGACCCCCACCGGGAAATCGGTTTCGGTTTCGTGTTCGTGTCGTGCGTGCGGGCGAGGAGAAGCTGCGCGTGATCCTCCTGTAGCTAGGCCGAAGTAGGAGCGAAAGTCCGTTCCCGTCCGCCGGTGGCTGGGAGGTGTCCCAGTTGGGCCGGGCGGTGTCCCGGGTGTCCCGGGCGTCAGCAGGAGCGAAAGTCCGTTTCCCGTCCGCTGGTGGCCGGGAGGTGTCCCAGTTGGGCTGGGCGGTGTCCCGGGTGTCCCGGGTGTCCCGGGCGTCCCTGCGCTAACGCATGTCGCTAATTTCATAATTCATTTTTTTCGGCGCCTGCGGCGTATCCAATCCAGCTTATCTTATCCAATCCATCTTGTCCAATCCAATCCATCTTATCTCATCCAACCCGTCTTGTCCCATCTTATCTGATCCCACCCAATCCAATCCACACCCAATCCGTCAATTCATTTGTTTCTGCGCCTGCGGCGGGCCAATCCAATCCATCTTCTCTGGTCCATTTCTTCCAAGCCAACCCATCTTATCTTATCCATCCATCTTATCCCATCCAATCCACTCCATCCAACTCAATTCATCAATTCATTTATGTCGGCGCCTGCGGCGGGCTTTCTTATCCAATACAGCTTATCTTCTCCAATCCATCTCGTCCAATCCAATCCATTTTATCTCATGCAACCCATCTTGTCCCATCTTATCTTTTCCCACCCAATCCAATCCATCCAACCCAATCCATCAATTCATTTGTTTCTGCGCCTGCGGCGGGCCAGAGAGAGAGGGCGAGAGAAAGAGAGAGAGAGAGACAGAGAGACAGAGAGAGAGAGGCAGAGAGAAAGAGAAATATGAGATCAAGGTGACAGGCTGGAGGTCAGTCAGGGTGGGCATTTGATCTCAATCCCCCCCAACCTGCTTATCGCCCGCAGGGCGGTCGTTTAGGTGTATATATATATATATTATACGTGTTTATGTACACACGTACGACATCATGTTTGCCATATGTTATTATACGCCCCCCCGCCCAGGGCTCCGGCACGCACCTCGATGACATCTCGCGCCAGTCTTGGTACCACCCTCCGGGTTCTCCCGGGTGGCACCAGGAGAGCTTCTCACCTTCAGCTCAGGCTCAGTGGTTTAGACGGGTTACTGGGCCCAGTGGTTTTTAGACGGGTTACGGGCTCAGCGCAGGCTCAGTGGCTTCTTGGGGCCACCTGAGAGGCCCGGGAGAACGGCTCTTGGTATGCTGTGTGGTTCAGGCTATGTCGTGCGAGCCACGTGGTGTACGCCCAGCGTACGGGGGCGCCCCCGGGCGCCAGCGAGACAGCAGCGCGGTGCGACCTCAGCGCACCTGCCCAGCGCACGAGGCGCCCCGGAAGGCGGCACCGACCGCAGCGTGGCACAGCGTCGGCGGACGCGCCCCGCGCACGGGCTGCCCACGAGGCGCCCCGCGGGCGGGGACGTGGCGGCACCCCGGCGGACGCACCCACCGCACGGGGCCGCCCACGGGGCGCCCCACGAGGCGAGGCCTCGGCGGACCCAGCCGCTCCCTTAAGGGGGCAGACGCAGGATGCCCCGCTCCGGGTCTCTCGGCAAGCGTCCGGGGGGGGGGGGCGTCCCCACCGCCGACAGCCCCACATCGGCCCTCCGTCGCGGGCAGCCGCCGCGCGCCGAAGGCGCTCCGAGCCCCGTCGCGGCGCGACGACGAGGCGAGGCTGACCCCCGTGGGGGGGTACCCCCCCCGCGCTTAGTAAGACACCCAGAGTAAGTGCAAGCACTGCTTGGAGAATCTAGAACGCGTTCGCCAGCATGGGCTCCAAACTGTGATTTCTTGCAGTGTATCTAGATAGTTCCGCGGTGCAGTCTGGATGGTGCAATGAACATGGTGCAATCTAGGGTATGCAAAACGTGTGGTGCAATGGTTGTGGTGCAAGGCAAGGAACAACAAGGCAAAGAAATGCACAGCAATGCAACGCACTGCAAAACAATGTAAAGCAACGCAAGTCAACGCAAAGCAAAGCAACGCTCTGCAACGCTCTGCAAAGCAGTGCACAACGATGCAACGCGATGCAAAGCAATGCACCGCACTGCAACGCAATGCAAAGCAGAGCAAAGCAATGGAACGCGAAGCAACACACTAGAAAGCAATGCCAACACGGTAACTCAGTTCACAGCAATGCAACGCAGTAAAAAGCAATGCGCAGCAATGCAACACAATGCAAAGCAATGTACATCAGTAAACCACAGTGCAACTCCGTGCACAGCAATGTAAAGCACTGTGCAAAGCAGTGCGAAGCGATACAACGCAATGCAAAGCAGCGCAGCGCAATGCAAAGCAATGCAAGGCAATGCACAGGAAAGCAACGCGATGCAAAGCACGGCAACGCACCACGATGGCAATGCCACGGGGGCGGGTGCCACGGGGCGGTGGCGACGAGCGGGAAGGGGGCCGCCGGGGGGCTGCAAGCGGGCCTTTCAGTGCGAAGTAGGGCTGGGACGCACGGGAAGGGGGCCGCCGTGGTCGTGCACGGGCCCAGATCCTCAGAAGGGAAGTGCGAGCCCCTGATTGTAAGCACCGCTTGAGGAGGAACACATCAGAGGCAACGCTTTTTTTGTCAGTGCGTCCAGGACCTGCTCCCGGGCGAGCAGATGCGCCTGCACGCACCCAGCGTCGCCCTCTGGTGCGAGCGTATGGTGAACCCGCGGCCCGTCTCCGGCGGCGGCTTTGAGGCGTGGCCGACGCTCGCGGGCACGTTGGAGCCGTTTCTGGCCTCCCAGGTGGCGATGTTTCTCATGTGGTCCGACGCCAACTCCAAGGCCAGAGGAGAGAAGGACAACCTGCAGACTGGGAGTTGTTTCAATACGTGCATTTCGCGCGCGGGGCGGAGCTCCGCGTGGATTTCTTGGATCGGCGGAGGGCGCCAGGGGCTGCGCTGGAGGCGCCGCCTGGGGGGCCCAACGTTGATGCTGAGAAATCTGCGCTGAGCTCCGAAAGTTGCTGTTGGCGCGCTTGTTCGGAAACTGGAGCATATACATTACCAGTGGCGGGTGGTTTTCCAATCCCAGGACTTTTCTGAGGGTCGGGGACGACGTCGGGGTGGTGTGGTGTATACTTGTTTCACCGTGTTCTCGGGGAAGATTCGAAGAATGTATACACCAGGATCCCGTATACACCAGGATCCGCCTTCCTGTGCGAGATTCAGTGTGAGGCCAGAGAAAGGCGTCGGTGTGTAGAGCTCGGCTCCTTACTTGTTCCTTCTTCAGAAGGCGCTGGCCGCCGGGAGCAAGGACATGTCCGTGGACCTGGGCGGCGGGCGGATCTGGCGGCAGGCGGTCGGGGGGCCGCAGAGGTACCACGCCAAGTCGCTGCAGGAGCTCCGCAGGAAGCACTCCCGCGCCGCCCAGGCTCGAGGCTTCGGGTTCGAGGTTCCCAGGCCCCCGACGTCATGTTTTTCCATCACGGCCGAAGCCCGTGTTCTCGACCCCTTCCCCGGGTCAGGGTTTTCGTCCTGAGTTGAGTGGCTTTTGGACGGTCCCGAGGCCCGGCAAGGGCCCTCGGCGACCGAGAATAGCGACGAACGTCTCTGCGTGATGTTTTCATGACTCGAGGGGGTCTGGGGTTGAGTTTCTCGGGCGGTCTCGTCGGTGCTCGGCGGTTTTTGTCCAGCCCCGGGGTGCCTCTCCGCAGCTGCGCGTCGCCGAGGGCGCTCCGTGGGTGCGCGGCTCGTGCAGAGCGGCCGCTGGATGCCGGAGTTGAGACCGGACAGCAACCAGGGTATCAGCTCAGGGTCGGGTGTTGCTAGAAGTGCCCCTGGCCCCAAGGTGCCCCCAGGATTCTGGCTGGGGGTGGCCCAGACGGCCTCCAGAGCACCCTCTCGAGGCCCAGAGGGCCCCAGGGGCTCCAGAACGGAGCGACAAGCTGGGGGCACCTTGGGCCAGGGGCACTTTTAGCAACACCCGACAGGGGGGGGATGTACAGTCGGCCCGGATGAGTAGGTCGACCCTGCCAAATCAAGGGTACCCTTGTGTCCTGCGTCGCGCGACCCATGCCTCCCACATTCCTGTGGCAACGTGGCCCTCGGAGGAGTCTTGTGTCCTCTCGCGTGTCCTCTCCAATCAAGTCCGGCTGTATCGACCCCCGATCGCCCACTGACCGCCGCTCAGGCCCCAGGGCTGTCGGACATCCTGGGGAGGTGCGGCTGCCTGGAGCTCCTGCAGGCTGGGCCGGGCACGTCGAGGCTGTAGTGGCGCGTCACGGTCGGCCCGCCCCTCTCCCCCAGCTGCTCCTCCTCCTGCTCCTCCTCCTCCTCCTCCTCCTCCTCCTCCTTCTCCTCCTCTTCCTCCTCCTCCTCCTCCTCCTCCTCCTCCTCCTCCTCTCCTGTCGCCGACGGTCGCTGGTGGGAGCTGTTCCAGTCCCCGCTCGGGTGTTGTTAGGCGTATCCCTGCCCCAAGGTGCCCAGGCCCTCGCGGCGAGGCCAAGATGGCCCAAGGGCTTCAAGCATGGAGCGAAAAGCTGGGGGCACCTTGGGTCAGGGGCACCTTTAGCAACCCCCGATCCGTGGCAGCGCAACTTCTCGTCGGACCTGGCGGGGGTCCACCTCAAGGAGGTCGACACCCTGGAGGAGGCGGCTTCGTCAGGGGCATCATCACCCTCGATCGGCTCAGTACGCGTTGTCTGAACCGGAGTTGTGCGACATCGCCTTGACACCACCCTGTGTGTTTTGTGGCAACCGTGGCCGAAGCCGCCGAGGGACTCCCAGAGCTCCGACGTCACGATTGTTTCGTGGCACGGGCCCCCAGCGTGCTTGACCCCATCCCCGGGACCAGGTGACCAGCTCTGCGTCCGTGCCGTGTTGGATGACCGATGGGGGGCTCGAGGCGGGACTCCGGAGGGCCAAACTGTGGAACGACATGCCGTCGCGAACGTGTCGAGTCGCCAGAGGTCTGGGGATAGAGGGTGAGGCAGGTTGCGGCAGGTTCGTGTCGTGCCGACCGGCGGCGACCCCGCCGCTGGCGTTCAACATTGGACGCCGCCTGCGGCCCAGAATCGGTCGATGTGAGACGCTCTGATGTTTCAGAAACGGCCGATCGTTCCAGGTTGGACGGTCCCCGCGGTGTCAGGTCGGCGTCACCCCAACATACTCATACTATATGTGCGTCGCCCCCCCAGGGGCGACGCGCACACCACGCCGAGAAATCTTATAGTATATGCGTCGTGGCGGACGCTTTCTGGCCACACCGCTCGGGAAACGATGTACTACACGATGGGTATACGATATGTTCGGGTCGGACGCGCGCCTCCAAGGCGGACATAGTAACCGAGAACCTCGGAGAATAACCCCCCAGGGATAGTAAAGTGCGGGGTTTTCGGGGAGATAATAACAGTCCCCGCCAGAGCCAGCATAAAGAGATATCAAGAGGAAAAAGCCAAATATATCTTGAGGATCCTTGGTCTTAGGTCCTCCTATGATACATTCTCAACAATGATTTGTCTCGGTTGAGACATCCTCAACGAATTGCTTGTTTCGCTTGAGACAGCCTCGAAATATTTGTCTGCTTCGCTTGAGACATCTTCAATGTATTGCTTATTTCGCTTGAGACATCCTTGAAATCATTGCTTGTTTCGCTTGAGGCATCCTCGACAAATCTCGGAGTTTCTATAGAGATTCCTCATGTGCCTCGTTTTCCCAGGATAATCAACCACAGCGATAAACAAGTTCAGGGGGCAGGGGGAGGAGAAGAAAGATAGAGAGATAAATAGAACGATAGAAAGAGAAGAGGAGGTAGACGAGGAAGAGGAGGAGGAGGAGGAGGAGGAGAAAGAGCAAGAGGAAGAGAGGAGAAGGAGATAGCAAACATCCAAAGTTCAAAACGTATTATATTTAATATGTAAGCGCTTAATGAAAATTAAAATTTTCATCTGCTCGTGTAGGGTAGCTCACGTGCCTCGTTTTCCCAGGATAATCAACCCCAGCGATAAACAAGTTCAGGGCGCCAGAGGGAGGAGGAGGAGAAAGAGATAGAGAGACAGAGAGAGAGAGAGACACAGAGAAAGAAAGAAAGAAAGACAGAAATAACTACAAAGAGACATAATGACATTGGTTTCGCTTAAGACATCCTGAAAAAAACGCGTTCGCTTCGCTTGATGTTGTTATCTCAACATGAGAAGGAAGTAACCTCGATGGCGAACTTTTCCCGTGATAATGAGGTTCGGCCTCCGCGCCCCCGCGCCCCCGACCAAACTCTTATTGGTCGACGATAAAAACTCTAACTACTTAAGGGGGGTACATTATTACCGTGGGCATGGGGTTATTAGTATGTCTCTGTGAGTCCCATTGAAAGGTCCCCGCGGTGTCAGGAACCAACGCTGGGGTCGGCACGGCACGAGCCCGCGGTGGTCGAGTTGGCCGAGGGGGGGGGGGCGTGGGCGCGGGCCTGCGCGCGCACAGGCCGCTCAGCCCGCCCATGTGTCAGAAGGAAAAAACACACACAGACACAATTCATCGTCGACTCCCCAGGAACATATGGGAAAAGATGGGAAGTGGGGGGGAAGGCAGAAACCCAGAAGATATGGGAAAATATGGGGAATCCTGTCATTTGTGTGTATTTATTTGTGTGTCTCAGGACCCCTTCGCATGTGCCCCCCCGGCATCCCGCAAAGCATGTCGCCGTCGCCGCCACCGCTGTCACTCTTGCGCAGCTGTTCGTCTCCAGCGCACGCAGGGTGTGCGAGCAGGAGGACGAGGGGGAGGCGAAGGCTGAGGAAGGAGCACTGCAGAGGAAGGAGGATGGCGGTGACGATGAGCTTATGTGAGAGGAGGGGCAGGATGAGGACGACGAGGATGCCGAGCAGGAGGAGGACGAGGAGGAGGAGGGGAGGAGTGAGGGAGGGACTAGGTGGGCGGGAGGGATGGATGGGGACAACGCTGGATGGTGGCAATTGGCGCCTTAGGGTATTGAGGTCTGAGTTGTGGAGGTACGTTGGCACCCCTCCCTACGGCCGTCTTCGTTGGCCGAGGGGCCGTAGGGAGGGCCTCGGCCCCCTCCAGTGGCAACTGACGCCGTAGTGTTCTGGTGAATTAGTGGGAGAGGGCGACCCAAGCGGCCCCGACGATGGCAGCCGCAAGGGGTGTGAGGCCTATGATGGTCCTCACGGGTGAGGCCTATGATGGTCCTCAGCAGGGTGGGGTGGGGAAGAGGGCCGGAAGGTCGAAGCGGATGTCCGACAAGAAGCAGATTTGTTCGAGGGGGCAGGTGGTTCTGAGGCGGGAATTCCTGAAAGGGAAGGGGGGAGAAACACATCACCAGCATACGCATCTTCGACACCGAAACAAAGTAGGCCCTGCGCACTCGGTATTCCACGGGGGGTATAATGAGTGTGCATGCAACGATCGGGGTACCGGTTTGTTGCTCGCCCAGCCCCGGGGACAGCTGCGCCCCGCCGAGAGCAAAACCGAAGAGGGGCAGGCACCCTCCGAATCAAAGTACCCCGACGAACACAGATCTCGTGCATACTGTGTGGTTTCTCACGCACCACAAGCACGGCACGGGTAGAAGCCAGCATGTTCCGGCAGGGCCTTGCGGGAACGTGCTGCGCACATGGCCGAACAACTAAGGCCCGACCAGACCGTTACGCAATAAAGTCGACGCGGGAAAACAGGGAACCGTTTCTCGGTCACCTGAGCAGTTCCGTCGGCTCGGGTCAGGGTAACAATCACCGGAAAACTGGAGACAGAAATCAGGCGGGGGGGCACGATTTGTCCTCCCGCCGCCCATCCGAGGGCGCCAAAAACAATGAAAAGCAATGGATTGTTGCCTACTCGTCCGTAACCAAATTGTCGCTTTGCAGGGGCGATTTCGCTGCATAGGGGTGCCTTGTTTTAATTTGGTTGCGGGGGAATTTAGTTACGAAGTGTAATTTGGTTATGCTTTGGTTAGGTAAACGGGATATTTGATTACGATTTGGTTACGGTGCATCAAATATGGAGACGATTTGGTTACGATCCAATATGGTTATGATTTAGTTTTGATTTGGTTACGATTTGGTTAGGACGTTCGCGGTGCACCGCGAACGTCGCAACCAAACCGTAACCAAATTTGGCCCTCCATGGCGCATATGAAACACTGACCCCCGAACCACCCAAACCATTCATGGGGCTTCTTGTCTCGCAGCGCGAGGACGAGAATCTTGCGTTCGGGAGCGGCTGGGTGCGCGGTCCTTCTGAAGGGGAGTGCGGGAATGGGGGTAGGGCCATAGGTGGAGCCCCCTATGGTGCACGATCCCTGTGAGGGGTCTGCCGCAATGGGCGGCGCATCGAATGCGACGGGGAGACGGAGGAGCAAGAGGAGGAGGAGGAGGAGGAGGAGGAGGAGGAAGAGGAGAAGGAGGAGAAGGAGGAGAAGGAGGAGGAGGAGGTTTTGAAATCACGTTCGCTGCGCAATGTCGGGGCGATTAAAACTGAAGAGGGGGAGGAGGAGGAGGAGGAGGAGGAGGAGGAGGAGGAGGAGGAGGAGGAGGAGGAGGAGGAGGTGGCGAGGGGATAAAACGAAGAAGGAGGAGGAGGAGGGAGAAGAAAAGGAGGGAGGACAAGGCAGAGGAGGAGGAGAAGGAGGAGGAGAAGGAGGAGGAGTGGCGAGGACGATCTGCACTTGATCTGAACTTGCTCGCAGATCAAGATCGATGTCCTCCAAGTTGGCCCACGAGCGCCCCTAAAGCTGCCAAGCCCCAAGAGGACCCCCAAAGGCGCCCAGACGGCCCCAAGAGGCGCCAAAGATACCTCCAAGAGGCGACCAGGAGACACCCAAGAAACCTCAAGAAGATCCCCGAGGCACCCAAGACGCTCAAAGACTACCCTGGGCCCGCCAAGATGCCCCAAAAACGTTCCAAGAGGCCTCCACTGGGGTGCCCTTTCTCTGTGTGCTGCCCACTTCACTGATCGAGGCTACTCCTTTGGGCATCGTTTCTGCATGGGCTGGTGGGGTTACGCGAAGCGTTTATTAGAATTCCAGCCAGTCGTCCCAGCACCTCCTCCTAGTTCAAAGTCTCCCTCTTCAAGCTCCCTCTTCCCTCCAAGCCTTCTCTGACTCTCTCACTCCTATAATATTTCCTGCAGGCCTCATCCTTGTCCTTTGGGCCTCCTTCAAAGCCTCCTTCCAACCCTCTTGTCTCTAAGCTTGAAGCCTGGCGTCAAGTCATCAATATGTCAATACTAGTGCTTGGCCTTCGCGTTCTCGCCATGCTTCCGCCCATGACTCCTCCTATTCCTCTTTCTCCTCCTCCTCCCTCTCCCCCTCCTTTTCCCCCTACTCCTCTCCTCCTCCTCCTCCTCCTCCTCCTCACCCCTCCTCCTCCTCCTCCTCCTCCTCCTCCTCCTCCTCGTCGTCCTCCTCCTCCTCCTCACCCCTCCCTTCTCAATCCTCCTCGTGCTTGCGTGTGTTTTGTTCCTTTCCCCTATCCGAGTCATATTCCTCCTCCTCATCCTGCTTCACCTGTCCGAGTCATATTCCTCCTCCGCTGTCTCCTCCTCCTCCTCATCAGTCTTCCCTCCTAGTCGCTCGCTTTTCCTCATCGTCTTCCACGACACCTCGTTTTCTCCAGGTCCTGCTTCTGCTCCCGTCCCCTTCTTTGTTCTTAACTTCTCCGCGTGCTCATTTTCATTATCAATCCCGCCGCCTTCCCGCGGCCTTGCTCCACCGACCCCTTCTTGAGCACAATCGGGAATGTCGAACATGCTCGGTTCGATTTGGCTACGATTTGGTTACGAATTACTTTTCCTGGTTATGATTTGGTTGCGGAAATTGTGAATCTGGTTACGATTTGGTTACGCAGAGATCTTCCCAGGAAGTTTTTGGTCACGGAGGTGTTCAATGCAGTCTGATTGCTCAAGTGTGTGAGGGGTCGATCGTAACCATATTTTTCCCGTTTTGCTTGCGCGCGACAGCTTCGTGCGTAACCGTATGGTTTGGTTACGCACCATCCGGGACCCCCCCCCCCGCCACCGGGAAGGGGACAAAGGGAAGGGGCCTCCCTCCGACGTGATATGACGACATTGTTCGATCTCCCTTGTTCGTTGGATCTCCCTTGCGACGACGACGATTTCAGGGAGGCTGGCGTACTTCACTTCGTGCCGATGCAGCCCGATCCGACGAAGATTTCGATTCGATTCGATTTCTTCGGTAGCAAAGGGTGGGAACCCTGTATAGCCCTCGTGACTCCGTCTTTAGAGTGCACCAGCGCCGATTTAGCGTATGGCAATCGATGAGATAGAGCCGGTGTAACGTCTTTTCGCGTCGATTTTAGCGTCGAAGTGCGTCGCTTAGCGTCGATTCAGCGTCGTTGAGGCTCGACGAGCGTCGACTCGCAAGGGCCAACAAGATAGTACGGGAGGCCCCAATGACTTGCCGCAGCAGGCTTCGCGGTTCGATGCCCGCCGCTTCTGCCCTCCCTGTTCCGCCCACGGCCATTTCCTGCCCGAGAGACCCGTCGTCTGGGCTCCCGTGCGCTCGCTCGCGGAATCTCCACTCCCGGTGCACGCGCCTCCTCCCGCAAGAGGCAAGGAAGACTCGGCCAGGCACCGTGACTCGAGGGGGGAGCGTGCGCGCCCCTCGGAGCCACCCTGAGCCTCCTTGGCTGAGAGAGCACGCTTGGCCGCCCCGCCCTGGGGGGCAGCCGGGCGCCGGGCCGATCGGCGGCGCACCGCCGCCCGCGGGCGGGAGCGCCCTGAGGGCCAGCGGGGGCTGCGCGCCCGCTCCGGGAGGTGGCCAAGGACGACGCCGCCGCCGCCGCCGCCGCCGCCGCCGCCGCCACCGCCGTCGTCGTCGTCGTCGTCGTCGTCGTCGTCGTCGTCGTCGTCGTCGTCGTCGTCGTCGTCGTCGTCGACTTCGGCGGGGCGCTGCCAGCGGCACCCTCAGTTCAGGGGCAACGTCAAGCGGGGAGTGGCTCAGGGGGGAGCTCCTGGACCCAGGTCGCCAACAGGGGCCCGATGGCCCACTTCGCCCAGAAGTGTGCGGATGCGCTATCGGGGGTCTGTCGCCGATCCATCGGCGACGCAGCGCCGATTCCCTCCCTCCCTGAGCTGGTGCCCCACTGCTCACGTTCCCCCTCATGTGCCCCCGCCGACCGCCCGGTCGGCGGCCACCGATCGTTTGTCGTGTGTCGTCGTCGGCGGCGACGGCGGCTTCGTGGTCGGCGACGGCGGCGGCGGCGTCGTCATCGTCGACGTGGACGAGGACGAGGACGAGGACGAGGACGATGATGATGATGATGATGATGATGATGCTGATGATGATGATGATGATGATGCTGATGATGATAATGATGATGATGATGCTGGTGCTGATGATGATGATGATCACGATTATGATGATGATGATGCTGATCCTGATGCTGATGATGGTGGAGATGAGGATGATGATGATGATGATGATGATGATGGATATGAAAATGAATATGATGATGATGGTGATGATGATGAGGAGGAGGAGGAGTGGGATGAGGATGAGGATGAACATGATGATGAGTATGATGATGATGATGATGATGATGAGGATGAGGATGAGGATGAGGATGAGGATGAGGATGATGATGATGAGGAGGAGGAGGACGAGGAGGAGGAGGAGGGGGATAAGGATGAGGATGATGATGATGATGATGATGATGATGATGATGATGATGATGATGATGATGATGATGATGATGATGATGATGATGATGATGCTGATGATGATGATGATGATGATGATGATGATGATGATGATGATGATGATGATGACGAGGATGAGGATGAGGATGAGGAGGAGGAGGAGGATGAGGATGATCACGATGCTGATGCTGCTGATGATGAGGCTGATTATGATGATCTTGATGATGATGTTGTTGTAGCTTTTATGATGTGCATGGTGATGGCGCTTATGGTGATGCTGCTGCCGATGATGATGCTGCTGATGATGATGATAAGGGACATGCGGTGGGCGGGGGGGGCGCATGCGGACGCGGGCACTTGGGCCGTCGGTGGAGCTCCCTATGGGGCCACGAACCGTGTGAGGGGTGTGCCGAGCTGGGCATGCGGTGGGCGGGTAGGACGCAAGCGGACGCGGCCAGTGGGGTCTTCGGTGGAGCTCCGTATGGGGCCACGAACCGTGTGACGGGTGTGCCGAAATGGGCATGTGTGGGCGGGGGGGGGGGGGGGGGGCGCATGCGGACGCGGCCTCTGGGGCCTTCGGAGGAGCTCTCTATGGGGGCACGAACCGTGTGAGGGGTGTGCAGAAATGGGCATGCGGTGTGTGGGGAAGGCGCATGTGGACGCGGGCACTTGGGCCTTCGGTGGAGCTCCCTATGGGGCCACGAACCGTGTGACGGGTGTGCGGAAATGGGCATGCGGTGGGCCGGGGGGGACGCATGCGGACGCGGCCATTGTGGCCTTCGGTGGAGCTCCCCGTGGGGCCACGAACCGTGTGACGGGTGTGCCGGCATGGGCATGCGGTGGGCGGGGAGGACGCATGCGGATGCGGCAGCTCCCTATGGAGCAACGAACCATGTGAGAGGTGTGCCGAAATGGGCATGCGGTGGGCGGGGAGGGCGCATGTGGACGCGGCCAGTTGGGCCTTCGGTTGCACTCCCTATGGGTCGACGTAGCGTGTGAGGGGTGTCCCGAAATGGGCATGCGGTGGGCGGGGAGGACGCATGCGGACGCGGCCACTGGGGTCTTCGGTGGAGCTCCCCGAGGGGTGTGCCGAAATGGGCATGCGGTGGGCGGGGAGGACGTATGCGGACGCGTCCACTGGGGCCTTCGGTGGAGCTCCCTATGGGGCCACGAACCGTGTGAGGGGTGTGCCGAAATGGGCATGCGGTGGGCGGGGAGGACGCATGAGGTCGGTGGCATTGAAACCTTCGGTGGAGCTCCCTACGGGGCCAAGGGGGTGTGAGGGGTGTGCCGACATGGGCATACGGTGGGCGGGGAGGACGCATGCGGACGCGGACACTGGAGCCTTCGGTGGAGCTCCCTATGGGGCCACGAACCGTGTGAGGGGTGTGCCGAAATGGGCATGCGGTGGGCGGGGAGGACGCATGCGGACGCGGCCACTGGGCCTTCGGTGGAGCTCCCTATGGGGCCACGAACCTTGTGAGGGGTGTGCCGACATGTGCATGCGGTGGGCGGGGAGATGCATGCGGACGCGGGCACTTGGGCCTTCGGTGGAGCTCCCAATGGGGCCACGAGCCGTCTGAGGGGTGTGCCAGAATAGACATGCGGACGGCAGAGACAAGGATGGGGAGGAGGGAGGAGGGCGTGGAGGAATGAAGGAAGGAAGGAAGGAAGGAAGGAAGGAAGGAGGGAAGGAAGGAGGGAACGCGGGGCGCTGCCTTTTCAAAACGAGGACCCAGACACCACAGGATGGTTGGGAAGAATGAAGAGGCACCGACGAGGCCCGCGACGAGCTCCCAGGAGAGGCCCCTCGCCTCTGCAGTCCTTTGCGACGGCGGGCACCTCGGCTGCTTGGGCTCTCCCCCATCCGCCCCCGCTTTGGGGGCTGTGCCGAATCTCCGGGCGTCCCGTCCTGGCCCGCCCACCCCCCCTCTCCCACCCTCTCAGGGGCCCCCATCGCCCACTCGTGGCCCAAGGGGGCCTCTATGGCCCAACCCGCCCAGGACAGTGAGGATTTGTTATCGAGCGCCCATTGCGGATCCATCGGCGATGCATCGCCGAATCAAGCTCCCTGTCGCCCCCGCCACCCCCCCTTTGAGCTGGTCCCCGGACCGTTCTCCCCTACCCCCCCCTCCGCGCGCTGCCGCTCTCCCCTCCCGGGCCGGTCGGTGTGCCCCCCCCCCCCCCCCTCCCCCGAGGAGACATGCTCCGCAAGCTGCTCCCGGGCCGCGGCGGCGGTGGCCCGGAGCCGGGGCCGAGAGGGCATCCCTTCCTCGCGCGTGCTCCTCGTGCTTCTCCTCGTTTTCCAGGGGGGGCGCTCCGGACAGGGCCTCGCCTTCTTGGAGGGTCGCGAGGGAGTTGGCAGCTCTTCCTCGGCGGCAGGCGGCGGAGGCAGAACGAGGGGCGCCTCCGTCGGCGGCAGGAGGCCGGCGAAAGGCGGGCGGAGGCCGTTCGAAGCACAAGCCGCGCCCCTGAGCGATGTCAACCTTTCCGGGTCCAGGGTTTGCGGCATCGCCCGCTGCGCCCTCCGCGTCGCCATCGCCACTTTGCGGCATCGCCCGCTGCACCCTGGAGGAGGAGGAGGAGGAGGAGGAGGAGGAGGAGGAGGAGGAGGAGGAGGAGGAGGTGATTGGTGGGAGGAGGGTTGCGAGGGGAGGTCGGCGCGTCCCCCGGGTGCAGGGACGGCGCGCGCAGGCCGAGAAGTGGAAGCCGTCCCTCCGCTTATGATGTTCCAACCTGCTTTAGCCTCGATCGCCAAAACGAGTTTGGAGCACCACAACAGTACCGAAACTCGAGTGTTGTTTTACGTGTCGGGCCCTGGGAGACCATCGTCTGACACTGTTTCGACACTGTTTCGATACTCTTTCGACACTTTTCGGGGTGCTCGAAATTATTTCTGGGATGTGGTCCTTACGTACGATGGGAGCAACGTAACCCCTCGAGTAGGAGATCGACAACAGAATTCACTTACCTCAAGCTTGATTTGCTCGCCGAATCTACGAAAAGTACGTCGAGTGGTCGCAAATCTACATCCACTCGGCGTCTGTTCCTCATAGCTCGACGAGCGTCTTCATTTTTGGGCACGTCACTTCTGGAGTCGATCCCCTGCTCGACTCCCGCTGCGTGCCCCCCTCCGCCCTCCTCCGTCTCTCCGTCCTCCGCCCATCTTGCTCTCCGGCCCGGAAGGTGCGCCGGCAGGGGGAAACAAGTAGCGGACACTCCCCCGCTCCCCCCAGCTCGAGGCAGGCACGCGCGGGGGGAGGCCGCGGTCGGAATGCAGCTCGTCAGACCCGCCGCCAACTCTGAACATCTTGGTGGAAGGGGGAGGCGTGGACCGACGAGTGTAGCATGCGTGTTCGCCGTATTCTTTCCCGAGGCCTGGAGGGCGAGGTCGGAGGAGTGGGAGAGGCAGGGCGAGGCAGCAAGGGACGGGAAGATGGGCCAGGGTCTTCAAGCGCGCGGCGCGTTTCGTGACTGAGCTCCTCTGGTGCTCAACCAGAGTGGTACAGTCAACCCGCATATTAAGGATGGGCAATTTTGCTAAGGGTGCCCTTGCATCCTTGCATCCTCGGTCGATCCTTGGCAGCTTTCGCTGGCCGCGCCCCGCCAGACTTAGAAACGGCCCTCCAAGGCCCTTGCATCTCCTTATCGCGTATTCCTACGACTATACCCTTCAGTAATTATCTCTAGCTTCTGATCCGACTATTCGCTTCTGTGCGGAAGCTTGGGCGAGGGGGTCGGGATGGTCGGCGTCACCCCAACATACTTATACTATTGTGCGTCGCCCCCTCAGGGGCGACACCCGCACCGAGAAATCTTCTAGCATATGCGTCGTGGCGGGTGCTTTCTGGCCACACCGCTCGGGAAACGATATACTACTAGATAGGTCTACTATAGGTTCGGGTCGGACGCGCGCGTACTGTATGTCCCTGTGCGTCCCAGGCTGGGCCTTGACTGCCGGGGAAGTCTTTTGGGCGAAGCGTGCTCCCGCTGCGAACCCGTCGTCGGCGCGGCCCCTGCCTCGAGCCACCGCCCCTTCCCCCGATCCGCCCGAGAAAGGGGCAGCGCTCTCCCCAGAGGCTCCGGCGGCGGAGGGCGGGTCGATAGCCTTGAGACGGGGGTCGATGCAAAGGGGGGTCAGCCAGAGCGCCCGATCTTGCAGGATCCTGCAGGGGCCAGGGTCGCACTGACCCGGGCTTGGGTGCAGGACCCTGCAGGATCTTGCAGGATATCCTTCGCGTGGACCCGGGTTCGCACGGCGGCCCCGCCCGAGGAAGGGGCAGCGTTCTCCCCGGAGGCTCCGACGGCGCGGAGGGCGGGCCGGGCGTCTCGTCGCAGGGGGCGTGACGCGTGAGGCGTTCCGGCAAGGGCCTCGCGCCTTCGAGGGGCGAAGGAGCTGCCATCTCTTCCTCGGCGGAAGGCGGCGGAGGGTCCGCGGACTTTGGCGGAAGTGGAACGAGGGCGGCTCGGCCGGCGGAAGCCAGCGGAAGGAGGAGGAGGAGGAGGAGGAGGAGGAGGAGGAGGAGGAGGAGGAGGAGGAGGAGGAGGAGGAGGAGGAGGAGGAGGAGGAGGAGGAGGAGGGGGAGGAGGGGGAGGGGAGGGGGAGGAAGGAGGAGGTGGAGGAGGAGGAGGAGGAGAGGAGGGGGAGGAGGAGGAGGAGAGGGAGGAGGAGGAGGAGGAGGAGGAGGATCAGGAGGACGAGGTGGGGGGCTCCCTATGTGCGACCGGCTCGGCGGGCCACCCCTCCTCGGCCCCGCCCCAGAGGTGGGCCGCCCGGGGGCGCGGAGGCCAGCTCGCGGGAGGAGGCCGAGGCGGGGCCTGCGGCGCAGCGCCTCCTCTCCGCGCTGCTTCGAAGAACCACAGAAAGTCTGCGTTGAGCGAAGGGGGAGACGTGAGAAGGAGGAGCCCGTCTCAGAAGGGGGCGGGGCTTCTCAGAAGTCCTCGCGCCCTCTGAAGAATTTGTTGCGTCCTCGGGGAAGGCGTAACAAACTTCTCCGAAGGCCGCGGGACTTCCGAGCCTTCTTAGAGGCCTTCTCCTTCTCGGAGAGTCTTAGATCGGCGCTGGACCCCCTCTCCTGGCTCGCGGGTTTCTTGGGCCGAAGAAGGACAAGCTGCATAATCAAGCATATCTTCTCGGATGTCCGCGCGGGTGTCTTGGGTCGGCGCCGGACGCCCTCTCTGGCGCGCGGAGCGTGCCAATGGCGGCGCCGGGGGCGCCGCCAACAGGGCCCAGCGCTGATCCAAGGAACCCGTGCGGATCTCCAAGAAATAATGTTCATGCCGAGTTTTGTTCCCCCACTGCTGCCTGCTCCGTCCGCGGCCCCACGTTCCGCGCCGTCCTCTCCGGCCGCGCTGCCTCGTCCTCCTCCGCCTCCCTCGTCTTCTCCTCCTCCGCGGGCCGCAGCTCTCAGAGCCAGTCGACGCAGCATGTGCCCACGTGTGCACTTCATGAGGCGCCAGCGGTTCTGGAGAAGTTCAACCGAGGATTGATTTACCTTTCTCCTTTCCCCCTCTCGGGGAACCTCGAGTTCGCCAGAATTCGGGCTTGCCGCCGCTTTTTGACAGGCCTGTCCTGAACATTGACGGCCTGGTGTTCGTGGGATGTTTGCAGTGGGAGCTCGCGTCAAATCTCAGACTGGGCCTCGTCGGTTTTGTTGACGGCCCCGTCAGGCCAGCCCGAGCCCCCCGACGGAACAAGCCTCACGTCTTCCCGGTGATTAGGGGGGCGCCCGCCTGGTCTCCGGCACGTCGCACATCCAGGGCAGCGAGCCGTGGGAGCCAAGAGCCGGTGCCCCCGCGAACCCGAGCCCTCTGCCTCCCCGACCCTCGCAGGCCTCACGCGTGCTGGCGATAGGGGCCACGGCGGAGCGGAGGACTGCGGCTCGGCCCCTGCGCGCGCGGCGGGCGGCGCATGCTGGCGGACGGCGACGAACGACGGCGACGAACGACGCCGACGGCGACGAACGACGCCGACGCCGACGCCGACGCCGACGCCGACGCCGACGCCGACGCCGACGCCGACGCCGACGCCGACGCCGACGCCGACGACGACGACGACGACGACGACGACGACGACGACGACGACGACGACGACGACGGCGAGCAGGCCTCTGTTTCGCCGAGCGGTCCCTTTCGCCCTTGTGCTCCTAGCCTCCTTCCGAGCTTCTCCCAGGCCTGCTCCTCGTCGACCTCTCTGTCTCGTCGTCCTTCTCGCCGCCGCCGTCCGTCGTCGCCGTCGTCGTCCTTGCCGCCGTCGTCGGCTTCGCCCTCGTCCTGGTCCTGAGCGCCCACAGTTCTGGCTCTATGTGAAGCCTGCGGGATCTTCTGGGCGGCTCGGAGGTGTTCGTCGTGCCGCCCTCATTCTCGCCGCCGTCGGCATCCTCTTCGTCTGCGCCGTCGTTGTCACCTTCGTCTTTATCGTCATCGTCGTCGTCTTTATCGTCTCTATCGTCTTCATGGTGTTTATCGTGCTCTCTTCCATATCGTCGTTGTCGTTGTCGTTGTCGTTGCCGTTGCCGTTGTCGTTGTTGTTGTTGAACTCTCATTCTTGAAGAATAATTATTGTTGATCCCCCCCCACCGGTGCACATTGTTTTTTTTCGATTGAAGTGCCACCTCCGGGGCTCGCACCTTGTTTTTTCTCAAAGAAAGTCTTCCTGCTCAAACTGTGCCCCTGCCCCCCGGGCTACAACAACAACGGCTCCCGCCTGAGACTTCTTCGATTTTTACTCAGGACCCCCGCTCCCGCCTGAGACTTCCGCGCAATTTACTCAGGAAAGGCGCTCCCGTCTGAGACTTCCTCGCAATGTAATCAAGACCCCCGCTCCCGCCTGAGACTTCCGTGCAATTTACGTGGGAACGGCGCTCCCGCCTGAGACTTCTTCGAATTTTACTCAGGACCCCCGCTCCTGCCTGACATTTCCGCGCAATTGACTCAGGAACGGCGCTCCCGCCTGAGACTTCCTCGCAATTTAGTGAGGACCCCCGCTCCCGCCTGAGACTTCCGTGCAATTTGCTGAGGAACGGCGCTCCCGCTTGAGACTTCCTCGCAACTTAGTCAGGGCCCCCGCTCCCGCCCGAGATTTCCTCACAATGTACTCAGGACTGCGCTCTCGCGTGCGACGTCCTCACAAATTATTCTGGAATTGCGTTTCGGCGCTCAGGAACCACGCACGCGCCAAGGACGCCTTCACAACGTGGTATCTTCCCTCTTCCTTCGTCCTTCCCCCTCCCCTTCCTCCCACTCTCCCTCGTTCTTCCCCTCCTCCTCTTGCAGGGCCCGCGCCAATTCCAATGGCGGGCAGAGAGATGTACGCCCCCGAAGGATTGTCCGCCCGTTCCGGTTTGCCCGTACGTCTAAGCCCGCCGGCCCCAGCAAAGAGAAATAATCCCCCCGAAAGGGGTGTGATCGAAGACGAAGAGGGCGGGCATCGAGGGTGTAGGGTATACGTGTTGAATGACTCGCGGGCAAGTAAGAGCGTACAGCCTTAAAATGGTTGTTGTTGTTGTTGTTGTTGTTGTTGTTGTTGTTGTTGTTGTTGTTGAACATTATTTATTCTAAAGAATAATTATTGTTGGGCCCCCTGGTGCGCGCCCCCCCTGCGCCGCCTAGGCCGCAGCTACATTTTCATCATTTTCGTGAGGAAGCCTCAGAAAAGAGGGTGTGTACAGGATCCGGTTGTTTTGTTGTAATCCGCTTTCCCTTGCAAAAAACAATAGAAAATGACATTTCTTGTTCTAATATAATCAAATTTCAAGAATCCCTTGCAAAAAATAAGGTAAAGTGGACATTCGCGCGCGCAAGACGAAATCCTTCCAAAACCTTAGTGTTCGCAGCGATTTTAACATAAAAACATCAAAAAACCAATGGTTTTTCAACAAAAAAATGTCAAAATCTCATCCCGCGCGCTCTTGCGGATTCGTAGGAAACCCAACACTTTTTAAACATTTCTGTCAAACGGGCTTTTGCGAGCAACTTTTTCGAACTTCTGCGACAACGGTTGCGCACCTGCCAGGGCCATCATCCCTGTCAAATAATACCATGCGGGACACATTCGTTTTTTCTTCGCGCGCGCACGCCGTCGTCGTCGGCCGCGGGGCCCTGAATAGTAGCCACGGTCGTCCGCATGCCACGAAGTGAAGTGTCCGAACGTCATAGGGCGGGAAGCTGGGTGTGGGTGGTGGCGAAGAGTCGTTTGGAAATTTGGTAGAGCTTGAACCGGCCCCCCCACAAAGTGGGGGTATTGCCCGCCTCCTATGAAAACCCTGGCACTGGTGAGAACGGAGTGTCCCCACGTGCTAGTAATTGTTGTCTCCTGTGGTGTTGGGTCCTCGTTTTGAAGAGACAGCGCCCCGCGTTCCTTCCTCCTCCCGCGGGTGTTCGCATGCGGTTCCCCCACCCAGGGCAGCGTTTCGTAGCCCCATAGGGAGCTCCACCGAAGGCCCCAGTGGGGGTGTTCGCATGCGGTTCCCCCACCCAGGGCAGCGTTTCGTGGCCCCATAGGGAGCTCCACCGAAGGCCCCAGTGGGGGTGTTCGCATGCGGTTCCCCCACCCAGGGCAGCGTTTCGTAGCCCCATAGGGAGCTCCACCGAAGGCCCCAGTGGGGGTGTTCGCATGCGGTTCCCCCACCCAGGGCAGCGTTTCGTGGCCCCATAGGGAGCTCCACCGAAGGCCCCAGTGGGGGTGTTCGCATGCGGTTCCCCCACCCAGGGCAGCGTTTCGTGGCCCCATAGGGAGCTCCACCGAAGGCCCCAGTGGGGGTGTTCGCATGCGGTTCCCCCACCCAGGGCAGCGTTTCGTAGCCCCATAGGGAGCTCCACCGAAGGCCCCAGTGGGGGTGTTCGCATGCGGTTCCCCCACCCAGGGCAGCGTTTCGTGGCCCCATAGGGAGCTCCACCGAAGGCCCCAGTGGGGGTGTTCGCATGCGGTTCCCCCACCCAGGGCAGCGTTTCGGCCCCATAGGGAGCTCCACCGTCCGCATGCGGTTCCCCCAAGGGCCCATCGCATGCGGTTCCCCCACCCAGGGCAGCGTTTCGTAGCCCCATAGGGAGCTCCACCGAAGGCCCCAGTGGGGGTGTTCGCATGCGGTTCCCCCACCCAGGGCAGCGTTTCGTGGCCCCATAGGGAGCTCCACCGAAGGCCCCAGTGGGGGTGTTCGCATGCGGTTCCCCCACCCAGGGCAGCGTTTCGTGGCCCCATAGGGAGCTCCACCGAAGGCCCCAGTGGGGGTGTTCGCATGCGGTTCCCCCACCCAGGGCAGCGTTTCGTGGCCCCATAGGGAGCTCCACCGAAGGCCCCAGTGGGGGTGTTCGCATGCGGTTCCCCCACCCAGGGCAGCGTTTCGTAGCCCCATAGGGAGCTCCACCGAAGGCCCCAGTGGGCTCCGCATGCGGTTCCCCCACCAAGGCAGCGCTTCGTGGCCCCATATGGAGCCCCACCGAAAGCGGCACCCACAACGCGTTACCAACAATTGCTTATGGTTGGGTCTTTCGCCAGGATAATTTTTGTTTTTGTTTTTGTTTTTTTGTTGTTGTTGTTGTTGCTGTCGTCGTCGTCGTCGTCGTCGTTGTTGTTGTTGTTGTTGTGTTGTGGTTGTTGTTGTTGTTGTTGTTGTTGTTGTTGTTGTTGTTGATGTTGTTTTTTGTTGTTTGTTGTTGATGTTGTTTTCGGTCCCGTAGCCGTAGCCGTCACCGTCGCCGCCGTCGCTGCGCCGTCGTCGTCGTCGTCGTCGTCGTCGTCGTCGTCGTCGTCGTCGTCGCGTCGTCGTCGTCGTCGTCGTCGTTCGTCGTCGTTCGTCGTCGTCGTCTGTCGTCGTCGTCGTCGTCTGTCGTCGTCGTCGTTCGTCCGCCGTCGTCGTCGTCCGTCGTCCGTCGTCCGTCGTCCGTCGTCCGTCGTCCGTCGTCGTCGTCGTCGTCGTCGTCGTCGTCGTCGTCGTCCGTCGTCCGTCGTCCGTCGTCCGCCGTCCGTCGTCCGTCGTCCGTCGTCAGTCGTCCGTCGTCGTCGTTCGTCGTCGTCTGTCGTCGTCGTCGTTGTCGTTGTCGTCGTCGTCGTCGTCCGTCGTTCGTCGTCGTCGGCCGTCGTCGTCTGTCGCTGTCGTCGTCGTCGTCGTCGTTGTCGTCGTCGTCGTCGTCGGCGTCGTCGTCTGTCGTCTGTGGTCACCGCCGAGCCGCACCAGGCGGCGCTGGCGGCCTGGGAGGCGGCGCTGGGGTCCGGCGGGGAGGCCAGCAGCGAGCCCCTGGAGCCGCCTGCGGGTGCGCGACCCCCACGCCACAGGGAGGAAGAGGAAAGGCCTGGAGCTGCGGCTTACAGTGGGGGCGTTCGTTGAGGAATGCGCCCAGGAGGTTCCAGTCCCTGGACGGCATTCCTTATCTGGCGAGGGCGGCGGTGATAGCCGTGGCCAGGCCTCAGTTGGGGTTTCATCGGCTGTCAGACCCTGGAGTCCTCATCCAATGATTCCCTACCCAATGGCCTCACCGTAGCGTGTCGCGCTGCCAGTTCTGGCCCACCACGCTTCTGCGCGACGCGTTATCCACGTCTCAGGTCCAAGCGTCAACCTCTCGAGGTTTCCCCAGCCTTCCGCCCCGCTGAGCGGAGCGACGCGCAATCCATTCGCAGGGCGTAGAGTGTCGCCGGGGCCGCAGCCTCGACGCGCTAAGCAAACATTCTCGGCCGTTAGCGGCGGTCCAGACACCCGTAGACTCGAGAGTAACTATCGAATCCGAGGCTTTCTGGCATCGCGGTGGATGTTGGCAGTCACTCGCAGGCAGGCCACCACATAGCATTTTCTGCCATGGCTGACTCCATCGGAGGCTCCCGAGGCGTCACAGGCCTCAGGGTGCCGTGAGTCGCTCGACCCCACAAGAGCAACTGGATCTCCGCCCAATGTTGGCTTCTGGAGGCAGCTCAAGGAGGAGGAGGAGGAGGAGGAGGAGGAGGAGGAGGAGGAGGAGAGTGGTACGAGGGAAGAGTCGACTCGTATTCTGCGCAGTCTGCAGCGGTCGTCGTCTGCACACCGAGCTGGTGGGTCTGCCTGCCATGCAGCTTTGTTCTCCAGTGCAGAACTGGGGCAACGGAGAAAGGGGAAGGGGGAAGAGGGAACGGGGGAGGCGGAGGAGGAGGAGGAGGAGGAGGAGGAGGATGAGGATGATGATGAGGCGGAGGAGGATGAGGAGGATGAGGAGGAAGAGGAGGAGGAGGAGGAGGAGGAGGAGAAGAAGGAGGAGAAGGTGGAGGAGAAGGAGAGGGAGGAGAAGGAGGTGGAGCAGATGGGGGGGGAAGGAGGGAGGGAGGGGAGGTGGGTCAATTATCGCCCACATCCTGAGCGGGGTTCTTGTCTCTCCAGAACACCTCATCCTCCTTCTTCGCATCCTCCTCCCCCTCATTCAGGCTCCACACCCCCTTCTCTTGCAAGCCGCCCCATTCCACAAGTCTGTCAGGTTTCGTGCCCTCCCTACTCCACAGGCCACGCCCGTCCCACTCCATCAGCTGTGTCTTTTCTTGCTCCTCCTGTTTTGACGTTGGTCCCATTTTAGCTGCGTAGCTCAAGCGTTCCTGCAGTGCGAAGCCGATTTTGGCACATGTAACCACAGATATGGGAAGCAGATGGCGCGTGCAGAACAGGACGTGTGAACAGAGAAAGGAACATAATATCCCAGCAGGGTCTACGTAGAGTAACGCCGCCGTCTGCCGTCGAGGAGAGGAGGTACAACACCATACGATACAATACACGTCACGCACCCACGGACGTAAACATATGACGTCAGCAAGAATAAGCGACCGGGAAGGAACAATCTCTACGTGCACAGTTACAGCAGGGAGCAGGCCTGCCTAAGGCTCGTCAAGTGTCATCGTGGGCAATGCCAGATGGGCAGATCAAGCTGTTAAAACTCCCACTGTTGTAACGTCAAGGTGGCGGAGACAGGCGACGTTTAAGTTGAAAGTGGGGCAACGCGAAGTCGGGTATGGTAGCATACTTGACGCTCAATGAGCCGGCTCTGCTCAGGCTGGCCTTCGGTTGTGAAAGGTAAGGCCCACCAGCAGCTCCCCCCTCCAAACTCACATTTTTAATTCGAATGATTGTGACGACTATCCATGTGCCACTAAGGATGAGGAGACTGCAAGGAGGAATGATGATGCTGATAATGATGGTGTTGATGGCGCTTATGATGGAGCGCCTGATATGTTGTTGCTGAAGGTGATGTTGATGATGCTGAGGATGCTGATGCTAACAATGCTGATGATGTTGATTATGATGCTGCTGCTGATGATGCTGAGATGATGATTATGGTGACGATGAGGATCAGGATGAGGATGATGATGACGAGGATGATAATGATATGGTGTATCATGATGATGAGGAGGATAATGCTGCTGACGATGCTGATGCTTTTGCTGCTGATGATGATGGTGGTGGTGATGGTGATGGTGCAGGTGATGGTGATGGCGATAATGATGCTGTTGATGATGTTTATGCTGATGATGATAATGAGTATGATGATGTTGGTGATGCTGGTGATGAGTATGATGATAATGCCTATGATGATGCTGATGCTGATGACGATGATGATGCTGTTGTTGTTGATGATGATGATGATGATGATGGTCATGATGATGATGCTGCTGATGATGATGAGGATGATGATGGTGATGGCGATGGTGATGATGATGGTGATGATGCTGATGCTGTTGCTGCTGCTGCTGCTGCTGATGATGATGATGATGATGATGATGATGATGATGATGATGATGATGATGATGATGAGGAGAGGGAGGAGGAGGAGAGGAGGAGGAGGAGGAGGAGGAGGAGGAGGAGGAGGAGGAGGAGAGACTGGGAGGATGAGAAGGAGGAGGAGGAGGAGGAGAACAATCAGTAGGATTTAGATGATGATGATGATGATGATGATGATGATGATGATGATGATGATGATGATGCTGATGATGCTGATGCTGATGATGCTGATGATGCTGATGATGATGATGCTGGTGGTGGTGGTGATGGTGATGATGATGACGATGATGCTGATGATGTTGATGATGATGATGATGATGAGGAGGAGGAGGAGGAGGAGGAGGAGGAGGAGGAGGAGGAGGTGGACGACGAGGAGGAGGATGAGGAGGAGGAGGAGGAGGAGGAGGAGGAGGAGGAGGAGAAGGAAGAGGAGGAGGAGGAGGAGGAGGAGGAGGAGGAGGAGGAGGAGGAGAAGGAGTTGAGACGCTGCGTCTCCGCTTGGCAAGCACAAAAAAATAGTTGAAATCAGAGGCGCCCCCACCCCTAGGAGAAGGCGCTGTCCGCGGTGCTGGCGGTGCCGCCCGAGGCCCGTGAGCCGCTGGAGGGCGCGCTGCGGCGGCTGGCGGAGCGCCTTCCCGCGGCACTCGCCGCACCCTCGGAGGAGGCCTGGGGAGACGCCGCCCCAGGGGGGGAACGAAGTGTCGAAGTTCGGGCTCTGAGGTTTCTGGACGTTGTCGTTGGTTCTGGGCGGCGCCCCAGCCTCGGGATGCCTTCCGGCGGCTGCGCCTCGCCGAGGGCGTTCTGGGGGTGCCCAGATCGCCCCGAGCCCGGAGGCACGAGCTATGACCCGAAAACCATCAGCCGTTGGTTCTTGGCGGCTTTCCAGTCGCGGGATGCCTCTTGGCGGCTGCGCCTCGCCGAGGGCACTCTGGGGGAGCCCAGATCGCCCCGAGCCCGGAGGCACGAGCCAGGACCCGAAAGCCACCAGGCGACCAGCTCGGGGGGGGGGGGCGATGCAGCCGCCAGAGTGACAGCCTTGCGCCTCGGAGGAGGAAAGGATGCCAATGCCGCTCCCCGTCCCTCTTCGTCACGGCCGGATTCTGCTCGGCATTCTGCTCGCAGCGCGCCCCGGAAGAGGCCTGGGCAGGAGCGGTCTTGGTGCTTCTCTGTCCCCCCACTGCCAGAGCAGCGCAAGCGATCAGCTTACGCTGCGACCACTTGCGGGCCCAACCTGGCGCTGAGGTATGGGACAACCCCGGTGCTCGCTTGGGGTGCAGGCCTTTTCCACATTCTCCGAATGCCAGCCGGTTTTTTGGCAGAAGTCCGACCTGCAGGGTTGGGGCTCACATGTGGCTACGGTCTGGAACTTCTGGTTAGCGTGTCGCGCCGCTGGCTCTGGCCCACCACCCTTCGGCGCGACACGCTAACCACGTCCACAGTTCCAAGCGTCAACGACCCGAGAATTTTCGAGCCTCCCGCCCCGCGAAGCGGAGCGACGCTCCCAGCTCGCACGGCATAGCGTGTCGCCAGGGCCACTGCCGCGACACGCCAGGCAACAGTTCCAACCGTAACGACACTAACAGACTTTCGGAAGTCCGGGCGGATTTCCTGTCTCGGCGCTGTCCCCTTTCCCTTACCCCTGGCGCCTCCGGCGCTGCCCTGGAGCGAGCCGAGTGTGTGTGTGTGTGTTTGTGCGGGGAGGGGGTGCAGCGAAGACCAAAGAAGTCCGCGCGTACCTTCGACAGTTTATGTTTACGCACATCGGGTCTGCAAGGGAGGGAAGATCATCGCCTTGATGTGGGGCAGAGATGGGGTCTGTGGCGGTGGTGGGATATACCTTTTGGGCGCTTTCTTGGGGCATCCCGCACATCTGCATCCCACGTAGCAGCAGATCTTGCATTGCCCAGGTGGTTGTGGTGGTGGTGGTGATGGGTTTTTTTCTTCCTTCTTGTACTGCTCAGGTGGAGGATGAGCAGGAGGAGGAGCAGGAGGAGGAGGAGGACCGCAGTAAGCCCAGGATGCGTCAACGAAGCTGTAATAACCCTTCCGTCCCAAGTCCCCTTCGCATACGTCCCCACAAGCTTTTACAAGACATGCCCCCTTCAATCCGTAGCCATTTTGGCTCAAGCCATTCAGGCTCAAGCCTCTTAGCGCAATCATGACATTGTAAGTTGCTTGAGTGCGTGCGAGGGATGCTGGACAAGCCGTATCGTACACGGGGGGATTTTCGTTGTGCTGGCATACCTTTTCTTTGCCAGCGCAACAGGCGCCGCCTTCAGTGAGAAGGAAGCTACGTTCTACATGCATTTGAATGCAATTTCTATGTGCTCGCCGGATCATATTGCATCGTGGGATTGTGGCATCGATTGCGACGCATCATCAGCGAATATAGTTAATGGCAGTCTCCGCATTCTGGGTCCAAGTACTATCTACCATGCGCGAGGGTTTGTTATACAGCGTCAGCGTGCCGAGCCCCAGAGCGCAAAGGAGTGCATTGCAATATTCGCTGGGACTTCGTTTTACGATATCCAAAACGTCCGAGCTGACGTGGAGGCGTGGCTCACGCCATGGCCTTCGCGGCAAATCCATACCAGAAACGGCACTCGTAAAAGTTGGTGCCCATCATGCAAAGTTCACCACGGATTCGCGTCTGCGTACGGCGAGCTACGAGAGTCTCTGTTCCATCATCTACAGGACTTGCAATGCGGTGCAGTTGCCTTCACGGGACACTCCCTCGGGGCAGCGCTCGCAACGATGGCATCATTCGAACTCCGTGCCTGCTGCAGTTTTTTGCGGGTGTCTGGTGTATGGACTTTTGCTTCGCCACGCGTTGGCAATTCAGCGTTCGTATCGGCTTACAGCAAGTACTCGATAGAAGAGTTCCCGCCCATGTGGCGCGTTGTGCGCCAGTATGACTTGGTTCCGCAGTTGCCGCCGTCGTGGCTCGGCTTCGAACACGCCCCAGTACAGGTGTGCTACTCGACGCCTGTAGCCAACGTTTCAGATGTTTACATTTGCACCGATCCACAAGCTTGCGCCGCATATTCTCATTGCAGATACGCATACGGCTCTCTGCAGTATCACCATGGTTACTTTGGAGTTCCTCGCACAGATGAGGATCAGGCGCCAGAGTCGTGCATTCCCTTCGGGGAGCTGCAACGCAAACGAGACAGGCGGTTCCAGTTTCTCCTCATTGTAATCGTGCTATTCACGTGTATTGTTGTCTGCTTGAGTGTTCTATGTGTCTGGTGTTGTCGAGATCTTGATGCGTCTGGATGTCAGGATCAAGGCCGTGAATGGTGTGACAGCAGTGTAACATCTTCAGATGGCACTGATACGTCTGAGATGCTGACGCTGATGCGAGAAGACAGCGGCTTATGGCTATGAGCATGCGAGGCAGACGACGTCGGGGAAAATTCATGCTCAAAGCCTTTGAACCTACAGTGCATCTGCTGAGGCGAGGCGTCTAGGACAGCTGGGCATACAGAGCACCTGGAGTGGCTTGGTGCATAACCACCGTCTGCCGGGGTCTCCGAAGGCAGGCTCCCCCAAGCGGTGGTGATGGGTACGTCTCCGCCGCGCACACCGAGGCCGACGTGGGCTCCTGTCCTCTCTGAGCAGGGCTCGCTGTCGGTGTTGTTGATCTGTGTTTTGCTGCTGATCTGGACGCGGGCGCAAGCGGTTCGTCGACCACCGTCAGTCGACCCTCCATCTCCTTCTGCGACGCAGCCATGCTGTCGTGATGTGCACTGCTCGAGGGTGGAGTTATGAATCTTTCAAGGCCCATCTGAATAGTCTGCACGCGGGCACGTGCGAGTTGGCCGTTGCCATTCGCTGCCTCTTGTCATGCTGTGGCTCGGAGGTCGGGGTCACCCATTCGTCCTTGCTTGTGGTGAGGTAAAAAAAAAGACATGCCCCCTTCAAAGACGATCACCCCATAGGTCCGCCAATCTGGCGAGCGCTTAGTTTTTGAAAGGAACTCGATATGCATTTTTTTAGCAAGCTCTAATAAAGGCAAAACTGCAGGGCCATAAAGTCCAGCAACATATCCAGCGATAGCCCCGTGTTGAAAAGGAACCGCCCCCCCACCCGCGAAGCTGTTGCACAGACTCTCGCGTATGATCACGAGCTATGCGGACGTCTCGAGTGAGAACCCCGTATCGAGAAGGAACCGACCTCTGCCAGCGAAGCTGTTTGCATCTTTGTCAGCGTCTGGTCTTTACAGCTGTAGCAATTTTCAGGCGGAAGCCAGTTTTGAAACGTGAGCCGTGCTCTGTCCTCATTGACTATTGCGAAATCTAAGGCGAAACTGAGCGGCACGTAGGCGAAAGTCCCTTTTTGGGAAACGAGCCGGCCTCCATTCTTGTAGCTGTTCGAAATATGAATAACCGAATGGGCGCGGCGTTCAGACGAGAGTCGCATCTTAAAAACGAGGGGCCTCCGATTCCTGTATGAACTGCCAGAGGTTTGAAAAGGCATGCGCACGGCGCTGAGGCGAGAGCCGCATCTTGAAGACCACGGGCCCTTTATCCTTGTAGCGTTAGTCAGGTGAGTAGGGCGTCGTGGTAACTATTGCAGGGATGTCTCCAGCGAGACGCCCATCCTGGCCCACGGACACGTCTGCAGTGGTGCGGCAGGTGGGAGCTGTTTCTGTAATGCAGGGGGGCGGAGGTAAGGAAGGTATCGAATGAAGAGGAGGAGGAGGTGGAGGAAGAGGAGAAGGAGGAGGAGGTCGACGACGACGACGACGACCACCACGCGACGACGACGACGACGACGACGACGACGACGACGACGACGACGACGACGATGGGGTCTGGTCACGGCGATGGCGACGGCGACGACGCGACGACGACGACGACGACGACGCGACGACGCCGACGACGACGACGACGACGACGACGACGACGACGACGACGACAATGACGACGCGACGACGACGACGATGACGACGACGACGACGCTGGCGAGGAGCGGCCAGGAGCCGGCCCGCGGCCGACGCGGCTGCCAGCGCCCCCTCCCCACCCCGCCCCGCCGGGGAGAGGCCGAGGGCGGCTCCCGGGACACCCTCCAGGCCGCCCTGTCGATCCTGAGGCTTGGGCCTCGGAGGGGGCGCAGAGGGCCCGCTCGCATCCGCTCGAGCCGATCCGGTGTCGATCTCGGCCGGCCCGAGCCGATCCGGAGCCGGTGTGCTCCGCCAGGAGTCGAAGAAGAAAAGGCGCCGTAAGCAGAATCTGTTGGCGCCTCCGCGCGAATTTCTTGGATCCGCGCTGGGCCCCCCCGGCAGCGCCTACGGCGCCGCCTCTGGCGCGCTCCGCGTGCTAGGCAGAGGGGTCCAGCGCGGATGCAAGAAATTCGCGCGGAGGCGCCAACAGTGTATGTGTTAGCCATGGAGCAAGCGGGGCCTGAGGAAACGTGTCCCAGTGCCTTTCGCTGTTCTCGGGCTCCTGGGAGCCCTCCACGGGCCGCGGGACGGTCAGACGACGATGCAGGATGAAAATCGTGTCCACCCCGGGGTCTAGGACCCGCTTCCCTCGGAACCCGTTTCATAACGTTTTCTGGCGATTCTGTGCGGCCCGACGGTTGCACGGTACTGTAATGCATCTTGGCGTTGCCGATCCGATTCGATTCCGACTCCGTGCCGATGCGGCCCGGTCCGAGGCACGTTTCGATTCGATTCGATTTTCCATTCGATGCTGACTGATCTTAGCGGGCGGGGGGCTGGGGGTGAGCAGACGCTTCCCTAACCATGAGGTTCTTCTCTTCGCCCCCTGGAAGGTCGGTTTCCATGCTTGCAGTTAGGGCTTTACGAGAGCTTAAAACGGTGGTGCTGATGCCCTGCTTGGTCTTTCGGGCCACGTTCGGGCTCGAGAATCGATTCTACAGAATAGTAATGGATCCGAGTGCCATCAATTGGGGGGAGGTGGTGGGCGTCGTCGGGTTTGGCGGCGCAAACTCCAAATCTTCAGATGGAATTGCTGCTCCTCACTGTGGTGCACAGGATCGGGAAGCAGACCTTGCACGGTGGTGCGAAGGATCGATTCGAAAGCATCGAGCAGCTACGGCGGCCCAGCGGCGTCCATTTCTGCTTCGGGGGCCAGGAGCCCCCATAGCAGAGGCCTTGGGCTGGAATGGCCACGGAGGGCAGATGTGAGAGAAAGGATGGCAAAGCAGATCGCTTGCGGCATACCTGACATCGTCCCCCTCCCACCCATCCCCTCCCGCCGACGGGTGTCCTGTAGCGGACCTGGAACCCCCAGCAGGACACCATCGTGTGATGTGCAATCGGAAACAGGGCACCCTTGTGTACATTGGAGGACGGGGGGTGGGAGGTGGCGGATGCCGGCCGCGAGCGAGGGGGGAAGTGAGAAAGGGAAGACCTTCTCAGAAGGTTCGGAAGTCCGCAGGCCTTCTGAGAAGTTGTCTTAAGCCTTCCCCGAAGACAGGAACAACTTCTCAGAAGGCGCTTGGGCTTCAGAGAAGCCCCGCCGCCTTTGAGAAGGCCTTCTCTTTCTCAGTTCCCCCCCCCCCTCGCTCGCCGCCGAGGATGAGCTGGAGGATGAGCATGAGGAAGAGGACGAGGGAGGAGACGGGCGAGGAGCAGCAGCAGCAGCAGCATCAGCGGGAGGAGCGGGAGGACCGGGGGAGGGCGGGGGACGGGCAGGGGGAGGGGGGCGACGACGGCGAGGAGGGACTCGGATCCTGAGAAGTGGCCCGCGCCGGGGCGAGAGCCGCGTCCGGAACGGCAGGAGCAGAGCGCCGATCCGCAAGTGGGCCTGCGTTGCAGCGGGAGCGCCGCTGTGCGAAACGCCGAGAGCGCGAAGTCCCGTGCGGCAAAACGCAGCAGTGCGCGAAGAGGGCGGGCCACCACCGTCAGCAGGTAATCGGTCCGCGGAGGAGAGAGGAGACGGCAAGGCTATTTTTGTTGGTCCACGTGTCGCGCCGCCGGTTCTGGCCCATCACGCCTCGGCTCGACACGCTATAGCCACGCCCCGGTCCCCGAGCGCCATCGTCCCGAGCCTTCCCCAGCCTCCCGCCCCGCGGAGCGGAGCGGCACGGTATCAGCTTGAACGGCATAGCTTCTCTCCGAGGCCGCGACACGCCACGCAACAGTTTCTCATCGCAGTCGTACTCATACGGAGGGTGGGGGGCGGCGGCCAACAGCGGGGTGTGGATTGGAGGTGAGGGGCCATGACATCTCCCCAGGTTTCATGGCCCTCGCTTCTTCTTTACGTCGCGATTTTGTTCACAACGTCGACCCCCAGGGGTCTGGACCCCTTCCCAGGGACTGTTTTTTTCTCCCGAGTCGTTTTTGACGGTCCCGAGGCCCGGGAAGGGCCCCCGGAGGCCGACAATAGTGAACAACCTCTCGTCGCATTTTTTCACATCGCGACGAGGTCTGGGGCTCTTCCCTCGTCAGCGCACCCGCCTCGGGCCATGATCTGCGCCCCCCCCCTCTTGAGCGACCCCCTCCTATGGACGCCACCGAGAGGGGGGCAGGCTCGGCCGCTCCGACTCCGCGGAGCTGGCCTCCGCGCTCGCGGCGGTCGTGCTCGCGACGCGGCGGAGCGAGGCGCTGGAGGACGCGTCTGCGGAGGCTCCTGGGAGCCAGAAGACCTCAGAGGAGGAAAAGGCACCCATACCGCTACCCTTTCCCTCGCTTTCCCCTCTTTGGGCCTCCTGGGAGGCTCTCGTCGCCACCGCTGGATTCGCCCCGGAAGTCTGGTCAGAACGCACTCCGGGAGAGGTCCAGGGAGCAGCGGTATCGCTACCTTTTGGCTTCCCCAAGAAGACCTGGGATATCCGAGGGTTTTTCGCCGACTTCTGATTCTTTCGTAAGTAAATGAGTATTATTATCATTATTATTATCGTCATTATTATTATCATCATTACTATTATTATTATTACTATTATTATTGTTTTTTTTTTATATATATATATATTTATTTATTTATCATTGTTATTATTATCATTGTTGTTGTTGTTGTTGTTATACAGTGTGGGAGGTGCTCCTGGAACTCGGCGCTCGGCGGCCGTGTTCGTGCCCCGGAGGTCGGTGTTCTGAAGGTCCGTATTTCTTCACTCCTTTTCTACATTCCGATCTACTCCAGGCTTATGATGTTCCAGCCTACTTTAGCTTTGACTCCCAGGAAGAATTTCGAGCACAATGAAACAAGTACCGAAACTCAAGGGTTTTCACGTGTAGGGCCCTGGGAGACACTCGCCCAACACTGTTTCGACACTATTTCGATGCTTTTTCGGGTGCTCGACATTATTTCCGGGATGCGGTCCTTAGGTCGGATGGAAGCAACATAGCTCCAGGCGCGTTCCTGTTTCAGGGGGTTAATGGCTTTCTCTCTTCCCTCGTGTTCAGGGGGGCGGGCGGAGGTCCCATGTACTTTTAAGTCGGGCACGCCCCTATACAGAATGAATATCCAAAAATAGTCAAACAATAGTTTTGGGACTATTTTTCCAGTATTGTTTGACCATTTCGGGGTATTGTTTGAGTATTTTTCATGTTTCGTCGAAAATCCCCCTGTATGGGGGGACACGCCCGACCTAAATGTACTCCTTCAAACGCCTTCCTACAGTTGAAACCCATGCCAAGAAACACCCTGCTTGCCTCCAGGGCGCCCTGGGTTTCTTGGGCCTCGATGGTTCTGCGATGGGAGGCGTGACGCTCCCGCACCAAAATGCCAGGTACGGCCTGGGGTCTCAGGGTTGGGTTTCTTGTGGAAGGTCTATCGTGGCCGAGCTCCTACAGTCAACCCGCACAGCAAGGATGAGCAACCTTCCCGAGGGTACCCGTGCATCCTCGCCCCTGCGGCCCATCCTCATCGACTTTCACTGGCCAACCTCGTTCGAGAAACGTCGACAGGCCCTTGCATCCTTACCGCGCATCCTTATGATACGGGCTATGAAAAATAATAATAATAAAAATCCTTATGATACGGGCCAGCTGTGATCCCGGCGCTTCTTCCTGCGACGTGCGGCCTCCCGTGGGGGCCGCTTCTGGGCCGCAGGGCCATCTGGCATGGATGCGGGGGGGGGGGACATCTACCCCGCAGGGAAGGGGAGGCCGAGACTCGGGCGATCGCAAGCATGGATCAAGGGGGCGTGGATGAGCGACGGGTCCCGTTTCCATGGGAAACCGCGGGTTGACGCCGCCGAACGAGGCGGCACTTTGGGGAGGGCACCTCCCACGATCCACGGATTTGGCCACCGCGCGCCAAGTGCATGGATCGCTAATCCATGTTTGCGCGCCCCCGAGAGACCACTGGGGCCCGCGGCTTGAAACGGGTCGAGCTCCTACTGCACCTCCTGCTTCTGCCCGCTGCTTCCGACCGGTGCCGCGGCTCCCCGTGTGGGCGTGCCCTGGGGCGCGCTCCCTCCCGGGACTCCGAGGGGGGGCAGCCGGCCGTGGCGACGAGGGCCTCGGCAGCGGCATCCACAGACACCCGCCGTGGGCGGCCACGGGGGGTCCGGACCTCCTCGCGTCGTGAAAACATATTGCGACGGGAGGTTCGTCCCTATAATGTCGCCCTCCGGGGGCCCTCGCCGGGCCTCGGGACCGTCGGAAACCGACTCGGGGTGAGAGGCCAGTCCCAGGAAAAGGGGTCCAGAGCTCTGGGGGTCGACGACGTTGGGAAAGAATCACGACGTCGGGGGTCTGGGTCCACAGTCCCCCGCCGTGGGCGGACACGGGGGGCTCTGCGTAGCGAGGTCAATGCACTGCACGCGTCAGTCACCGCGTGCGGTCGTGGAGCAAGCGTGGTACATATGCAAGTGCTTTCCCCGCGCTCTTCAAGCCGACGTGTGGGCCAGTTGTCAGGTCGTTGGCGCGCTCTCTCCTCCTCCCCCGCAAAACAGAACAACCCCCCGACGTAGTGGGACCCGCTTCTTGTCCCGAACAGTTTTTTGACGGCCCCGGGCCCGTCAAGGGGCCGAGAGGCTGGACATCGGCACAGACCTGCCGTGTTTTTTTTCCACGGCTCTAGGTGTTCGATCATGGACGCCGTGTTGACCGCAACCATCCAGCGTGCGCGCCGAAAGCCGCAGGAAACCACCCAAGAGCGCCGGAAACCCGACGAAGACCGCCGAAGACCGTAGGAGAACCGTCGTTGAAGACCGCCAGAAGCCGCCGCAAACTGCCGGAGGACCGCCGGAGGACCGCCGGAGACCGCCCGAGGCAGAGGGTACTGTAGGTTCGCGTCGTGTCGACCGGCTGCGACCCCAGCGTGGACGTGAAAGGTCGAACGCCGCCCGTGGCCCAGAATCGGCTCATCGTTAAAAGATTCGGCGTGTGTGAAAGGGCCAATCATTCAAGTCTGAACGTTCTCCGCGGTGTCAGGAACCGACGCCGTGGTCGACAGGACGCGAACCTGTAGTAACGAAGGGGTCCACGGTCGAATGCGTAGACGACTCGAGGCGGTCTGGGCCTCTTCCCCTCCGGAGAGGCGGCGGCCTGCGCCGCCGCCCGGGCGCCGTGGCCCAAGGGGTCCCGACCCCCTCCCCGTTCTGTTTTGTTGGTTGTTGTTGGTTGTTGGTTGCTGGTTGTAGCTTGTTGTTGTTGTTGTTGTTGTCGTTGTTGTCGTTGTTGTCGTTGTTGTCGTTGTTGTCGTTGTCGTTGTTGTTGTTGTCGTTGCTGTCGTTGTTGTTGTTGGTTGTGGTGGTGGTGTTGGTGTTGTTGTTGTGATTGTTGTTGTTGTTAATGTTGTTGGTGGTGTTCTTGCTGTTGTTATCGTTGCTGTTGTTGTTGCTGCTGCTGTTGTTGTTGCTGTTGTTGTTATTGCTGCTGTTGTTGTTGCTGTTGTTGTCGTCGCCGTCGTCCTCGTCGTCGTCGTTGTCGTCGTCGTTGTCGTTGTCGTTGTCGTCGCTGTTGTTGTTTTTGGTGTTGGTGTTGTTGTTGTTGTTGTTGTTGTTGTTGTTGTTGTTGTTGTTGTTGTTGTTGTTGTTAGTGTTGTTGAACTCTCATGTCTGAAAAATAATTATTGTTGATCCCCCATCACTGGTGCATAGTGTTTTTTCTCTATCAAAGTGTGCCCCTCGACGCTCGCACCCTGTTTTTAGGACAGGGAAAGTCTTGGTGCTCAAACTGTCCCCCTGGCCCCCGGGACTACAACAACAACGGCTCCCGCCTGAGACTTCCTCCAAATTTACTCAGGACCCCCCCCTCCCGTCTGAGACTTCCTCCCAATTTACTCAGGAACGGCGCTCCTGCTTGAGACGTTCTCACAATTTTCAGGACCCCCGCTCCCATTTGAGAGCTCCTCACAATTTACTCGGGAACGGCGCTCCCGCTTGAGACTTCTTCGCAATTGAGTCAAGACTTCCTCGCAATTTAATCAAGACCCCCGCTCCCGCCAGAGAACCCTTCACATGTCATTCAGGAATCGCGCTCTCGCCTGTGACTTCGATGCAATGTATTCAGAAATCGCGCTTTCGGTGCTCAGGAATCACGCTGCGCCAAGGACGCCGTCACAAATTACTTAGGAATCGCGCTCTCGCCATACTCAGGCATCCCGCTTGAATATCCCACCCGCCCGACCCGCCCGTCAGGGGATCGCCCGCCCGTCGTGGGCTCCTGCCCGAGACTTCCTTTAGGAGCGGCGCTTTCGCCTAGGATTTCATCTAATGTTCACGCTCTTACCTTCCTGCTTTTCTTCTCCCTCCTCCCTCCTGTCTACGCGCGGATCTTACACTTACAGTTTTTTTGTTACGTGCAGCCGTGGCCCGCTGGAGGGGTACCCGTGTTGCTGCGTATTGTCGTGTGTCTCGGAAGCGCTCCGCCTCGTAGAGGCTCGCGCTGCGGCTGCCAGCTTTCCGCTCCCCAGCCGCACCCGTGGGCATCGACTGACTGCTGTTGCGGACCTCAAAGGAGGCAGCCTGTGGCGGCAGTCCCTTACAGGTGAGGCGCTTGTTTGCGGGAGCTTGCGCCTTGTTTGCTCATCCCGAGGCCCTGTCAAAAAACCCTCTCTCTCTTTTGTACCTCTCTTATCTGTCTTTCTCTCGCTCTCTTTCTCTGCCTCTAATCAACCGCCCCCCTCTTCGCTCCTTCTCTCCTGGCGTTTCCCTCTTCCTTCGTCCCTCCCCCTCCCTTTCTCCCACTCTCCCTCGTTCCCCCCCTCCTCTTTTTGCAGGGCCCACGCCAATTCCAATGGCGGGCACATGTACGCCCACGAACAATTGTCCGCCCGTTCAGGTTTGCCCGCCTGTGTAAGCCCGCCGCCCCCCGCAAAGAGAAAGAATCCCCCCCAAGGGGGTGTGAACGAAGAAAAAAGGGCGGGTGTCGAGGGTGTGGGAAACTCGTCTTGAATGACACACTGGCAAGTAAGAGCGAACAGTCTTATAATGGTTGTTGTTGTTGTTGTTGTTGTTGCTGTTGTTGGTTGTTGTTGTTGTTGTTGTTGGTGGTGGTGGTGGTGGTGGTGGTGGTGGTGGTGGTGCTGTTTGTTGTTGCTGCTTTTGTTGTGATTGTTGTCGTTGCTTTTCTTAAATTCGCGGACCCAGGGGGTCCCGACCCCTGCTCCAGGTTTAGCTTCTCGTCCCGGGTCCGTTCCTGCTTGTCCCGGGGCCCCGAAGCGCGGCCCCAGGTGCCGACACCGACGCGAAAACGGCCTTCGAGGCCGATACATCGAGGCGAACCGCGGGCTGGAGCAGGATTCGGATCGTCGGAGCTTCTGCGGCATCGGCATCGGCGCCCTTCTTCCCCCGTCCCTCCTCCAGCCCCTCCTCCCCCGTCCCTCCTCCAGCCCCCCCTCCCTCCTCCCCGTCTCTGCTCGTTCTCCCTCCGCCTTCCGCCTTCCTCTCGTCCCCCCTCTTCCTTCACCGTCCTCCCTTCCGTGCCTCCCTTCCTTGCTCTCGTGGCTCCCAACGACCCCCGACGCCATGATCTTTGTTTTGGCGTCGACCTCCAGAGGTCCCCGGGACCGGATTCTCCTCCCGAGTCGTTTTTCCCCACATCCTGAGTGGGGTTCTTGTTTTCCCAGAACACCCTCTCCTTCCCACCCACCTCCCGCTCCATCTTCCATACAGCACAATATTATTCCTACCACACACACATACCATACCATAGTTCCTACCACACATACCATACCATACCATACCATACCATACCATACCACCCATACGTACCATACCGTACCATACCATACCATGGCGTACCATAGCATACCATACCATATCACACCAATGCCCCTCCCACCCCTCCAGGGAGGCCCCGCCTGAGCGAGGAGGGTATCGGAATACCATACTATTTACATGGTTTCGTGCCCCTCCCACCCCTCCAGGGAGGCCCCGCCTGAGCGAGGAGGGTATCGGAATACCATACTATTTACATGGTTTCGTGCCCCTCCCACCCCTCCAGGGAGGCCCCGCCTGAGCGAGGAGGGTATCGGAATACCATACTATTTACATGGTTTCGTGCCCCTCCCACCCCTCCAGGGAGGCCCCGCCTGAGCGAGGAGGGTATCGGAATACCATACTATTTACATGGTTTCGTGCCCCTCCCACCCCTCCAGGGAGGCCCCGCCTGAGCGAGGAGGGTATCGGAATACCATACTATTTACATGGTTTCGTGCCCCTCCCACCCCTCCAGGGAGGCCCCGCCTGAGCGAGGAGGGTATCGGAAACCATACTATTTACATGGTTTCGTGCCCCTCCCACCCCTCCAGGGAGGCCCCGCCTGAGCGAGGAGGGTATCGGAATACCATACTATTTACATGGTTTCGTGCCCCTCCCACCCCTCCAGGGAGGCCCCGCCTGAGCGAGGAGGGTAGGACCCCTCCATGAGCGAGGAGGGTATCGGAATACCATACTATTTACATGGTTTCGTGCCCCTCCCACCCCTCCAGGGAGGCCCCGCCTGAGCGAGGAGGGTATCGGAATACCATACTATTTACATGGTTTCGTGCCCCTCCCACCCCTCCAGGGAGGCCCCGCCTGAGCGAGGAGGGTATCGGAACACCATACTATTTACATGGTTTCGTGCCCCTCCCACCCCTCCAGGGAGGCCCCGCCTGAGCGAGGAGGGTATCGGAATACCATACTATTTACATGGTTTCGTGCCCCTCCCAAGCGGGGCACCGCCAAAGCGAGGAGGGCATCAAGAAAATGGGTCCCACGAAACCGTTAATCTCTTTATGTGGGGAACTCCGTTAGCATAATTTGACGGCCCTGGGGCCCGGGAAGGGCCCCCGGAGGCGGAAAGTGGCGACAAACTTCCCGTCCAGAGGTCTGGACCCCTTCCTGGGGACCGGCTTCTCCTCCCGAGTCATTTTTTGACGGCCCCGGGGCCCGGGAAGGGCCCCCGGAGGCCGAAAGTGGGGACAACCTCCCGTCGCATTTTGGGGATCCTCTGACCCGGGTCAATCCAGACCCGTGTCAGCCAGGCCTTGCAGAATCCTGCGAGATCTGGCGCCCAAGCCCGAGTCAATGCGAAGGATCTTGCAGAATCCTGCGCCCAAGCCCTGGTCAGTGCGACCCTGGCCCTGCAGGATCTTGCAAGATCCGGCGCTCTGGCTGGGCCCCGCTTGCATCGACCCCCGTCTCAAGGCTCCCGAGCATTTCTTCCCACCGCGAGGAGGTCTGGGCCCCTCCCTCCATCCGAGAGGCGGCGGCCTGCGCCGCCGCCCGGGACGACGCCGCCGCCTGCCCGGCGGTGCGGCTGGCGGCGGCGCTGCAGGGCGCGCGCGCGCTTGCGGGGGCGCGGGGGCTCTGCGAGGGCGCGCTGCGGTCGCGGGGGGAGCGCCTCGAGGCCGTGGGCAGCGCCGGGGGAGGAGGAGGAGGAGGAGGAGGAGGAGGAGGAGGAGGAGGAGGACGAGGAGGAGGAGGAGGGCGAGGAGGGCGAGGAGGAGGAGGAGGAGGAGGAGGAGGACGAGGAGGAGGAGGAGGAGGAGGAGCGAGGAGGAGGAGGAGGAGGAGGAGGAGGAGGAGGACGAGGAGGACGAGGAGGAGGAGGAGGAGGACGAGGACGAGGACGAGGAGTCGGAGGAGTCGGAGGAGCAGGAGGAGGAGGAGGGGTCACCAGCAGCGGCACGCCATGGGGGGAGGGAGTGACCACTGCTTTCCAGGCCTCCTAGATGGGTCCGAGCAGATGGGGTCGGAGATTCGAGCCGTATCGCCGATGCATCGGCGATGCGGCTCCATGCCGAGCCCGATTTCCTCCACGCCGACGCCGCCGATGTCTAGCCGGGGTCGCCGAATCATCGCCGACGCGGCGCGATCCTTCGACCCCGTTTACTCAGACCCCATCTAGGCGCCGCCCCAGCCCAGCCCAAGCCGAAGGTCCCAGACCCGCCCAACTTCGGGGTGTGTGGAGGGGTACGGGTTCCACTGTGCTTTCTCCATGCTCCGGGGCGCCCTCCCCCCACTGGACAATGGCAGGCCCTGCGGCGACCTCGGGCTGGGTGGAGGCGGCCTGGTGGGCCTTACAAGTGAGATGGGGCAGGCCTTCGCGGAAGGCGGCGCTGCCTTCTCAGAAGGCCTCTGGCCTGCCTTCCGAGGGGCCGCCTCTGTCTTCGGAGCAGGCTCTCGAGTACGTTGTCCGCAGGTGCGAGGGCGAAGACCTGCCCCCGCCCCTGCCTGGGCATGCCGCCGACACCAGCAGTCGGGTCGCCAGCAGTCGGGTCGGATGAGGTTGCCAGGCCCTGGGGCAGTCAAAGATGAATCGGGACGATCGACATGGGTACTCCAAATCCCTTGCTTATCGACCCCCCCGAAAAACCGGACCTCCCCTCCAAGTGCGACCTAATATTCTGGACCCCCCCTCTTCGACGAGAGGCCTGAATAAACCAGACCTCCTAAGCTCCAATCCAAAGAAAGCGCCCTAATAAACCGGACCCCACCAGTTAGAACAAAGGCGCCTTAAAAACCAGACCCAGGGGACGATTGGATTTCGAGCACGGAAAGAGTGGGCACAAAGACCGTCAGCAGTTCCTGTTCACTTTGAGCCAGGCTCGGTGTCGGTGTCGCCGCGGCCCGTGCCCATTTGAGGCAGAGGGCCGACTGTCCAACAGCGGCCGCTGCTGGTTTGGGACACCACTTGTTGTTGGGCACTTCGCCCATGCTTCCGTACCCATTTTTCGGGCGTCCAGAGTGGATCTGTGGAGGAAAATTGGCCCCCCAGGGCATGGGCCGGGAGCTGTGGGGCCGCGGATTGGAAGCAACACCTCGGAGGCTGTCGATGGACGCTTCTGGGACGCCTGCCGATCGCACTGCTCGGCCTGGAGAGCCCTCGTTGCCACGACCGGATCTGGCCTGGAGATTCTGGTCCAAGCGCGGGCCGGGAGGGGTCCGGGGAGCAGCGGTATCGCTGCCCTCCCGTCTCCCCAAGCACCAGGGGTCACCGCCTCTTGGAAGTCGGGCATCGGAGAGAAGGAGGGAGGGACGAGGATCGAGGAGGTCTCCAGGCGTCTCCGGGCGTCTTTCCCGCGAGAAGTCCTCGAGGGTTGCTCTGGAAGGTCCAGGGGGTCCGTTTCCTGGAGGAGGTGGCCGCAGTCGTCGTCCGTCGTCGGTCGTCCGTCGTCGTCCGTCGTCGTCCGTCGTCGTCGTCGCCCGTCCTCCGTCGTCCGTGTCGTCGTCGTCGTCGTCGTCGTCGTCGTCGTCGTCGTCGTCGTCCTCGTCCTCGTCGTCGTCGTCGTCGTAGTCGTCGTCGTCGTCGTCGTCGTCGTCATCGTCCGTCGTTCGTCGTCTGTTGTCCGTCGTCCGTCGTCCGTCGTCCGTCGTCCGTTGACGTTGTCGTGGCCGTTGTCGTCGTCGTCGTCTTTGTCGTCGTCGTCGTCGTCGCCTGTCGCCGTCGTCCGTCGTCCGTATTCCGTCGTCCGTCGTCGACGTCGTCGTCGTCGTCGTCGCCCGTAGTCATCTTCGTCGTGGTCCGTCGTCGGTCGTCCGTCATCCGTCGTCCGTGTCCGTCGTCCGTCGTCTGTCGTCCATCGTCCGCCGCCCGTCGTCGTCGTTGCCGTCGCCGTCGCCGTCGTCGTCGTCGTCGTCGTGGTCGCCGCCATCGTCGTCGTCGTCGTCGTCGTCGTCTTCGTCCGTCCTCGTCGTCGTCGTCGTCGTCGTCCTCCGTCCTCCGTCCTCTGCCGTCGTCGTCCGTCGTCGTCGTCGTTGACGCAGTCGTCCGTCGTCGTCGTCGTAGTCGTCCGTCGTCGTCGTCGCAGTCGTCGTCCTCGTCCGTCGTCCGTCGTCCGTTGTCCGTCGTCCGTCGTCCGTCGTCCGTCGTCCGTTGACGTTGACGTGGTCGTGGTCGTCGTCGTCGTCGTCGTCGTCGTCGTCGTCGTCGTCGTCGTCGTCGTCGTCGTCGTCATCGTTGCCCGTGGCGTTGCCTGGGAGGCGGCGGCTGCCTCGCTGGAGGCGCCGCGGCTCGCGGCGCAGCGGCGGCGGGAGGAGGCGGCGCTGCGCCGCGCGGAGCTCGAGGCCCCGCGCGCTGGGCGGGGGAGGTGCTCTGCGCTTCGCGCTCGGGCGCTGCCGACTCGGACATTCTGGGCCTCGCGAGTGAGGTCCGAGCAGATGGGGTCGGAGGAGGTCGCCACGTCGCCGAGGCATCGCCGATGCGGCTCGATGTGGGGCCCGGTCTTCTCCAAGTCGACGCCGCCGGCGCATCGCCGGGGTCGACGATGCGTCGCCGGATGCGGCGCGATCCTTCGACCCTGCATGCTCGGACCCCGTTGGTGAGGGCTCTGGACAGGCAACGTCCTGAAGCATCATGGCGGAGGCCTTTCCCAATCTTCGGTCTCTGGAGGCCGGTGCCTCGTCCCGGGACCGTCACAGCTCTTGTTGGGGGAAGGGCCGAGCCTTCCGGGGGGCCGCGCCTCCGCAGAGCGCGCGGGGGGGAGCCAACCGGTATCATGATCTTGCTTTCCAGGGCGGCCTGCGTGCCCTGGAAGGCCCGGCCGTCGGCCATTGCCTGGCGTCTTGGTCGGTCGCTGTGCGCCTTGCTTCTCCGTCGTGCCTGCGCTGCGCCCCCCTCGTGGAGCGTCCCTTTGGGCGGCGGCCTGTGCGCCCCTTCTTCGCCCCGTCGTCCACGCCCGGATGGCAACGTGCTGCCCCCCTCTGAGCCGGCGCGCGCGGGCACCGGCCTGGGCTTCGACAGCCGTATTAGAGTTGCTTCGCCTCGTCGCCGCGCGCCAGGCCGCGACCGCCAATCAAAAGTGTATGTGTGTGTGTGCGTTTGTGAGTGTGTGTGTGTGCGCGTGCGCGCGTGTGTGTGTGTGTGTGTGTGTGAGAGGGAGATAGAGTGTTTATGTTGGCCGAGCTCGACCGCCTCCTCCGCAGGTGTCCAACCCACTCCGATCCGCAGACCCCCGATGCATTTGTCTTCACAACGTGGGGCGCCAGAGGCCTCAACCCCCTGAGGACCAGTTTTTCATCACGCGTCATCTTTTGACGGTCCTTGGGCTCCGCGAGGGCCCCGAGAGGCCGAACATTGGCCGCAACTTTTCGTCATGATTTTCTCACTACTCGAGGGGTGGTAAGGACAGACCCCACAGGTACCTGCTGGCCTCAAGAGCCCCGCCCGAGTAGTCGCAGCTGCCTCCAACAGGCCACCCGAGCAGCCTGGGGAGGTCTCAAGACCCCGACCTTGGGGCGCGGAGCGCCCCAGGGGCGCCGCCGGAGGCGTGGCCAAGGCGTTGAGACTGCCCCGGACTAGTCGGGAGGCCTGTTGAGGTCAGTTAGGATTACCTGGGGTGCTGTGTCTGTGCGCATGTGGAAGCCTGGGCAGCTGGTCAGCCACGCACAGAGGGGGGTTGGGGGAGGGAAAGGGATTCTTAGAAGCACCCCTGCTTCTCAGAAGGTGTGGAACAGCCTCCCTCTGAGAAACCTTCCCCCATCCCTCCAGCCCCCTTAAGTGCGCGCCGACAAGTCTGGGCCTCACCCCCCCCGGCAGGCGGAGCTGGAGTCCTTGAACACCCCGGCACAGGGCAGCCCAGTGGCCGCGGAGGACCCTGGCGTGGCGCTCGAGGCGGAGGTCCGCCGCCCTCCTCCCGGTCCGCCGGAGGAGGAGGGGAGGGGAGGGAGGGAGGGGAGGGTGGGAGGGTGGGGGGGAGGGGGGGGGGGGAGTGAGGAAGGGTGAGGACGGGGAGGAGGGGGAGGACCAGTGTGAACCCAGGACGCATCAGCGATGCTGGAAGAAGCTCTCCTTCCGAACTCCCTCTTCATAGGCCATGTTTCCACTGAGGGCACTGCGTCTTTGGGGGACAACCGTATGAAGGCCCTAACGCGGACCAAAACACAGTTCTCGGGGCTCCAGCGCCACGGATCACCTTGACTGTTTCGTCTTGACGATCTTGAGTCGCACCAGCACACCATTCTAGGGACTTCAACACCGCGAACCAACGTAACTGCTGCACTCTCACAATCCTGAGATATTCTAGAACACCATTTCTGGTACGTTGGCCGTTGGAATCCGTGAGCCCTGTGGACATGTTTAAAACGAATGTGCGCGGCGCTAGGGCGGCAGCCACATTTTGAAAACGAGCCGCCCTAAATCCGTGAAGCCCTTGCGATCTTTGGATGCAAGTGTGTGCTCGGCGTTAAGGCGAGAGCCACATGTTGGAAGCGGCACGCTCTCAATACGTGAAGGTCTTGCACGTTTGAAAACGGGCATGCGCGGCGCTCGGGCCAGAGCCCCATTCTGAGAACCACCCGCCCTCAAACAGTAAAACTCTTGCAAATTCTTGAGACGGGTGTGCGCGGTGCTTAGGCGAGAGGAGAGCCAGATTTTGGAAGCGAGCCGCCCTGAATCTGTGAAGCTCCTGCAATGTTTAAAACTGAGTGCGCGCGGCGCTAAAGCCAGAGCCACATTTTTGGAGCGACCCGCCCTCCATCTGTGGAGTTGTTGCCAGTTTCTCAGCTGCCGGGTCATAACTGGTGAGGAAGTCTCAGGCGAAACGCCTGGCCCGCCCTTTTGACCGGCCTCGGGGCGCGACAGGGAGGAGTTGCGTATAAGGAGAAGGAGTGGAGGAGAAGGTGGAAAGTGATGGAGGAGGGTGAAGGAGGAGGAGGAGGAGGAGGAGGAGGAGGAGGAGGAGGAGGAGGAGGAGGAGGAGTGGGGAGGAGGAGGAGGAGGATGAGGAGGAGGAGGAGGCGGAAGGACGCCCATAAGGGGAGAGAGAGAGAGAGAGGAAAAGAGAGAGAGAGAGAGAAAGAATGCAAGAGAAAGAGAGAGAGAGAGAGAGAAAGAGCGAGAGAGACATAAAGAAACATAAAGAAGTGTCAGAGGTCTCGTGCATCAAAACGATGCTGCCACACCCCCGTCATGTCACCCTGGGAGGGGTTCCACCCCCCTCGAGGGGCCAGGACAGGGGGGGCGCCACAGCTAAGGCCATCTTACGAGTCAGGGTCTTCGCTCGAGCAGCGGGGCCAACGGCACAAGTCGCGATCCCTGCCTCCGTTCCGGCCAGAGCACTGGCAAAGGTCACCCAAGCATAAGCTCGAGGACTCGACAGTCCGAGGGGCAGAACGCCCCCATCCGCCACCAGCAGCTTGGCCCGCTTCTGGCACGGCCCCGACCCACTCTGGACCAAACAAGCGACGAGCGCACGAGCTTGAAGGCGCGGTTTTGGATGGACAAGGCGAGCGAACGCGTCCCAATTCTTTTGCCCAGGCCCTTGCAGGGAGTGTTCAGCGCCTTTGTATGGGCCCTTTGGACATCTTGGGTACTGTGGCATATTCACCGCACCAGGAACCAAACAGGAGGCTCGGTTGTGCTGGCCCCTCTTATTCAGAGTGTCCTGTGCTTTCAGTGAAAGCACAGGATGCTCTCGTTACAGATGTCTACCTACGCTCCACGGGACCTCTTCCGCGGCGCGAGTCTCCTGCCCAGGGACAGGAGGCCCAGCCCCTTCACGACAGGCGCAGGTTCCGCCCCAGGGGGAGCCGTCGGGAGGAACATCGGCCGCGAGCCGTAGGGAGGAATCCACATTCAGGCGATCGCAAACATGGATCAAGGGGGCGTGGATTGGCGACGGGTCCTGCTTCCATGGGAAATCGCGGATTTCCGCCGCCGAACGAGGCGGTACCAGCCGCATTTTGGGGAGGGCACCTCCCCCGATCCATGGGTTTGGCGACCGCGCGCCAAATCCATGGATCGCTAATCCGTGCTTGCGCGCCCCCGACAAGAGACTCCCTGTCGGCATTCTTGCGCCTCGTCTCGGCCCATGAACTCCACAGCGCTGAGCTGGCCAGCGCCAACCATTCTTGAGGCAGTGGCAAGTTCTGATGCGAGTGCCGGGCAAGAGCCGCCCGTTTTTTGGCTATCTCGTCGGATTATTCTGACGCTCGAAATTCTCGCCATTTCGAGCGACCTGCGCTGGCAGCACTCCACTGGGGACAGCGCCGTACCACCCAGCTATGAGCTGCAGACCAATCGAAGTCATAGATCTCGACTCCCACCCAGCCACGCGCGCCGACGGGAAGTCAACGCCAAACGCCGAGCCGTCACAAAACATGCTCCCCGCCTGAAAGGACCGAGGGGGGGAGCCCTCTCGACCCTAAACTCCGTGGCCAGGACCAGGCAACGGGCCTGTGGCAAAACGCTCCATGAGGACCATTGGGGCCCTGGCAACCTCTGATGGGGTGTTGTCCCTACGTCAGGCGGCTCCGGCTGGGCACTGGAAGTTTGAGTGGAAGAGCGTGCCTAGTTCCCCCCACACACACACGAGGCGGGGGAGGAGGGAGGAGGTGGTGGTAGAGTAGCAGGAGGAGCAGGAGGAGAAGGAGGAGAAGGAGGAGAAGAGGGGGATGAGGGAGGGAGGGCAGGAGGGAGGGCGAGAACATGAACAAGCTCGTGGACTCCTCCTGTACATGGCCTGTCGACTAACCACTCGCCAGCTCGACCATCGTCACATTAGGAATCCGAGTCTGGTAACGACGCACCCCGCTGGAGACGATCAATTGGGCCTGTTTCGGTCCGCTGGAGCGGCACAAGCCAGACTGCACACCCTGATGTGAAACGCGACCAGGAGGGCGAAGAGCTGGAGGATGAGGAGGCGGAAGAGAGGAGGGAGGCGGGGGAGGAGGGAGGACGGGGAGGATGGAGGAGGGGAGGAGGAGGAGGATGAGGAGGAGCAGGAGGAGGAGGAGGAGGAGGAGGAGGAGGAGGAGGAGGAAGGAGAAGGAGGGAACGTATGAGGAGGAGGAAGAGGGAGGGAGGAGGAGGGGGATGAGGAGGAGGAGGAGGAGGAGGAGGAGGAGGTAGAGGAGGAGGGGGATGAGGTGGAGGAGGAGTCGGAGGAGTCGGAGGAGTCGGAGGAGGAGGAGGAGGAGGAGGAGGAGGAGGAGGAGGAGGAGGAGGAGGAGGAGAGGAGTGAGGCGTGGGAGCAGGGAAAAGGGAAGACGGGAAGGAGGGAGAAAGGGGAAGAGGAGGAGGATGAGGAGGAGGTGAGAAAGGTGGAGGAGGAGAGGGATGACGATGATGCTGCTGCTGATGACGGTGATGATGATGCTGATGGTGATGGTGGTGATGATCATGCTGACGATGATTATGATGATGCTGATGATGGTGATGATGATGATGATGCTGATGATGATGCTGATGATGATGATGCTGGTGGTGGTGGTGATGATGATGATGCTGATGAAGATGCTGATGCTGATGATGCTGCTGATGATGTTGATGAGGATACTGTTGCTGATGACTTTGCTGCTGCTGATGATGATGCTTATGACGACGATGCTGATGGTTATGCTGATGCTGATGCTGCTGATGACGATGATGATGGTGATGCTGCTGCTGCTGATGATGATGATGATGATGTTGATGATGATCATGATGATGCTGATGATGATGATGATGATGATGATGTTGCTGATGCTGCTGACGATGTTGTTGCTGATGATGGTGATGATGAGGATACTGAGTATGATGCAGCTGATGATGTTGATGATGATGAGGATGATGACGGTGATGCTGATGATGATGTTGACGATGGTGTTGCTGCTGTTGGTGATGCTGCTGATGCTGATGATGACGGTGATGCTGATGATGATGTCGACGATGTTGCTGCTGATGATGACGATGCTGATAATGAATATGATGGTCCTGCTGCTGCTGCTGCTGAGGAGGAGGAGGAGGAGGAGGAGGTGGAGGGGGTTGTGGGAGGAGGGAGGGAGCAGGTGGAGGAGGAAGAGGTGGAGAAGGAGGAGGAGGAGGAGGAGGAGGAGGAGGAGGAGGAGGAGGGAGGGAGAAGAGAGTTAGCTACGAACCCATTTGATCTAAGTTGGCCTAACCCTCAAACAAGGTAGGACGGGGATGGGACGGAGGAGGGGGTCAGCGACGAACCCAGTTGATCTGAGTTGGCCCAACGTCCAGAAAAGGGAGGACAGGGATGATGATGATGAGGATGATGATGATGACGATGATGATGATGATGATGATGATGATGATGATGATGATGATGATGATGATGATGATGATGATGATGATGATGATGGATGAGGATGGATGGATGAGGATGAGGATGAGGATGAGGATGAGGATGAGGATGAGGATGAGGATGAGGATGAGGAGAGGAGGAGGAGGAGGAGGAGGAGGAGGAGGAGGAGGAGGAGGAGAGAGGAGCAGGAGGAGGAGGAGGAGGAGGAGGAGGAGGAGGAGGGGAGGGAGGAGCTGGATAAGGACTATTGAGGAATGAAGGATGCCCAGACAGAGTAGTAATTATCTGGCGCCGATCCGGATCCTGACCCCTGGAGCCCCCCGGAGGGCCCCAGAGGTCTGCGGAGGCCTCCAGTGGCCCCGTCAAGGGGCAACAACGTCCTAAAACGTCGGGGCAGAGAAAGGAGCGGAACTGGAGCGCTTGACACTGTCTTCACGCGGGTTCCACTGCGCAAGGTTGATCCGAAATGGGGTCTCAGTAGGTCGCGCCAATGGAGGCGCCCCCTCCCTCTCCCCCCTGCTGCCTCCTCCCTTTTTTTATCAAAAAAAGTTTGGTGAGCCTCTTCTTGACCCTCGAGGGAAAACATTGTTTGGGGCCCTCTTCTTGACCTCTTGCTTGAGTGTGGCAGGGCAGGGGTGCCCAGACGGCGGCCTGCGGCGACGGCGGCGCCGCAGACCGCGCCCGCGGGCCGAGGTGGAGCGGCTCGCGGCGCTGCGCCAGCAGCTCCTCGCGGAGCTAGACGAGGCGGCCCCGGCGTGTGCCGGCCCGTGCCCGCCAGGGTCTGGTCAGCGGCACCGCAACGGGTGCTTACTAACGTTCGGTCGGGCATGTTTCTCTCCAGGAGGAATATTCAGACATAGTCCAAAGTACACATATCCTGGGGACGAGTTGTTCCAGTATGTCTTGATCGTTTTTCAATGTTTGTTGGCCACGTTTCCTTTTTCGTCCAGAACCCGCCTGTAGGAGGACATGCCCGACCTAATACTGACGGGTACTTGTTAGTTGCCACTTTAGGGCCTCTGTTTGGCATTGCAGCGTTGCCCACATCGGGAAGGGTTGGGTTCGCCGGGTCACTGGTCAAAGCGCTCGTTAGTGGAGTCTCCGTCAGACTGGCGCTGATCTGGCTCTTGAGGGAAGGAGTGCGACGACTGAGGCCAAGAAGTCGCGGGATCTTGTCGGCGCCGATCTTGGTGATGGTCCATCCCAGCCGTGGCCGATTCGCGAGGGTGATTCACGAATGGATGATGCCCAGAATGGACGGTCACCAAGATCGGCACCGACGTTTCAGCGTTGAGTCTGGGTCATGGTCCTCGTGCTCTTTCCCTCCACTCGCCTCCTTTGTTGTTTTGCTGCTCGGGCTCGGGCTGTCAAGGACCGTAGCGTCTGATTCCCCCTCTCCTCCTTCACCCTCCTTCTCTCCTCCTCCTCCATGCTCCTCCTCCTCCTCCTCCTCCTCCTCCTCCTCCCCCTCCTCCTCCTCCTCCTCCTTCTCCAAGCCCTCCTCTTCCTCCTCCTTCTTCTCCTCCTCCTCCTCCTCCTCCTCCTCTCCTCCTCCTCCTCCTCCTCCTCCCCCCCCCTTCTCTCTTCTCTCCTCCTCTCTTCCTCCTGCTCCTCCTCCTCGTCCTCCTCCTCGTCCTCATCCTCCCTTCTCTCCCCTCCTTCTTTCCCCTCCTTCCCTACCCTGCTCCTCCTTCTCCTTCTCCTGCTCCTGCTCTCTCTCTCTCTCTCTCTCTCTCTCTCCACCTCCTTCAGTCCGTCAAGATGCGGACGGTACTTTACCTAATCAGGTACTGGCGCCCTGGTGGGTCAACTATCACCACTAGGTAAATGGGAGAAGCGGGAACGACCGAACGGCTGAGCGGCGGTTTCAAGGATGGGTTCAAGATTGGGTTTCAGGGCCCCATCTTTGAAGTGCCTCCCCTCCTCCTTTTTCTTCCTTCCCCCTCCTTCGAGCTTCGAGCTGCGGGCGTGATCCTCCGATGGAGCGAAGCCCTTCAGCGTTCGGCCCCTCCTCGTGCTCGTGATGGGAAGGGGTTAATATCGGCAAAGGGCAGCAGGAGGTGAAGACGATGTACACCCATTTGAGCAAGCAGAACATTGCGTGGTCTCCAGATTTCGCTTCAGAAGCCAAGAATCTGGATTGGGCCCTGGGCGTTTTCTCTGATGTTTTCTCTTTCGTGGAACTTTCGTGGATCTGGGCCTGGCCTACTGTTTACGTAAACGTTTGGAGTGAAGTCCACGTTTAGCTTAAATGTTGCTGAACTCTGAGCAGGGGTGTAAGGAGGTACAGACGGTGTAAGGATGCCAAGAGGGCGGGGCTGGGCCGTGTTGGGGCCCCCTTGGGCCGCGATGGGTGCTACCTTGGAGGCCTCTGGGCTGACGGAAGCCCAAAGCGAAGACCCTTCAACAACCTACACCCTGATTCGCCATCGGGCCCTCTCGGAGCCCTCTCGGGGTGGTCTGGAGGTGCACCCCGGGCAGTCCTGAGGCCATCTTGGAGGCTGGCCGTCGTGGCGGCCGTCGTGGTGCTGGCCGCCGTCGCCTCCCGGAGGTGTCCCTCCGGCACGGCGACGCGGCCGCGCGGCAGCGGGCGCACATGACGCAGGTGGACGGCTGGCGCCTCGACCGGGAGAGGGCGCTCGCTGCCACGAGGGGCTCCGAGAAGGAGGCGCCCGCCGTCCGAGCGCTGCGCGCTGCGCCGCTGCCGTCGCCGCGGTGGAGTGCTCGCCGTCGCCGCGGCCGTCGTCGTCGTCGTCGTCGTCGTCGTCGTCGTCGTCGTCGTCGTCGTCGTCGCTGTCGTCGTCGCTGTCGTCGTCGCTGTCGTCGTCGTCGTCGCGGTGGTTGTCGCCGTCGTTATGAGGAGGTGAAGGCATCGATGCCACCACCCTTCCGTCGTGTTCGCCTGTTTGGGCATCCTGGGAGGCCCTCGTCGCCACGGCTGGATTCGCCTCGACATTCTGG